TCGGACAACAGCAACAACTCGGACAACAGCAACAACTCGGACAACAGCAACAACTCGGACAACAGCAACAACCTCTAGCACAGCAGCAACCTCACTTGCACCCTATTACTGGTGAGAACATCTATGACTTAGACTAGGTAGCTAAGAAGGTAGAGCGAAGAAGCAAGTCAGATCACAGGACGAAGCGGACCATGATATTACAGTGGGTTGAACGACGACTTGTATGTACAGTACAACACTTTCCTCGGGTGTGGTTCAGGTTTCAAGCTGGAGGGCGCTTAGATGTCAGAGGGCGATTCGGACCAAGATGTCACAGAGAAAATTGCGGACGGAGATATTCCTATGTATTTCGCCTCTAATTTACGCATGATAAGCGTTATAGTAAGCACAATCGCCCAACAGATGTAGTATCGGTGATATAATAGCGAGTGCATAAAGGAGAGTAAGATAGGTCTGACCTTCGGGTGCTGGAACGACATGAACAACTGTATGTATTTACCTATGTACCTTAGGTAGGCAACGTGCTGAGTTGAGAGTACACAGGACTAGTACTACATGTAGTATACACAGAGACCCCTCGCCTGTACCAGACAGCATCGAGTCCCCGGTTCCAACAACCTTTGATGGTCCAATCCGTCTACACCCTATCCATGAACCCTCTCCTTTTCAAGCCAACCTCGCAAGTCTAGTCAGACTCACGGCCTTGGTCCCGTACCAACTGAACCATCCCGTCTAATACCACGTCGGCGCAACCGTCCAGTGCTGCAGCATAGCCTGCACCGCTCCATTCCATTCATACTCAAAGCAAGCCGCGAGCTGCTGGATTTGCTCCTCATCCGGTTGCGTCTCACCCCACATCTCCGGCCGGGCCGCTTCAGACATGGCATAGGTAGCCACCAAGTTCCTACATCACCAGAACAAGTCAGCCATCTCCCTTTTGAGGTTCATAACCCCCCCCCCCCCCCCCCCCCCCCCATCACCAAGCAACACTCAACATACCCCTCAACAATCTTAACAAGACACAACCAAGCCAGATTCCAACTCCTATTCGAATCCGGATCACTCCTCACCAGCGCCTGGGCATAGGTCAAGATATCCCCGCAAAAGGGGTAATTCGGCGTGAGCCCGCGCAGCTCAGAGAGCATCTGGTTGCTGCTGACATAGTACGCCCAGGCGGCGGTCATGGGCCCCTGGAAGGCGCGGGCGTCGTCCTCGGACTCGCAGGACGCGGCGACCCGCTCGATCCGGCAGAGCTCGGTGAGGGTGTTTACCCGGTGGGTGGTGAGGGATTCGATTAGTTGGCGGGTGGACTGGAGTGGGGGGAATGAATGGATAGGGGTTAGCAGATACTTCGTGTTGTTGGGGGCTACTATTTCAAGGTTGTTGCCGTTGGTGAAAGAAGGGGGTGAGAAAAGGAGGCTACCTGGCTTGATTTTCCGTTCTTGCTGCTTGATGAGCCTGAGCCTTTTGATGAGCCCTTTGATCGAGACGAAGACATTTTGGGTTGAGGAAGTCCTTTTAGTGGCAGGGGTAATAGCAGTTGCCGCAGGTAGTTCCACTGGTGTAACGGATACCAGTAAAGGGGTCAGTTCGAGGATGGTGATGAATGTTCTGAGCTAGAGGCTTGATGGCGTTCAACTTGAGCGGTCGAAGGTAGTGGGTTTATACTCCTGGTTTAACCCACATCTCATACACTGCCTTCGATCATAGGTTTTGCTCATACGGAAGTGCCGAAGACGAGACCCCCGATATGTCCGTGGACGGCTTACACCGTAAACAGGCAAGTATCACCAGCCTTATTCCCCAATCTTGCTGCCTGATGTTCGTGTGAGCCTCCATTGTCAGGATGGTCAAGTCCATAACCTCTATGGTCGGCATCAAGGTATAGAGATGTGTGGCAAACTTAGGTAAGGTTCATGTTGAGCTGAGGTACCGGTCATGAGCCAAAGTTACATACCGGCGAGCAGACTCATAGGTAAAGCTTCAGGTAAGAACCTATGCACAAGGTGTAGGATCTGATAAGCAAGGCTACCTTGCTATTACGCTTTGGATGATCGTGATCAATGGGTAGGTCATGTGGCTGATGATGGGATACGATCTCAAGGCAGCCGTCAAAGTTTGGATTCTGCTGGGGATACCCAACCCCTGAGTAATGCGGCAAAGGTGATACATGCGTACTACTTAGATGTGGATTGCACATCCAAAGAGCAAAACAGTAGCTTCGTAGACTGGCATGTTACACTGATCAGCGAATGAGAGCTAGAGAACACATCAACCACGAATAATGAGACGGAAGACTGCTACCTCCTCAAAACCATGTGGCATACCGGTATGACGGTAGGCTAGGGCAGTCCCGGGCGCCCGCGGAGCCCGCGCCGGCTACGAGCGACGGCGTAGTGGGTATGATAGGAAGATCATTAAGGCACGGGGTGACGGAACGTTGCCAAGGCTTCACCTATTGGACTATGATGACAAGAGACAGAGCTGTGGCGTTCGGCTACACAGATGTGAGAAGATAACTCAACTGTTCCGTGACCGGGAGGATATGTGCCTGACGTTATGGGTGACTGGTAAGGTACCCATTCTTACCTAGTATCTCCAGACGAGGTCTTAACCCACCTAGGTACAGCAGGTATGCTGTATAGGTACCTATGACTCTGTACCTTTTTTTCACTACTAGTATACTAGTAACTAGGTTGGTTAGCTGTTGGCCTCAGGTCATCATAGGCGGTTGCTCTCTTGAGAAAAATGTATTATCATGAGTGGTATTGATGTAGCTTCATGTTGACGTAAGTGAAGGTTTACCATGCCCTTGTAGGATCGTTGTTTGTACAGTACGTTCGTAAACAAGAGTCACTCGTAAACAATATCCGCAAAACCGGAAATCCTCCTTACTCCCCCTATAGATACCGAATATGAATAAGGTTCGGGACGTCAAAGTCTCATTCTCGTCAACTCAGTGGGTTGAGTTACGGTTGCACATGGATCGAATATGCGTCACTGGGCGAGTTTCAGGCGACATGTCCCTCTCGCCGGCCGCCAGCGTTGCATTGGAGAAGCTGACACAGCATTGTTTGGGAGTTGTGACCTCCGATCACTGTACGAGCTCCCCAGCAACGCGCAGATATACCAAGGCAGTTCGTCTTTTTGAGCAAGGCACCCAAGCTGATGCCGGTTTCGTCCGAATCAGATTATCTCATACCCGTCATCCCAACCCCTGTCCTGCTGAAGGCGGGGCGCCGGCATTCAGATCAACGTGCCGCAGCGGTAGGGCTGAATGGTGCTTGGCAAAGGTCTAAGAGGCTGTGCCTCTTGAGTCTCACTCGTAACTTCTTACTAGTAAAATATGGTTAGCTCACTCACGTAGATAATGTGCCGAATGACGTGCAAGTGGGATTGGACGATATTGACGTACTAAGGTGGGAGAACCGTATGGAATTCCACTGCATCGGGTTGGCAAGATGGTCATCGAAGGGTATCCCAGAGCCTTCCACCTGAGCTTCAAAACTGCGTCATGATAAGGCCACAAGAATGCAGTCAGATACCTATCTGAACTGCCAATGGGCCATTCCAATGAAGTTAGAATGGTCGCCGTCGATCGTAGCTGATGGCATCCTGCTTGCCCACTGCTGAATGGCTACATTGACTCCCTGCCTGACGAACGACTGGCGGATTCGAAACCTGAAGCAGTCATACACAATCCTTCTAACCCTGACATCTCGTCAGACAGTCGCCTCAGTAAACATGCAGATAGCCAGTCTATAGTAGGCAAGCAAACACGAGTCACACGACCCTGTTTCTCTTCCCTTTGTTCCCCTGACGCCAGACATCAGGAGCGGCCCCAGTAAACATGAAGATCGCCAGTACATTGGCAGAAAGACGCGAGTCACACGCCCACGAGACCAAAGTTGGGCCCGCTTCTCTTCCCCTTGTTGCCGAATCCCCTGGCGCCAAACACTGCATCACCTCTCCAGACCCCTTTCCTCGTCGTCGTATCTGAAATCTTCTTCACCCTCCTCCTCATCATCATCATTGACAACACAATCCGCACTTTCCAAACCGCGGCCGCGTATCGCAAAGGACCCGAGCCAACCACCGAGGGTGATGCCGGCAAAAATGCCCCATGCCAGAGCCTCCCCTTTTGGTCTCACACGGGTAGACAGGGTGAATATGCTGCCGGAGAGGAACGGCCCGACACTGCGGCCGGCGGCCGAAAGGGTCTGGGCGATGCCGTTGAGGGTGCCAAGCGTCTCGTGCGAAGGGGCGGAATTGGTGATCTATCATATCATGAATCGGGCTGGTTAGTGAATGAATACTGACGAGGTGGGGTGTAACTGGAGGGTGGTCAAGGGGAAATGCAGTGAAGCGTAATGGAATCGGGGGAAGGGTCCGTAAAGACACACAGAAAATGCCATAGACGTGACCCAGAGGTAGCAAATATGCCAACGGCTCAGGAAAAATAGCAGATGAACTCACCAGAAGCATGACACTGCTAAGCCCACCAACAGCACAGATATTCTTGAGAATCAGAATCCCTCCCAGCTCTCCATACAGCCAGACCTTGCCAGTCCAAAGCCCCAAACGTGGCATGTTATCGGAATACCCAACCCAAGGCATCAACGACATGCTCAGCGCCATGCCCAGCAATGAATATCGATATGTACCCAAGTTCCCTATGCGTGCTTTCAGCCTCTGAAACAGAAAGGCTTGGAACGTAATCGTTGCCAGTCCCGCGAAGGACAGGCTGAGGCCGATCGTCCCAGGTCCAAGATTGCGGCCAGTTGGCAGGGGCGAGGAGGCGAATATCGGATAGAGCGAGTTGTAGGATATATTAGCGAGCTGGAAAACGAGGTATGTGCCCAGCACAGCGAGCGTATTGCGGTTTACCAGCTGTCTGAAAGTCGGCACCTGGTACTCAGCATGTTTGTTGACGGAGTTGTCATCTTCATCAACCTCGCTGACGGAATCGAGCAGGCCCTGCCGGTCGTGCCCATCAACGAGGTCAGAGTGCTGGTCGTCCCGGGTATCAACCGGGTATTGCCCCCCTCTTCCCTTCACGCCTAAGCGTCTCTTTAGCCCCGGCCACACCCCAGCGCACCACTCGATCACCGCCTTGATCCGGTCGCGCCCACAGCCAGCTCCGTTTGCATCACTCCCCTCTAGCGTCTCCTCAAACCACACCGCCAGCACAACCACACTCAAGATCAGCAGCGCGGCCGACAGCAAGTTGGGCGCCAAAAACGGATACTCCTCCCCGCCCATAACCCCAACCAACAACCCGCCCAGCGCCGGCCCCGTGATGCTCCCCAGACTATAAATCACCGGCAACCAGGTAAACGCCTTACTCTGATTCGTCCGATCCGTCACCTCGCCCAAACACGTCGGGACAATCGCCGCATTCCCATTCAGCAGCCCCATCGCAACATGCACCATGAGCAGCTGCACGTACGTCGTGCAAAGCCCAAAGAAGACAAAACACCCCGCCAGCAGGGACGTGCCCAATAGCATTGTCGGTTTCCGGCCTACCCGGTCAGAGAGGTATCCCCAGACCAGGTTGGTGGCGAGCTGCGCGAGGGCGAATGCTGAGGCTAGTAGGCCGACGAAAAGGCCTTCTTCGCCGGAGGGGATTTCGTCGAATGAGGCGACCATGGAGGGCAGGTACGGGCCGATGGAGTTGAGGGCGGTTTGTTCGGCTAGGGAGAGTAAGGCGAGTAAGCCGAGTTGCTGCCATGGTAATGGGGTTGTATCAAGATCCGTATCTCCCGCGGCGTCGGTGTCGTCTGCGCCGTCGCCGGGGGCGCCCTTGCCCTTGCCTATCCATTTGTTGTCTCTGTCTCTTGTGTCTCGGTCGATTGATTGAGTCTCGAACGAAGTGGTGCCTGCGCCATTGTCCCTTTCACCCGCGTCTCGGTCCCCTTCTTGGGATTGCGTTCGAAACAGTCGTTTGTACCAAGGGTACGATTGCTGCGGGGACGCGCCCGAGGCAGACGGCGTCGCAGGCGGGGATGTGGGGAAAGTATGGTACCTCGCGGTCGGCTGTCGGGCAGGAATTGGGCGGGCATCCCGGACTGAACTCTTTCGGCGTCGGCTGCTGCTTGCGACAGGTTCCTCCTGGTAGGGCGAGAGGACGGGGAAGGGCTCGCCGGCGTGGAACGAGCCGGATGTGCGAGACCGGCGAGACCCCGCTGCCGAGGCGCTCGTTGCGGCGCAGTGTGGTCGGACCAGGGCTGGGCGATTCGGCATTGTGGGTTGCTGCCTGAGGGGAGCGTGCCGTGGCGCGCAAGAAAATGCTCAAATGTGGTGTTGAGAAATGAGCATTGAGGTGGTTGGGGCAAGTTGTGACGTTGCTCAGTTGTTATCGCTCGGATGTCCCGCCACTGAAAATTGGAGGGGCCATCTGATAGCGGAATGAAGGCCTAGACCCCACCCCGGAATGAACTAAACTCCAGTTGGGATTACACAGTAGGGCGCAGACAGGGCAGGAGCGATGGGCGGCAGTGATGTCATGCGCTACAAACTGCAATTGAGACCACAGTATACCCACTACAGAAACTGCCCTCATTTCACAATGTCTCTCCCTTTTTACAGGTATTACAAGCACTTGACACCTACTTATCTCCGTTTCAAAGCCTATCGCTGGTTTAACGAGTCGCATCTCGCAATTGGCGCTCCTCGTTGGTGCGAGAGGGACATCGTACGACTGCGGGGGCGGGGAACCCCGAGGTGGGTCCGGCAATTCGGAGATCGGATCTCGGAGATATCTATTTCGTTCTGGATGGAAGCTGTGTAGAACACTGCCGTACACTAGGTCGTTTTCACGTCTTTGATTCGTATGTTGTGTGCCAACCCTCGGCTGCATCAATTGGCAAGGGGACCGCCCAGAGAGAACAAACAGGTTGGATTCCTCCAATGCTTTAACAGAGCACGGGGTAGGTGACGGCCAATGCCCATGGGCAAAACGTTGCCTACCTCCTGACCTAACAAGGCTCTGGGATATTTGATCCCAGAGTACAGCAATCTTTCATTGACGTCGACGAAACAGGCAGATACGGTTTCAATCGCAACCAGACTGCCCTCATTCGCCCCGCCATAGATAATCCCAACACAGATTTGCCCAAACCCCAATGGCAACCCTCTCCCCCATACAGGTTTTGTAGATACCTACCTACACCACTGCATTTTCTGTCCCTGCGGGATAACGTACAGTCCGCCCATTTTTGACAGCGCACCTAGAAAACCACCGTCCGCGTTCCATTCAGAAACACCCTGCGTTCGGCATACCACTTAACCGCCGCCGCAAGCACCTGACTTTCCACATTCGATCCCTCATCAACCAACTCCTTCGGACTCAAGCTATGATCAACCCTCGTAACCCTCTGCTCAATAATCGGTCCCTCATCCAGATCCGCCGTGACAAAGTGCGCCGTAGCACCAATAATCTTCACCCCGCGATCATAAGCCTGATGGTACGGCTTCGCCCCCTTAAAGCTCGGCAGGAAGCTATGATGGATATTGATAATCCTGCCCGACATTGCCTCACACAACATCGGGCTGAGCACCTGCATGTACCTCGCCAGGACAACCAACTCAATCTCCCTCTCCCTGATCAACTCGAGAATCTTGCCCTCCTGCTCTGCCTTGGTCTCTTTCGTAACCGGCAAATGGCGGAACTCAATCCCATAACTCGCAGCCAACGGGGCAAAATCCGGGTGGTTGGAGACAATCAATGGGATCTCAATCGGCAGCTGGCCGGTTTTCGCGCGGAACAGCAGGTCGTTGAGACAGTGGCCGATTTTTGACACCATGATGAGCACGCGGGGCTTTTGGGCCACGGGGCGGATGTCGTACGTCATTTGGTAGTCTGCGGCGAGAGAGTCGAAGGCTGGGCGGAGGGAGGAGGTCGACTCGGAGGGCGTAGGGCCAAAGTGCACACGCATGAAGAATTTTTGCGTGGTTGGGTCGGAGAATTGTTGGAGGGACAGGATGTTGAGGCCCTCGCGTGCGAAGATGCCTGTTACGGCGTGCACGATGCCCGGCTTGTCGGGGCAGGACAGGGTGAGGTAGTGGTCGTGAGACATGGTGGCTGCTGATGTTGTTGGCGTGCAGACTGTTGAAGTCGAGAGGACACGCGTTATGTGAGAGAGTGTGTGTTTGAATTTTCACTCTCAAAGACTTGACTCAAACTCGTGGAGGTCGGTCCACCTTGACCTTTTAGCCGGGACGGAAGAGGGGTTAGGGTTGCCCCTTTTCCTGCCGACTGATCACTAAATACATAGGGTCAGGACGGCGTCAGGGGATCTTCAGGATGTTCATCCGTGCGGAGGCCTGAGAGGCCGCTTCAACGGTGGTTATTACACGCATCGAGCAATGGCTTCATATGTCCTAAGCTACAAGTCCTGGCAGATCCGAGTCTGAGGATTGAGAAGTGAGAGTAAAGTACCCCTCACATCTTGACCTGCTAGTTCTTACATGTACCCACTCCCAGAGTCCGAGGTTGGCTTCAATTTGCGAATTTGTCTGCTCCAAATGAGTCACCGGGGGCGACGAGGACCACGCAACTCAGAACGATCTTCGAGGCATACGCAAGTATTTACGTACCCAAAGCCAGGCCTTTTAAGTTCACATGCAGTGTAGCTGTTTACAATAGCCTGGAGATAGTTTATTAGCGATTCGCCCAGCCTTGACAGTTCACACTCTTGGTTCCTCATCAATCTCATCTCACCCACACAATGCCACTCCGAATCCGCCCCGCCACCGAAGCCGACAGTTTCCGCATCGGCTGCATCGGCCGCGATGCCTTCCGCGACACCGTCTCCCGGGCACTCTTCCCTCCCGAGTTATACTCCAAATCCCCAACCGGCGATCCCGGATTGGACGAGGCACTCTGGCGCGCCGCAAGAAATACTCGAAGACTCAAAGAAGGCAAACTGACCTACGTCGCTATCGATGACCCGCAAGACGGCACGACAGCAGAACCAGAAGTAGTAGGATACTGCCAGTGGGAATTGCCCTGTTCCGAAGAGCAGTCCAATGCTGGGGCTCCGGAGGTGGACCGGGATCCGACGCCTCCGACGCTGGATCGGGAACGGGCGAGGGCGATTATGGAAATGGGGGAGAGGAAGATTAAGGAGGCGCTTGGGGAGGAGGGGCATAGGGATTTATGGTGTAAGTCCAATTCTTAACCAGAGGCTCTAGTAGTTCACCAAGCTCGACTAATGTGTTTATTACTTAGATCTCATGATCCTCGGCGTCGACCCAGCGCATCAGCGCCGGGGCATCGGCCGAATGCTGGTGCAGCACGGTCTGAACCTTGCCCGAGAGCAGGGAAAGGCTGCGTTTCTCATCGCGACGCCTGAGGGGAAAGGATTGTATCAGTCGCTCGGGTTTGAGCAGGTCGGGGACGCGTATGATGTTTATGGGACAGTGCATTGCTCGATGCTGTGGCGTGAACCACAGGCCGGTTCTGCTTGATTCAAGGATCCGGTCTAGTAACTCTAGTTATAAGGTGCGATTGCCATCAAGTTCAAGGCATTCTCAGATCTTATAATAGATACTATGGATGTAAAGGCAGAATATCTATAGGGATAAGTAGTCAAATAAATGTTCATAGACCTTTGCTGCCCGTTACCCCTTGCAGATGTTTGTGACAACTCCTTACTCCTTACATGTAAGTACCTAGTCAGTCTCATGATGCTCAACCAGACACCTTGATACATAACTTACCTATGTCAGCACTCAGCACTCACGCTGACTTCTATGTAAGGTGTTTTCAAGTTGTTACTGTGTCATGGAAACCTTGGTCGACGGACCATCTACTAGTAACTCGCTTCAATCTCCGAGGGGTTCCAAACACCTGATTAGTCCCTTCGAACATACCTACATAGATCGTGGGTTTGTTTGGTCCCCAAGAAACTCCGCTTGACGGTCGCAACACCCAGCCACAAAGAAGCAATGGTTCTCTCAGATCTATCGCTACATCTACTTTATTAGGTCGTAGGTAAAGGTTGGTGAGTATCCAACCCTGACAAGATTTGGTCCCATCTCTTGTGAGTCACAACCTGAACTGAGAACCAACAACAACATAAAGGACCCCGCCCCTGCGCATCTTCTGCGAATTCACTCACAATCCCGCAACAAGAACACTGTCTTCCCCAAGAAACCCAACGGCCGAAGGTGATACGCATACTCAAACAGTTGCAAACCACGGACCTGGTTTGGCCATGGAATCCTCTACAGAACCAAAAACCCTCTGTCTCCCAGCCTTCGAGGCATACCTTAAGGAGTTGGGACTACCCATCCCTATTCCTGCCTTCCCATCCACAAGCCCGATTCATAACCCCGTCGACATTTATCGGTCATATATTGCAGCCGCTCTGGAAAAGCTAATTGATTGTGACCGGAATCTGTTGTACGATTCCTTGCAATGGACCTCCAAGCCCTCTCAAGGAGACATAACGCTGGTGCTGCCGCGACTCAGGGTCAAAGCCGTCAAGCCCGAGGAACTTGGTGTAAAGTTAGCTGCTAAGGTCCGAGGACCCCCATTCTTTCCTTGCAGCCTCAGACCTAGTGTGCCTGACACCAGTCTAGTTCCCGGCACTCCCCCTGGTCAATCCTCCCGCACCAATGGGGAGTTATCTCCCGTTCTTCTATGCGCCCAAGCTGCTGCCTCGCCTCGTACTACCATTCATACAAGAGCGCAAGGCCTCCTACGGGCAGAACCCAACTCTCGGACACAAGAAGAAGGCCATTGTCGAGTTCTCCTCGCCAAACATTGCCAAGGAGTTCCACGCTGGGCACCTTCGGAGCACCATAATCGGTGCCTTTGTCGCCAATATCTATGAGAACATGGGCTGGGAAGTGGTGAGAATCAACTACCTCGGCGACTGGGGAAAACAATTCGGACTGCTGGCCGTGGGATGGGAGAAGTACGGGTCAGAAGAGCTGCTGCAGACCCAGCCACTAAAGCATCTCCTCGACGTCTACGTCAAGATCAACGCCGAGTTCAAGCCAGAGGAGGCAGCAAGCAAGAAAGCCAGGGACGAAGGCTTCGATACCACCGAAATTGAATCACAAGGCCTATTTGCAAAACGCAACGCCTTCTTCAAGCGTATGGAAGACGACGATGAAGCAGCTATTGCTCTTTGGAAACGGTTCCGCGACATCAGCATCAAGCGGTACATCGACATATACGCCCGCTTGGGCATCAGGTTCGACGAATACGCTGGCGAATCCCAGGTTCAACCGCAAACAATCACCGCGGTCGAGGCCCTCCTAAAACAAAAAGGCATCTACCGCGAAGACAAAGGCTCCTGGATCATCGACTTCACCCAACACGGCGCAAAGCACCTCGGAACCGCCATCGTCCGCGGCCGGACGGGGTCAACTACCTACCTCCTCCGCGACGTAGCAGCCATTCTGGACCGTGCAAAACAATACTCCTTCGACGAGATGATCTACGTCGTCTCTTCCGAACAGGATCTATACTTCCAACGTGTCTTCAAGACAGTCGAGCTGATGGGCCTTCCGGACCTCGCCGCCAAACTGAAGCACATCAACTTCGGCAAGGTATTGGGCATGTCCTCCCGGCTGGGCAAAGTCCAACTCCTGAGTGATATACTGGACAAATGCGGCAGCGCCATGCACGACCTGATGAAATCCAACCCAGACAAGTACGCGCAGGTGGAAAACCCGGCGGCGGTGGCCGATACGATTGGGATTACAGCCGTCATGGTCCAGGACATGTCCGGGAAGCGAATCAACAACTACCTCTTTGACATTAACCGCATGCTATCTTTTGAAGGCGACACAGGGCCGTACTTACAATACTGCCACGCAAGACTCTCTTCCATCCTCCGCAAATTCCAATCCCAATCCCAATACCCCAACCTCACCCCTCCCCATACCCATACCCACCACGCTACGTATATTGAGATTGACCACTCCTACCTCGAAGACCCTCATTCAACCGCCCTGCTGCGGACCATGGCACAGTACCCTGACGTGACGGGCACAGCATACAAGAACCTGGAGCCGTCTACCATACTGACCTATCTCTTTCGTCTTGCGCATCAGTTGTCGTCGAGCTATGACGTGCTGAAGGTGGTTGGTGCAGAGGAAGGGCCTGCGGCGAGTCTTGCGAGGGCGGGGTTGTATGATGCTGCCAGGCAGGTGCTTGGGAATGGCATGCGGTTGCTGGGGATTAAGCCGGTCGAGAGGTAAGTCTCGGTTGCATCGTAGCATTCCTTTCTGCTGATGAGAGCTGATGAGGGCTGACTGGATTGGATCTAGGATGTGACTCCTGAGAGGTGCCGTTGTATGCTGTGGTCCAGGGGTCGCCGACCTGCTAGCCACACCAGACGTGATTACTAGGTCCTCGTCACCTTCAACTAATCCAGAAATAGTCCCGACTTAGCGTCGGCTGGTATTTACTCATTGAATGGCACAGCCTTTGAAAACTTTTGAAAACTTGGTAGTAAAACGGGGCGAATTTCTCCCTTACCAAAGCTCAGGGGTTCTGTTCAGGGGCTCAGTTCAAACGACTCTTACGATCCTGTCTCTGCCCCCGTACCACTAGTCCCAACAAACACCACCAAAACAGCCGCATACGTAGCCGTTGCCGTCAGAGTGTCTTTGTTATCAGTCTGGAACGCTAGACTCATGATCAGCGCAAACGAGACGACTGCCACCGCCACCACTACGAGGCTCCGTGTCTGCGACGGTTGGAAAGACATGACAAGCATGGGAACAACAACTAGACAACCTCCACCCACAGCAACCAGGAAACGCGCGATCTGGTCTAATGAGCGGGAGTACAGAAGTGGTGGGAAGACGCTGGCTGTAACGAAGCTTGTTGGCGTCTCGCTCCTCGGCAGACCAGGCGAGGCGGCGGGGAAGATTCTTGCGGAGAAACTCGCGGACTGCGTCGGTTTTCCGGACTGCGTCTCGACGGATGGTGAGACACACCGAATAATACGGGGCGCCGGCGCGATTTGCGAGCAAGGGGAAGGCGTTGGAGAGGAGAATGCGTTTGTCTAGGATGGATTGGGGATCTGTGACTTGAGGGAGGTGGGTGAGGTAGTCGAGGTCTCGGATGGCGGTTGCTGTGGCTTCTGTTAGAGGTGTAGGGGTGGCTAAGGTACCTACTAAGTATTGTAACAGAAGTCGCCTCGCTGGGAGAGTTCTAGGGGAGTGTATGTGGCAAAGTAACTCACCATACTCCCGCAGGAGTGTTCTTAGTTTCTCCATATGTTCCTCCGATGTTTTTCGACAACCAACAAAGTCTGCTTTGATAAGCGCGAGCTCATTCTGCAGATGGATGAGATTCAGACGTTGAAGCGTTGCAAACTCGAGCAGGGTAAAGTCGTCTCGCGAGGTTTCCCCTGTATAGTCGACGAGTTTCGCCCAATAATCTGTGCTGTGAAATGGATTGGCTTCATTCACCCAATTAACCCTTGCAATTAGACTATCAGACAAATTTCATAGGCCTTCTTAGCACACATACACTGATGTGGGTTTCCCATGCGGGTTTCGGGTGACCCCGGGGTGGCTCCGAGTCCGCCTCTGTCACCCATGTTTTCCTCCCTAGGTAGGTAGGTAATGACTCCCGTCAATGAGTCAATGGGGGCTTCCAGTGTGAAAGGTGGGTTTGATTACAGTCAAAAACTCGGGATAATGCCGTTTAAAAACAACCCAGATCCTCAAGGTGAACGGGACCACCTGACTTGAGGATGCTGGACAAATCGAACGAGTATAGGGTTTCGGCGCGGTTGGTGACTGGACTCAAGAACTGGAGGGAAAGGCTGTAGGCGCCGAAGAGAAAGCCAGCACGCTTAGGTAGGTACCTAGGTAGGTACCTACCTTGACCACGTGATTTCTGCCCAATCTCGATCTTCTCTCCCTGATTCCAGAATGCCTGAACGCCCAACCTCAAGGCTTAATGCTGCTAGTGCTTTACACAGCGGTTGGCGGCGTTGGCCGTGTCCTTCGAAAAAATATTCCCTGCCATGGCACCCCAGCTTGCCTCTGAACGCATCATACTCCCTACATGCCGACTGAATCTATACCTTCCATCAGTCGGTAAACCCATGACGAGCGCGCAGTACTCTATGGGAATCATCTTCCTCCTCGGTGACTGCGCAAATCTTGCCCAGAGTCTCGCCGCAGAGTACAAACCACCAAAGAATATAACGACATCTAAGCCACGAAAACTCCTTTACTCCTTTCTTTCGAAGTTCGCTGGGTTGTTCCAGAGTGCGGCGGTAAACGAACCGGACGTTCCAAAGAAGCTCCTGAATCTTTGCGAACAATTTGTTATGTGGGGGAACGATTTAGTCGCCGCCGTGGAAGAAAGGTCGACAAAGCCCGATTTCGACCTTGGCAGATATCCGTGTACGCACTATCCCGAGTTTTCAACTAAGTACCTAGTACCCCCTAACTTAGGTCACTTCCCTAAGTTCTATAAAGCCCCATCGTCTTCGCAAAGCTAACGCTTCTGTACCTTAACACGGCTTGCAGATGGAGAACTGCCCAGTACATATGCAGCTATGAAAGCAGATCTGAAAAAGCCAATGACTGGTGCATTGGCTGATCCGTCGTCACTCAACACGAAGTTTGTTAGAGCATGGGCAGTGTCCGCAACTCGCCTTGTTACAGCGGCTGTGAGGGACACAAGGCAGTCAGACAGTTCGGGTCCCGATGATCAAGAGGAGACCGAGTTGTCATTTTCCAACTATGCTGAGATATCGGGGCGCCGGGGGTAAGATACATGGTCGACACGGATTCAGATTGAGGTACAGTACCCCTAGGACTCGTAGCTGGGATTTGTTTTTGACTGTATTGTACTCTGTGTCTCCATATCTTTAGGTTGTCTTCCAGATCCTTGAGCCTTGGGTACATGTACCTAAGCGCCTAAGGCCGGACACACCTACCTATCCTTGCACCCATAACCGTGTTCTTCAACTGACTCTAAACGACCCCTATTACCAGGTAGTACAGGAGATTCTACTACAGTCACGGCTAGATTCATGTTAACTAGGTACCTACTTAGGGACAGGAAATATGTAAGGAGAACGATGGTGCCTCATTCCATTTACCTATCTGAAGGAGCGCAGAAGCTTCGTTTTCACAATCAGGGTTGGTTTCCGAGAACGACAAGGTCTATCACTGTGTTGAAAGTACAGTCGTTGCAATCTGGTTGTTGCAGTCAGGTCATCGTCATAATTAAGGTTATAGTAATCGGTTAGATCGTCAGCTGTCAAATCATGGCATCGGATCTTTTCAGTCAAGTCGTCACTTGCAGTCCAATCAACACGCAGTTATATACCTATACAGTAGAGTCGTCGCATTTGGGGCCTTGCAGTGAAACGACATGGAGCCCTGAGGCCGTGCAGCGGCCGAGTACGGGATCACCTTAGGTCAGGGAAGAATCAACGAAAGCTTGAACTGACTCGGCTACGCTCACACCATCTCAGGGCTAGAGTGTAGAGGTACCAACGAACCAGGAAATCTTGTGTGTCCAGAGTCGTCTGTGTCCAGATTCCTCTCATAGATGATAGTATCATAGTACCAGGTAAGCTATGAGCGTTTAAGCGGCCATGTAAGTGAGTCTGAATACGACTTATGAAGCCTACTACATCAGCAATGCTTCGATGTCGAGTGATGTGATCATGGTCTTTTGGTAATGGGTATCATCTTCCTGGCTTCACGAGCTATCTCTGCGCCTGGGGCTCCAACCTAACAAAGCAGTTGGCAGCCTCAAGTTGCTACTCCTGACATGTCTCATGTCTCCTTCAAAACGAATGGTACAAAACCGGACATCCCTCTCGGCTGGGTCCCTCCATCAAGACCCAACCCAAACCACCTTGGACTCAAAAAAGTGCAGGCAATCAACTTTGCCATCACCTCCTAATCCCTCATCCCCACCCCTACACACCCCCCTTCTCCCCCGGCATAGCCACCTTCTCAGTCTCCGGAGGCGTGGCATCCCCAGGTGTATCCTTCCCCTCCGCCATGATAGCCTCCTGCGCCTGGATCGTCTTGGGATGCGACTTGCCCGTAAGATCCAGATAAATCGACCTGCACGTTCTCGCCAGTGTCCTGCGGCTCTCAAAGACTGGGAACAAGCCGACACCAATGAAAGAGCAGAAGATCCAGATGATGCCCACCGTGACCCAGCCGGTGAAGAAGGGCTTGCTGAAGATGTAGCCCGATCCGTACATGGGCATTGGCCAGAGGATTAGGAACGCGAGGGTCTGCGGTAGTCGTTAGCGTACCATCTTTGGTTCCGGGGCATGGTTTTGACAGGGACAGGGGCTTACCATAACGACAGTAGCTGACTTGCTAATCTTGCTCGCCCTCTGCAGCTTCCTCTGTTCCTCCTCAAACTCGACCCGCGACTCGTGGTGGCCGCCGGGGATCTCCTCAAGGTCCAGCCCCGCGGCATCAGCCAGGTCATGATCGTCGCCTCGGCGAATGTCCATCATCGATTTCCAGTCATACTTGTCAATGCCGAAGATCAGGGTAAAAATGGCGATCAGAACTATGGGTGAGAGCAATGCCGCAACGTTGCCTGCCAGCATGGGGTTGTTGGATCCCGTGCAGGCCACGCCCAGGTCACCGCATTCCCGCTTGGCCGTGACCAGCCAGGCGATGAGCGCGCAGGCGAGACCGAGGATTGGCGAGAGGGCGGCAGCCCATTTGTTTTGGCCAGCCCTGATTAGTACGTTCAGTCAGTCAGTGATCTAATACAGAGTAGCACAGATGAGAGCGCAAAGAATGACATACCAGATCAGAGTGAGCGTTGCCGGGAGCACCGCGGAGGAAATGATAACACCCATCATCAAATACAGATACCCCATGGAAATGCCGGCGTAATAAAGCCCAACGGAAAACGTGGCAATGAAGATGCCATAGCCGACGACGATGGTATGGCTCATGTAGATCAACCGCTTGCCGCTCGCCTCGGGGTTAAAATACGACCGGTAAAGATCGTACGTAATAATCGTGCTGACGGCGATCAACTGACTGGACGTGGCGCTCGTGACAGCCATGAAGACGATTAACAGGGTCCCAACGGCGCCGCCTTTTCCGAGCAACGCGACTGCGGCATACGGGAGAACCAGGCCGGCGCTTACGTCCGAGTCGAGCATTCGGTCGGGATACGTAGGGAACCACGGCGTGTTCTCGAGCGCCAGGGCGGCGAGACCCATGGTCGTAGCAGTCAGCCACGGGATGGCAAACCAGGAGAGACCGCCGAGAATGTACCCGGGGAGTGCGTGGACGGGCGAGGCAGCGATGGCCTTGTTGTAGTAGCCGTTGTCGAGGAAGACGGTGCCAAAGTTGCCTGGCTCGGAATCAGTACTACCCTAATGTATGTGGCTCGACAGAGTTGAGAAGAACCTACCAACAATGTTGATGACAAAGAAAATGGCGCCCTCGCGAGACTGCATCGTAAGGTAACTGCCATCCTTGTTGCCATCAACCGGATGGCGAGCAGCAGCTTGCACCAGCAGGTCATACACCGCACTGGGCGAGCCCAAGACCTCGTGAGACGCATACGTCGTCAGGGCAAAGACGATGAGGACAATCAGCAGGATAAAGGTGTGCGCCCAGTCGGTCAAGATGGTGGCTTTGAGGCCGCCCACGAGCGTGTAAGCGACCACACCAACAGGGAGAAGGTAAACTTGGATGTATCGGGTCAGCCAGCTCCTCTACATCCCCAGACCTATGCATCCACTTACTCGCAGCGATGGTATGCATGCCCGTCAAGGCATTGACCGTAGCCGAGCCGCCCACAATCAACATGAGCGACACCAGGATATTCGTCGCAAGCCCAAAGACCAAGAACACAATGTGCGCAAACGTGCCGTATCGCGCCTTGATGATTTCCAGATAAGTATGTGCATTCGGGGCGCGTCTCTTGAGCTCAATAGCCAGCGTAGCGAAGAGCAGGATCTGCACCGTGGCGCCCGAGGCGTACCAAAAGGGGCCGGAGACGCCATATCTGTAGCACACGCCGGTGCTTTGCAGGAGTGTGGCCGCCCATGTCCAGGACGAGACGACGGCTGAGGCGACCAGGCCGGATTTGACGGTGCGCCCGGCCGTGTTGAACATTTCGGAGGTCTGGAGCTCCCGGTTGTACCGGCGCAGGATGTAAGTCACCGCTATCATGCCTGTTGCTGCGTTAGCAATCCAGATAGAAGAGCACTGCATGATGGGAGGGGAGGGATCTTACCAAGCGCAAAAGCGCCTCCCAGACCCAACACAATGCCATATCCCACGCCCTGGCCCAGGGCTGCGGCGGCTATGTGTTCCTCATTTGCAGGAGCGTGGTCCATTTCAGCCCGTCAAGCCACTCGCAAGTGCTGGCTAGCTGGGGAAGATGAAAGCTGACCGAGAGCGAAAGGGGAGGTCCTTTGCAAGGCGTGAGAAAAGATGATGTGGAACATGATGGGAAGCAAGCACATGCTATATATCTCCGGAAACCTTGTAAACGATTGTGAAGAGCTCGCCCACAGCTATACCATGATTAGACTCCATGGCCAGATACCTATCGGTATGGTAAGAGCTTATCGGGCTAATCACAAGCCAGGGTTGAGGGCAGGGAAAGATGGAACGCCATGAGATATCAGACTGCATCCCCTCCAGGTTCTGCCGAATCAGATGGCTTACCCGATGGCTTGGGACGAATGGGCGAATTCTGGGGATGCCACTGCAAAGACGACTCGGGAGTCGGGACTTCTCTACCGCCCCCACCCAGAGGTGCTGCGGGACGGAGGTCGGGTTGTATGTAGTAACAGGCATCAGTCAGCATCCATTATCGAGGGCATCTTTCTGGTTAGGATGGTACAATGTATCAGATCAAAGGGCGTATGTGATTCTGCAAGCTGTGGATATCAGAGCGATAGGGCCCTCGCAGCCCTCGCTTTGCAGTCTGGACCCTTGCCTGGTTGGGACCTGACTACCGGAGTTGTGAAAGGCTGTCATGCAGCTAAGAGATAAGCGGAACCGAATCAATCAGTCATAGGTTTTAGACGGCCGACCCTTGTTGTTAGCTTTGTTTGGCCAATCGGGGACGAATTAAGATGGGTCTTAAATGTTTGAAGAGCTCAAAGCCATCAAGGAATGATTGTCGCGTGTAAGCTAGGTACCTACATAGCGGTTAGCAGATGGTGCTTCTAGAAGCACAATGTTTGAGATCTTGGTGATCTTGGTGTCCACCATGCATTGGGTTAACTTGAGACATATGCAGCCCAAGCAGCATTCGCATCAAACAGAGACATCGCCGTTTCCTGGTCCCGCTGGAGCTCGATTACTCGATCGTATTGACGAGCGATTTGCGCTTGGTCGCGTTGTGACAAGGTTGGAGATAAGATGCCAGAGCGGGTAATTATCTCGATTTGACGTTGAAGAGTGGGGACGCCGAAAACGCTCTGCGGTTTCTTTCTTCAATCTTCATCTTCTTTAGCAGCTTGCTAGCCCCCGTTAAGGCAAGGCTTAGGCCAATGTGGTAAGAGCCTTACCTTCGTACCTTACTTCAATGACCATGCCGATTCACAACTCGTGGTGATTGCTGCAAAAGTCCCTAGTGAAGAACGCTTCAGGTCGAGGGTTGTTTGATAGGCGCAGACTCGATTACACGATTGGCTGATGCCAGTGGGGTTGCTCGTGCTTGCCGGGCCACCCCGTGTTTCGTGTCACGGCGCGGCACCGATGCCGGCGTGGGGGTGGGCATGGCTCCTGCCAGACTCACCTCGGTCAGCTCCGATTACCGAGCGTACACTCTTGACTCCGACTTTCGTCAAACTCTCCATGCATACGGAGTACCGAGGATGCTGATGGATTAGCTTATTAGTTAAGTGCTCCATATGGCACCAGAAACCTCCCAACGATCAAAAAGCGCTGCACCGTACGAACCGTACGGAGGTACGGATACATACATACAGTACCGGTACCGTGCGGCACTGTGGGGCTGGCCCTCGAGCTCCGACTAAGTCCAAGTCCAGCCCGTTGGCCACGGGAGATGCCGCATTTTCAGCTGAGCAGCTTCCTCTGCGGCTGACAAGTCTGCTCTTGAGAGGGAGAGTAGTTCCGTCAACATGACGACCACCAAAGCGTAATAGAGACTCGCATCGAGCTCAGTCAATCTTTTAGAGTCTTTTGTCCAAGTTTTGTCGGATTCAACTTGTATGGGTCTCGTCGGGCGGCAGGCGCGGACCTGAAGGAACGCGCACATTCTACCCGGCAACTTCATCTTGTCAGCGCTCCCTGCGAGGCAGACATCCTCTTTTTCGAAACCAACGACCCGAGTAAAGCCCGCTCGACGACATGGCTCGCGACGAGAGCAGGGAAGGTCTCCTCCAGGATACCAGAAGGCAATCACTGGACAGCGACGGCGAAGACTCCGGATCCGACTTTGAAGCGACCGACTTCTTAGACCACGATACCTTGACACCTTCCGCTCGGGCTCCCCGCCGAAGACTCGGACGATGGCCGCTTATCCAGAACCTCTCGAGGCGCAGCCGATGCTGCATCTGGACCCTGGCCGCCACCGCCATCCTACTCCTCCTCCTCACCCTCAGCGGCGCATTCCTCTACAAAAAATACCAAGACGAGCCTCCATACGGCCTCTCCCCGCCCTGGTACCCCTCTCCCAAAGGCGGGATCGCCCACACCTGGGCAGCCAGCTACGAAAAAGCCTCCAAACTCGTCAGCCGCATGACCCTCCCCGAGAAGGTCAACATCACAACCGGAACAGGCTGGCAGATGGGGTTAGCAGTCGGCACGAACGGTCCCGCAGTGCACGTCGGCTTCCCTCAACTCCAACTGCAAGACGGCCCCCTAGGGATCCGCTTCGCCGACAACATCACCGCCTTCCCAGCCGGCATCACCGTCGGCGCGACCTGGAACCGCCGTCTCATGTACGCCCGCGGCAAAGCGCACGCCATTGAAGCCCGAGGAAAGGGGATCAATGTCCTCCTAGGCCCCTGCGTGGGACCTCTGGGCCGGATGCCAGCCGGCGGACGCAACTGGGAGGGGTTCGGCGCAGACCCGTATCTCCAGGGCGTTGCTGGGGCTGAGACAGTCAAGGGCATCCAGAGCGAGGGGGTTATGGCTACGATCAAGCACTTTGTGGCTAATGAGCAGGAGCATTTCCGGCAGCCGTGGGAATGGGGCCTGCCGCATGCTATCAGTGCTAACATTGATGATCGGACGCTGCACGAGTTGTATGTCTGGCCGTTTGGGGACGCGGTTAGGGCGGGCGTGGCGGCGGTTATGTGCTCGTATAATATGGTTAACAATTCCTACGCGTGTGGGAATAGTAAGCTGCTGAATGGGATTTTGAAGGATGAGCTTGGGTTTCAGGGGTTTGTGATGAGCGACTGGCTTGCGCAGCGGGCGGGTGTGGCCACGGCGCTGGCCGGGCTGGATATGACCATGCCGGGGGATGGGCTGCGATGGGCAAATGGTGAGTCGCTGTGGGGGCCGCAGCTTACCAGGGCCGTCCTGAACGGCAGTGTGCCCGTGGAGCGGCTGAATGATATGGTGACGCGTATCGTTGCGGCGTGGTATCAGATGGGTCAGGACGATGAGGCTAAATTCCCACGGCGTCCTCCGAACTTTTCGTCGTGGACCGATGATCGCATGGGCGTTCTTTCCCCGGGTAGTCCCAGCCCGCAGGAGGAGGTTGTTGTCAACGAGTTTGTGGAGGTCCAGGCCAACCATTCCATCATTGCGCGCGAGGTGGCCGCCGAGGGGACCGTGTTGCTCAAAAATGAAGGGTTGCTGCCAATCAGTCGACAGGGGCTTGACGAGTCGAGGCTCAAGACGAGGCGCACGATTGTTGAACGGGCGACTGGGAAGCTGCATTCGGGAAAGTTCAAGGTGGGAATCTTTGGAGAGGATGCCGGACCTGGGAACGGGCCAAATTTCTGCAAAGACCGCGCTTGGTACGTATAAGGATCGACCTCTCGAATTATTGCTGTGGTACTCTGTGATACTAACCACCCCTTCAGCAATCAAGGCACGCTCGGATCGGGCTGGGGCTCCGGAGCTGTTGAGTTCCCCTATCTGGTCTCACCCGTCGAGGCACTTCGCAAGCAGTTTGACGACTCCAAGGTCGAGCTCCACGAATACCTCACGAACAAGCCAGTCCTAAGCGGCAGCAACACGACAATCGACGACCTCGAGTTGTGCATCGTGTTCGTCAACGCCGACTCGGGTGAGGGTTTCGCAAAGTGGGACAATGTTCGGGGCGACCGGCCAGACTTGAACCTTCAGAGCGGCGGCGACGACCTCATCGTCAACGTAGCGAGCAGGTGCGGCGGAGGGAGCGGCGATGTCTTGGTCGTCGTGCATGCCGTCGGTCCCGTGCTGATGGAAAAGTGGATCGAGTTGCCCAACGTCAAGGCAGTCCTCCTCGCCAACCTCCCCGGCCAAGAGTCGGGCAACGCACTGAGCGATATCCTCTTTGGCGACACCAACCCGTCAGGCCACCTCCCCTTTACCATCGGCAAAAGCCTTGCAGATTACGGCCCCGGCGGGCAGGTGCTCTACCTCCCCAACGGCGTGGTCCCGCAGCAAGACTTCTCCGAGGGCCTTTACATCGACTACCGCTACTTCGACAAGCACAACATCTCGCCCCGCTTCGAGTTCGGCTTCGGCCTCAGCTACACCACCTTCAACTTCAGCAACCTCCGCGTCTCGTCGCACAGAACCAAGTCACCTCTCCCGCTTCCCCGCCCGAGTCCCGCCGCCAAACCCCCTACATACCCAACCGCCATCCCGCCCAAAACTCAGGCATTGTTCCCTGCCAACTTCCGCCCGCTGGAGAAATACATCTACCCATACCTCTCATCAGTAGACGACATAGAACCCGGCCCCTATCCATACCCAGACGGATACTCCACCGCCCAACCGTTAAGCGGAGCAGGCGGCGCCGAGGGCGGCAACCCTGATCTGTGGGGCATCTACGCCGAGGTGACAGTGAACATTAGGAATGATGGGCCCGTGGCGGGCGCGGTCGTGGCACAGCTGTACTTGGAGTACCCTGAGAAAGACGGGGTGGATTTCCCGGTCAGGGTGCTCAGGGGGTTTGACAAGCTTTACCTCAAACCGGGGGAGATTGGGACGGCGCATTTTGCGCTGACGAGGAGGGATTTGAGTTATTGGGATGTGCAAGAGCAGAATTGGGTCATGGTTACAGGCCTCGGTACGGAGGGGAGGTGTAGGGTGTGGGTGGGGGAGAGTTCGAGGGATTTAAGGGTTAGTGGGGTGTGGTAAGGGTGAGGTCCCTGGCTTTGAGTCGGCTTCGACTCTGAGGATCGGGGTCCGTAGGTAGTGTCTGTTGTTTCGATATATGTATAAGGTAGATGGGACTCTTAAGGGACTCTGGAGTGGGTAACTGGCTCGGTTTAAGTTTGGGTTGTGGCTTCGGAAGGATTGGGACTACTCGCTATGTGCACATATTACTAGCAAAGGGGAAAGGATGTAATGTAATATATAGCTTCCATAATACTTGCAGGTTGAATCCCTCTCATTGGAACATCCCGTTGGTCAAGATGAGAAGAGGACCTCGGAGCATGAGGCACCTGGGGGTTAGGGTACCTTAGGGTTGAGATGTTCGCGCCGAGGTGCGCCAAGGCCTTGGGCGAATGGACCCCTGAAACATTGCACTGCCCCTTCCCTTCCGCCCTCGCGATTCACCCTTTCACCTCGACTTTTGCATGCTCCCTGGCGTCAATTGCTCGCCCCAAAAGCCCAATTGCAGTCGGATGACCTGTCTTTATCTTGCAAGATCATCTGCATAGCACTTTCACGACAAAGATTGGGCGATCGCAACCACTTGACCGCTCAAACCCCCCACCGCACCCCGCGCTTCCAGTTTCTCTTGACGCCCGCCGAGCAACCCACCTCACCGACGGGAACCCCCCAACACCTCACCACCAGCTAGCCATGTCGGGCGCCGACGCCCCTGAAATCCTCGCCGCGTACGACGCCGTCCGCTCCGACAAGGACGCGACCAACTGGCTTCTGATCTCCTACGCAGCACCAACCGGCAACCAACTCGTGCTAAGCAAGACCGGCACAGGCGGGCTGGCCGAGCTCGCCGCGGAGCTGGACGATTCCCAAGTGCAATACGCCTACGTGCGGGTCGAGTACGCCAACGACGCCGAGAGCAAACGCGTGAAGTTCTGTCTGGTGGTTTGGATTGGGGAACACACGAAAGTGATGAGGAAGGCGAGGGTTAGTATTGAGGCCGGGGCGGTCAAGAAGGTGCTCGCGCATTATAGTGTGCAGGTGGATGCTGGGGAGAGGAGGGATTTGGATGAGGGGGAGATTATCAAGAGGTTGAGGAAGGCGGGCGGGGCGGATTATAATGGTGGTCGGGGGTGAGTGAGGACGGGAGTGAAGGGGACATGAAGCATACCTACATATCGCGAGTAGAGCATAGCGTGGCGGTTGAGGGATTGGGGCTTGAAGATGACGGGCGGGCGGCTTTTCTGGTTGATTTCCCCAGCCTGCGCTGACATGGACGTTGCTCAGAGTCAATTTGGGTTTCTTCAAGTTCTACGCTGGATTTCCGGCTTTGTGGTTCAAGGTGCAAATGCATTTCTGCGTTTCCCCCTGCGTATGCTACCTGAGGCGCAATTCCTCGGCTCCGAAGCTCAGGATCCCGGCCCGACATCGATTTGTAATCCGGTTCCGGGCCGCGACCGGGCTCCATCCCCAAGCCTGTGGCCAAATGCACTGCAGGCTCGCAGGTGCATTGGAACAAACTGGAGTTGGATGGATCCAGCAGTAATCATTACCCGGATATCCGGGCCACGGCTGTGGACTTCGGACGATCGGTGCATGATGCACATGGCCCGGACTTAAACTGCAAAGACCGCCGATGACATTTACTTATTTTGCCCCTCGGTCTCCCCTTCCCCAGAATTTCCACCCCCTCCATTTTGATATGAACCTTTAATACCTATCAGTCCACCCACCCCAACATCCAGTCAAATGGCGCGCATCTTCATAACCGGCTCCTCCGACGGCCTCGGTTCCCTAACCGCCAAACGCCTCATCTCCCTCGGCCACACCGTCATCTTACACGCGCGCAATCCCTCCCGCGCGCGTGACGCCGCGGCCGCCTGCCCCGGCGCCTCAGCAGTCCTGGTAGCCGACCTATCCAGCCTCGAGGAAACCAAAACCCTCGCCGCCGAGGCCGACAAGCACGGGCCGTACGACGCCATCCTCCACAACGCGGGCGTCTACACCGAGATGGAGGGCGTCCCGGGTAAATCCGGCCTGCCGACGCTGTTTGCCGTGAATACGCTCGCGCCGTACACACTGACCTGCCTGATGGCACGGCCGAAACGGCTGGTGTATGTGTCGTCGAGTCTGCATATGAGCGGGGAGCCGAGGGTTGGGGTGGATGGGAAGGGTGGTAAGAAGATTTTGGCCACGCGGTATGGGGATAGTAAGCTGCATAATGTCATGTTTGCCAAGGCATTTGCGCGGCGCTGGGGGCCAGGGGTTAGGTGCTACTCGGTTGATCCGGGTTGGGTTCCGACTAAGATGGGGGGTAAGTCGGCGACGGATAATCTTGAGGAGGCGATTGACTCGTTTGTGATGCTTGCGTTGGGCGAGGGGGAGGAGGGGTGGACGCCGGGGGGGTATTTTCGTGGTGCGAAAGAGAGGAAGCCGAGTGCCCTGGCGGAGGATACGGCGGTGCAGGATCGGTTGCTGGAGGAGTTGGCCGAGATCAGTGGTGTGCCTAGGCCGAAAGAGTAATGGATATGATAGAATAGGTATAGATTATACCACTAGTGTCTGGTTCATTCAAGTTTCAATGCTTTTAAGATGGAAGAATAGAGCAGTTACAGTTGGGACGTCCCATCGCCTTGTACATACAGGTATCAGACTCAATGGCGAGGATGAGCTCCAGTCTTGCGCTGACATTAACTGCCTCATTTTCATGTTGCTTTAACAACCACCCATGATGCATGTAGAACAAGCGGACCCAGATAATTCCGGGGATTGCCCCAGCAGCCGATGGTCTTACTTTCAAAGGCAGCGGCGTTGACAACAAGACTCGCAACATGAACGGGCAGCCACCCACTGGCCGCGATTATGCGAGCCAGTTGCTTTCATTGGATCACTAAGTATTTACATAAGAGATTTTTCCGTGATCCGTGACTAGTACCAGCTTTGGCCTTTTGCGAGGAAAACCTCGCTGTCGTCGCCATGCCTGGTAATCTTCATACTGTCTATTAAGGGTCTCAACTTTTTCCGCTACCAGATCCTCGTACTGTTGCCTTGTCACGGACGGCTCATTATAGGACAGTTGGATGCCCGATGGTAGAATCTCGGCCGCAAGCCTATCCATACGATCCCAAGGATATTCCAAGCCCTCGCTTGAATATGGCCTAGCCCACGGGATCTCAATAATTGGCTCAGGCGTGGAACGAATGATGATACGCCGTAGCGGAATCTCACGGGCTATGGCAGCCCCCGCGAATTTTCGCAGAAAATCCTCCTCCCGTTGCTGGAAGCCGCTGAGTTTATAGGCGTCCACCCAGTCCCCCGACCACCCGTCGCCGGGCTCAAATAACCGCTCAAACACTTGAAGGCACGGGGCTAAGATATCAATCGGACTTGAATCATAACGCCTCACCCAAGCCAAGCAGATAGATAAACTCAAAAAGGTCAATTGCTTGAAAGGGGTGAAGTCGACCTCGACAAGACCTCGGTTCCTGATCAGGAGCTCAGGAGTCAGGGCGTAGACGCGACTGACCCGGATGGACTCTAGCGACGAAGCGAAGGGGAGTATAAAGTCCCGCACGCTTCGCAAATCGAGATGTGGTTCTAAGTAACGTGGTGCAGGTTCCAATAAGAGTAAACTTGGTGAGTCTCCTGGACCAACATAGCAGAGCTTGCAAGGCCCCTAGCCCTCCATCGAGCTCAAAGTTTTCAACACAGACCTCAGTAATTTGAAACTGAAAGGGGCTGTTGATGTTCTAGTAATTGTTGATTTCCTTGGTTAGCCCCGTCTGAACCTTATCCTTTGCATCTGACTGTGTAAGGTAGGACTAGCAGAACTATTACCTTTAGTTCCGGATTTCTAGAAGTATCGCTGAGCTCGAAGAAATTCGGCTCCTGGGTGTCTGGCATCACGTTGCTCCCCGTAGTATTGAGCGCAAGCTCTCCGATAAGTGTCAACTTCCGGGGCCGCCGCGGCGCCCAGCAGCGGGGCTGGGGCCCGATCAAGAGGATCTTCTCCAAACGGGTCATATTAGCCCAAGCGGCTGATAGGAGGTCCCAGTAAGCAGTCAGGTAGACAACTCCGTCTCCCAGAATGGTGAGGCTCCTGACTTGTTTACACCCGGTTAACATACAGGTCACTGGAATTCGGAGGCGATTGGGCAGCGGGGCCTGGGTCCAGACGATCGACAAGGAAAGGCGCATGTCGAGTACCAGGTGTCTACATAAGAGCAGAAGACTTTGGTTTCTCCGGACGCTCCTGTGTAGAAGCTCCAGTGCCTTTATGAGAACAGTGCCAGAGTCCCGACAGCGAAATTTAGACTTCACTTTGTCAAGTGCTTCCTCCAGATCCCTCCGCCAGCAGAGCACCGTCATTGGGGGGGCGTCGAGGATGTTCCCAAGGACAATAGTTGAGTACGGGAGAGGCATAGAGAGAGCGTAGAACCGGCGGCAAACCAACGTTAGGGCCCAACGGGGGGCGTAGAGCCTGGCCAGTTTATAGTTATAAGCTTTGTCCGGCCAGGCTCCTTCAATGTTCATGATCTCGACCAGCACATCATCCGGCAGTCGGAGGATGAAGCAACGCTGGATTCTTTGTATCCGTGGGGTGGGCCGCTCCCGTGGCATGTCGCCGGGCGCCGTGGACTGTGACATGGAAAGGGAAGCAAAATTGGTTGACGATCTGGTTGCGATACCGTTCGGCGCTGAGGGTACTAGCATTGTAGTACCAGGTAATGATGAGTGATCAGGGGCTTCGGCTCGGATCGTGTCGGCGGAGCTCTCCCTCGAAGTCGTTAGGTTCGACCGATTCCGAAACGGCGCCAAATCACGGCACTCAACGGGGAGTAAGTTACCTCATCCAATCGTTGCGGTCTCGTTTAGCTTTGTCTGACCAGCGGGATAGGCAGGTAATGGATGCGGCACGGATAGACCTTATCAATGGCCGACGTGTGCAACAAGTGGAATCAGCTCTGCTAATATACTAGTTAAAAATAGGGGGGGGGGGATGCTGGCTACCTGAAGCAAATTGGGGGTTTGCAATATAATGATGGTTGTCGTCACTATAGCTGTTTGCTCTTTGGCTTCATCCAGGTTGCTCATCCACTTCTTAGTCATGGAACCCATACTTCAATCTCACTTTGTCTCTCTTGGTGGAGTTCTTAGATCTAGGTTACAAGAGCAATCAACATTGAATTTATTATCAGTTGGCCCTCATTACATGGCATGTTTGTGTAAGAGTGGCCGCCCTAAGGCTCAACGAGACCCCTGATCAAACATATGGATCTACCAATAGCCCATTAAGGGGGTTTGCCCCGTTGCTTGCGCAGACAGATTGCTGCATCTTGAGACGTCCATCCTAGTAACAGGTCATGTCTGAGCAACGATACCTTACAATCCGAGACTAAACAAATCTATTCCCCTTGTCTAGAGCAACGCACAAGACATCATATTGTACCATGAGGGTACCCTGGTAGCTATCGTCTTCTTCCTTTCCCATCTCCTGATCCGACACTTTCAGGCCACTTCTCAGTGGATTCGTACATCCCGAGCCAAATAGTACATGCCAAATAATAGATGTACTCAACTTATATGTGTAGGACGAGTTGAACAGCACTTCGTACTTGTACTTGCAAGCCTACCTTACCTGATCCGATTACATACTACCTACATAGCACTCTACACATTCATCAAGACAGCAGCAGGATATACCAGAAAATTCAAAACGGTGAACGTTCCATGGATAGATGCCGCAGTGAAGATTCATGCCGGAAACACGATATACTAGGCTTGGTTCGAAGAGGCAGGGTGCGCCAGCTGAGTGGCGGCCGGATCCCGCGTTAGCACACAAGCCCCTAACATGAGAGTAAGCACATATAACACCCCGGTCACTGCCTCAAAGCAGCCACCTCCATGATTGGTATAGTAGCGGGGTAGAAGCTCGAGTTCTGTGGCCTCCCACCATTGCGAACCTGAACCTCTTCCGTCGTCATGAACCGTTTCCCGTCATCTCCCGCTAGGAATAAGATATCCATGATAGCCCCGGGCCGAATGCCATATTGATAACCCCTAAGTTGTTGAGCTTGCCTCTTTGAAAGATCAAGTTTAAAGCAGCCAGGCTCAGTCTCATTAGTACAACAAGAGCGACCGTTGAACCCTTGACTACAGCTAGTGTTACATACAATGGAATCGCCCCCAAAGGCAGAGCCTACCGCTGGCTCATACCTCCTTATCCTGAGCACGCTCGCTCTCTGCTACTACATAACATCCTCCCTCCTCGCCTGGTATCGCCTCCGCGAGTTCAACGGCCCATTCCTCAGCCACTTCTCCTACCTCTGGCTCATGCGCACCCTTGGCAGAGGGAGCATGGGCGAGCGCTTCGCGGCAGCAAACCAGCAGTACGGCTCGGGACCCTCTTCAACGATACGCATCGGCCCCAATGAGCTCATCACATCCGACCCGGAGGTGATCCGCCGCATGTCAGCCGCGCGGTCCAAATACGCCCGGTCCAGCTGGTACAAGCTCAACACGATCGATCGGTACGAAGACTCCATGTTCAGCACGCTCGACACGGCCGCGCACGACCGGCTCAAGGCGCAAACGGCGCCGGGGTACGCGGGCAAGGACAACCCGGACCTCGAGGGGGATATTGATTTAATTATGGCACAGATGGTCGACAAGATCCGCACAAAGTACGCGGCCAGGAATCCGAGTGACAGGGCAAACATGCCCTTGTTTGACTTCGCGCCCATGGCGCAGTTCTTCACCCTGGACTCCATCTCCAAGGTCGCTTTTGGCCAGGAGTTTGGGCTGATCCGGCAGGAGAAGGACATCTATGGGCACATCGATATGCTCAACGAGGTGGCCGCGCCCGTCGTGGTGGCCGGCGCAGTCCCGTACCTGCGGGCCATCATAGGGTCTAAGCTTGTGCTCAAGCTCGCTGGGCCGAAACCGGGAGATAAGAGGGGATTTGGGAGGATCATGCCGTTTGTGATTCCCACTCCAAGTCCCTCATGCCTGGCCACCACTGACAGATGAGCCTTCCCTGCAGAATCGCCCAAGAAGTCGTCAACAAACGCTTCGGACCCGACGCAAAGGACAAAGATGACATGCTGGTCAGTGTTATAGCCCAATTTGTGGTTAGCAGCCATGCACAGGCAGGACATACACTAACCATCTGCACCTTGGACGGCACATGCAGGGCTCCTTCATCCGGCACGGTCTGAGCAAGCGCGAGTGCGAGGCCGAAGCACTCTTCCAGATCGTTGCCGGCTCCGACACCACGGCCACCGCCATCCGCGCAACCCTGCTGTACCTCCTCACCACGCCACTCGCATACCGCGCGCTGCAGACCGAGATCGACCGGGGCATCCGCACCGGCAGGATCTCGAGCCCCATCACGAATGCCGAGGCTATGGAGATGCCGTATCTGCAGGTAACATCTGTCCCATGCTTCAAGTTGCCCGCTCCAAGTTATCTCAGCGGAACAAGCCTGAACGTCAAGATTCCAAGCTGACATAGGACGGGGTGAGAAAGGGTGTAATCTACGAAGGCCTCCGCCTTTACCCGCCCTTCACCGGGCTGCCCTTCAAAGTAGTCCCCAGCCCAGAAGGCGACACAATCGACGACAAGCACGTGCCCCCAGGGACGCTCATCGCACCAAATTTCTGGGCGACGGGGCGGCACCGGGGCGTGTTTGGGCGCGACGCCGACGTGTTCCGCCCGGAAAGATGGATCGAGGCGACGACGGATGAAGATGGGCAGAAAGCCGCCGAGATGCGGCGGGTTGCTGAGCTTGCGTTTGGCTATGGACGGTGGGGGTGCGCGGGCAAGACGCTGGCGTTTATGGAGTTGAATAAGGTTTTTGTAGAGGTGAGTGTCCCTCCGAATGGACTTGAAATGTTGAGGACTGGTTACTGCCAGTATTTGATGCAAGCAGTGAGAATGGTGGTCGTTGATATTGATATTGATTTGGGGTGTGGGACAGTTGCTCCGCCGCTTCGACCTCCAGCTGGTGTATCCCTACCGGCCGTGGAAGAGCTTCAACTACAACCTGTTCTTGCAGAGTGAGATGTGGGTGAGCGTCGTGCTGCGTGAAGGACAAGGCGATTAATACAGATGACGTTGGGTCGATAATGCTATGGGTCAGCTGCGGGACTATTAATTTCAAACGCTGGAGGCTGTTAAATGTACGTGCTGATGATCCGGTGAAGCTTTTCCAGCGACGAGCGCAGCGTGCTACGGTGATGCCTTCACCAGCATTTGTGCTCAATCCCGAGATAACGGCGCAGCATCGGGGCCAATCCGCCTAAACGGCCAAGATTTGGCAAATTATGTCGATCCGTGGCGGTCAGGGTAGCATTCGCTGCAACATCTTTTGCTCAAGTTCCATAGCGTTCACAAGGAGCTTGTGCAGATGCGGAGCTATGAAACACCAAACCCGTCTTGGTGTTTGCACCTTTTCCTCGTCCCGCGACGTCACTGGGCCAGGAGATTCCAAACTCAAAGACAACAGGGTTGAACTTATCTAGATCCCATCGTGTTGTACCGAGTTTCTGAATCCAAAAATCCCAATCGTTGTTGATAATCTCCAATCTCTGAATGCGGAAGTCGCTCCCAGAGCTGAATTGCCAAGACACTTGTGCAAACAGCCAGGGTCAAAACCGACCCTTGCCAGTGCCACAAATTCAGGGGTTGTGCAGTGTTGATCCGTGCTCACGGCAAGCTATTCCCGTTTGGGCTGGTCGCAGGGGACCTTCCGGGTACCTGCACTTATCTGCACGCCGCCTTTTACCCCTTGATCCTCCCTTCCATTTTCCCCGCGACCTGTGCTGCCGGCGTTTCCCTCATCGTCGCCATCCTCTCGAGACACATCGCTTCCTCCCCATCATGTGCTGACCTCCGTGTCGTGTCCACTCCTTTTGAATTGGCTGTCGCTCATTTCTGTAGCAAGCCCGTCTTGCTGTCCAAATCCTCAGCAGAGGCGTCGCAATCTCTCACCGTGAACTTTTTCGGCCCACACACTATTTCGATACCTCACGTCTACACGACTGTCTTTTCCACATCTGCTGCCGGTCAATTGACTTGATCTTCTGGCTTCAGCTGCTTTTGCTCATCCACTCTTTTCTGCATCGGAGTCCTGGAGACACCTGAAATTCGATTTAAAGGTTACATACATATATGCAATCTTGAGCATTCAAGCCGAAATATCACCTACGATACCCAACATCTCTCGAGCGGAGATCGACTGGCCCTCCGAGTCGCTGCTTCGAATCACCCTACCGTCATCGTCTCCTTTCTAATCAGCATCCGCCTCAGCCATGTGGTTATCCCGATCACTCAGGTCCCCAGCCATTGCGCTGCTGGCTGGGTCTATCCTCGTTCAAAATGCCGTCGCCCAAGTCACAACGGATTGCTTCCCCATGAACAAGACCTGCCCGCCCGACCCCGCCTTGGGCATGGAATACAACTTCAACTTCAACCAAACCCCCAACGCCGATATCTGGGAGACCACGGTCGGCCCCGTCGAGTACGATGTAAATACCGGAGCAAAGTTTAGGATTTCGAAGCAGGGCGACTCGCCCACCATACGCTCAAAATTCTACTTCTTCTGGGGGCGCGCCGAGATTTGGCTGAAGGCTTCGAAAGGGACTGGCGTCATCAGCTCTGTCATGTTCTTGAGCGACAACCTCGACGAGATCGACTGGGAGTTCTTTGGCGGCAACGAGACCTACGCCCAGAGCAACTACTTTGGAAAAGGCGTTCCGGACTTCCGCAACGCCGGCTTCCATCCTGTCTCTGGCGGCGTTCAGGACGACTACCACAACTACACCACCGTCTGGACAAAAGACTATCTGGATTTCTACGTCGACGGCGCCAAGGTGCGCACCCTGCTGCCCAAAGATGCAAACAACTCGTATTACTATCCCCAAACACCGATGCGCGTATCGATCGGCATCTGGGCCGGCGGCGACCCGAGACTCCCTGAAGGAACGCGGGAATGGGCTGGAGGCACCACCGACTACGGGCAGGGACCGTTCGACATGTTTGTCAAGAGCGCCCACATCGCCGATTATAGCAGTGGGAAGGAATACGTGTACGGCGACAAAAGCGGCTCGTGGGAGAGCATCCAGGTGGTGTCGTAAGCTCCCCTGTTTTCCACCGCCGTATTTACGAAAGATCAGCTGACCATCCTCCCGCGGACAGGGGCAACTCAACCGTCAAGCAAGTGATCACCGCCCCGCCCGAAAAGACCCTCGCCCAGAAATGGGACGAACTGCCCAGCGGCGCCAAAATCGCCATCTACGCCAGCGCCGCCGGCCTCGGCGTCTTACTAGTCGCATGGGGTCTAATCTACTGCATCCGCCAACGCCGCCGCGGAGCCCGTGAGGCCAAAGCCGCCGAAGCCCGCGCCGAGGCCGAGCGGCTCGAGCTCGAGCGCTTCAAAAAGGCCGGCGTCGACCCGGACAGCTTCGTCACCAACGCAAGCGAATACCACGCCAAAGACATGCGCGACGGCCATTTCGGCGACAACGACAGCTACAGCATCCCGCCCTCGCCCGTTGCCGAGGCATCCCCACTGGGCGAGAAACAGTGGGATTCATCCTCTGCCGCCATCGCTGCCAGCGCCACCGCCATGCGAAGCCCCATGCCCCTTCTCCAGCACGGACACGGTGCGGGAGCGCAGTCGCCTCGCGCCGCGTCACCCGGGATGGGGACGCCGTACTCTGACATGAGATCACCGCCACCAGCTAGGCACGCGCAGTCACCAGCCCCGTCTGTGTCTGCGATGAGCCCATCGTCGCAGCGGAACTTTGCGCAGCAACCTCCACACCGCAGCTTCACTAGTCCGAATCCCCAGATGCGAGTCGCCTCGCCTGCGCCGTCGCAACGCGGTGGTTTTGATGGCAACAACAGGTCGGCGAGCCCGGCCCAACTGGCGCATCCACAGCCTCAGAGGAGTTTTACGGCCGGCGGGTACGGCGGCGGACAGCAGGGGGGGGATTATGGGCATGCTGCTGGTGGCGGTGGTGGGCACGGTGGGAATCAGGGTCAGGGCTACTGGGGCAACGGCGGCGGCTACCGGTGAGCCTGAAGCTGAGGTTGGCCACATGTAGCTGGAGCCTGGGTACGTGCTGGGGTGGGCAGGGGGAAGGTAAACTAGGGATGGGGTCTGTTTATCACCGTATATGTTTAGTCGAGTCTTTGGCACCTCTTTCTTACTTAGTACTACTATGGCATGAACTTCTTCCTGGTTGGGTGATTACATACATGTATTCGAGTTCTCTTTGATGACGACTTTTCACTTCATGTTATTGGATCAATTTTATAGACGGACGACAGGCAAGGAGCGGAAATGCCTTGTTTGGCACGGTTTCACTGTTGTATACCTAGTCGTAGTGGTACATCTTCAGCCACTGCAGGGCTTGTTGAGTGTGCAAGCTGAGGACCGCAGTTTGGCCTCAAGCTTATAGTTGTTTGATGCGTCGGGTTTGGATTCATACATGTAGGTTCATTTCCTGATCCGAGGACACTACGAATCAAGGCTGGTCAGTCCTGCTTACGATGAGAATAGAATTGTTCTATGTCTTGAACTGTGTATACCGTTGACCATTCGAGTTTGATAATACCTTGGACTCGGTGTGTTGACTCGGTGTGTTTGGGGGGATCGGGCATATACTTTGAGTTTGAGATGATCACTGATGGGACTGATTAATTCGTTGGTGCAAGAAACTGGAATTGAAGAAGGTATAGAAACCATTTGATGCTTTATGTTTACCACGGGAGGATATTTAACCCTCATAACGGACATCATTTGACAGACAGTCGCACTTGCGTCACTTGATTCTTGCAGACCGAAACCAGTCTCTACATTAGCTATCGGTAACATAAGTACTTGAATCCCATGGCGAAGCCTCTGCTTGTATCACGATACAAACTTGCGAAGTATGGCCTAGGAACCTGGAGCCGGACGCACTCCGGACCATTGAATTTAAGGTGGTCATGAATGCATAGACTTAGTCTTCTTGAACCTGAAGCCAAACCGTGGTTGTGGGCCATATCATCCACCATCGAATACCTGAAGTCAGCACACAAGCTCCGATGCATGTAGCTTTTAGTACTATTACATTTATTCAAACTAGATGTTTGAAGAGATAAATTGAACTTTAAGCTGGAGCAAGCTGGATGGTACACAGGCTTGGGGATCTTTAGTCTATTCATGGAATACACTCAGATTCATTTCAAAAGTGGCCGTGATCTACCGGACCTCATACACATTCATGAATCATGAAGCATCATGACCTGTACTAGTCGCAACTTGACGCTGGGGTAACTTGTTTTTCCCAGAACAGGAGTGCAACTTACGACTCTCCCGTGTCAAATGACCTCTTCGGCTTGCATACCTACCTATCATAGATGAGTGCCCATGCGTCTATGCTTGTTAAGTATGCTGGAATACTTCACGAATACCTGTGAATGGTATCAGGCCTTGACAAGAAACCTCACATCCGAGGTTAATGGCAATGGATCAAAGTCCAGGGAAGAACAAACACCTCTGTGAGTTCTGTGCATGTACTCTCTGAGTCTTAGAATCTGGGCAGCCCGCAGCCGCGGTTTTCTGGAACTCAAGTCTCCATTGCGTCCATGCCCATGGGCGCCGGGCTAGCTGATTGCTTCGATCGCTTCTAATCATATCTTGGAGATTCGTTTGGCTTGAATCAAGCTTGGGACGAGCAAGTTGCGTCGTATATTTGAGTCCAAGTGAGCTTGAGGGTTCGACCTTCGTGTCCTGGGGTTGTTAGGTTGTCCGAGGTTGTGTAAGTCACGCCTTCCTTATCAGGAACCTCACCCCACATGCACACCCATCGACCAATGACAGTACGGAGCTACTCCTTGGAATACCCTGCCGGCAGTGCCGGGCCTGCCCTGCCCTGCCCTGTTGAGCTTTTTTCTCGTCTCCAAGACTCCAACTCAAAAAAAAAAAAAAAAAAAAAAAATTGCCTCCATCTGCCTACAAGCCCTACATAAGCCGAATTTTCGATCCGAACACTCACCAAATTCAGAGGAATGATTGGCTGCCGGCCCGGCTAGCTCAATCGGTAGAGCGTGAGACTCTTAAGGAGGGTTCTCCGTCATCTCAAGGTTGTGGGTTCGACCCCCACGTCGGGCTCAATTCCCGTCTGATATGATACTTTCATTTTTTTTCCCTTTTTTTCTTTTTTTCTTTTAAATTTTTTCCCTCTCGCCTCTCACATGTACTCTGCACCTTGATTCTCAAAGGGTGGTTTTCCATCTCCTGATCTCTTGGACTGGATCTTCTGCGTTAACTTTACAGCTTTCTCTTGCCTTTACTGGTCCAGGTCCTGGATATTTGCCAGTCATTTCCTTCACACTCTGTGAGTCTGTGAGACTGGCGTATTGTATTATTGTACTGTACCTCCTTTGAAGTAGTGTGTGTCCGCACGATAATCCCCTGTTTATTTCTCTGCCTCTGTTGTTGTTGATCTTCCAACTGCTACCGCATTACATGTGTTGTTAAAGGCCCTGTTCGCTGATTCCGAACCTTATGCCGAGTAGTAGGTATGTACCTAGGTAAGGAGACCTAGCCACACCTCCTTTCGATCTAATCGGCAACCCAGGCGTACTGAAATACTCCTCAATGGAATGTCTACCAATAACGTATACTTACCCAGCCAGATTCTTCCAGGTTAGTAAACATGCTGCCAGTGGCTGATGTGCCTGGACTCCAGCAAGGGACGCTGGAGGCTCGCTGTACCGGCAGTATCCTGCAGTGCCATCATGGATGCCAAGGAGTGGGCCGTTATCTGAACTTAAACCCAAGCCAATTCGCTCCCCCAGCTCCCCAATCCCTCTTGCGCAATCTGTCAAATTAATTAAGGCTGACCTCTCCGTTGCTACAGACCCTCGAGTCAGTGGTTCGTAAGGTAGGTAGTAGTTCGGCTTGTATTGTACCTGGGCCCGGCCGGGTAGGGAGGACATTGGGCTGAGGCTGGTGATGCACTGAGCATGTCAAGAGCACATCAACCGCTCGGCAGGCTTGTTCGCTGTGACGCTGTGAGACCGGTTAGCCGGCAGGGGCCTGATACACGTGTATGTACATGTGTCAGTGTGACCCTGACGGCGGCAAAATCAAACCGATCAGAACAGACAAAAGGTTCAATTGAACGGCCGATCCAGTCGATCAACAGGTGGGTGGGGAGGCGTGAAGATCGGAGATGGATGCAACGGATAGTTTGGACTATCAAAGTTGCGCGTGCTTGTCCGAAGTTGCCCAACAATGGATGAACCTAGCGAGTTCAATGTATTGGAAATTCCCGACTGACAGCTGACTCCTGGCTGACATGGAACCCCGGCCCGAGCTGCGTGCTGCCCCTTAGCGACAATTCCCAAGACATTCCAGCCATCTGGACCCGGACGGTTGGGTTCACCGTTCACCGGTTACACCCGCAGCTTGCCATGTCAACAAAGTATGCGGACAGAACCGCGTGGTTGTGGCGAATAGACTCGTCATTTAGCACCAACGCAGCTGAAATGGCTGCCGATCGTAGGCGAAGGGTTAGGGGAATTGGCAAGATTGGCGCCGAGCGTATGCGGGGGATGGGAAATTGGGCATCAGTGTGATGGGATTTGGGAAGTCAAAGCCTCAATCGTGGCGAACTTGAGGATATTCCCGTCCCGGTGGTACCTTTGACGGCATGAACAGGGGGCTCCCATGTCGGTACTTCGGTACTCCGGAAGCAGTGGGCGATCTAGACCGCTGTGAAACAGGCACACGGTGACGAGCTGAGCGAGCTTTCTGGCAGCTGGTTATTTGATCGTTGAGCTCGGACGAATCAGCTTTGGAAAAAGCTTGTCTCCCGTGCATGACGGTGAAGGAATGGGTGTGGAAGCGCAAGTCACAACGGCACAGAGTGGTAGCTTAACGTTAGCTCGCAACATCCTCCACAAGAAGCGAGATAGCTAAGGAATTTACTTCTTGGGTCCTGTGAACGCACTGGACAGCACTGGTCCGGATCATCATCATCGTATCATGCGAAGTCCAGCCACAAGCCACTACTGGCTAGCTTTATGTAGCGCTGTGGCATCGAGCATCTGGGCCTGGAGAAAGCTCGTCAGTCAGGGTGAGCTCCTGGTCGAGGTGGCGCCCTGGGGTCAGTACAGTAAGGTACCTACCTGTAAGTAGTAGGAATTACTTGAGGTCCCTCATACGCTGACGAGATAAGGAGGTAGATATGCTCGTCTATGCTGACGTTTGTGGGCTTGTGCGCCGGGAATAAGATCGCCCCAGCAAGTTGTCGATGACTTCTTTCCTTAGTGGTATGCCCATTTCGACATGATACTACACGTGTAGGACGGTGGTGGTTAAGGTTTAGAACTTTAGGGGGGAAGGGGTGGACAGCGCGGTTAAGCTCCTGAAAGAATAGCGTCCGGCGGAAGTTTCTTTTCCATTGCCGCGATAGCGATATCCATTCGGGCGGGAGCTTCCCGGGAAGTCCAATGAGTTTGGCTGCCGGCCGGCGGTCCGGTGAGACTCGGAGTGGGCATGTTCGGCAGGCAGAGCTCCCATTTCGGGAAGCGAGCTTTCTGTCCGAGGCGCAGCTTCTGCTGGCAATTGGGCGACTCGGATGGTGCCCAGCTGCGTTTTTGGGGTCACCTCGACGCTAGGCTCAGCCGGATCCGATGTCGTTTTTTGAATGTTGCATTCCAGAGCAGTGGCCCGTCAGTTCAATGCATGGCGCTGCCGTCCAGGGATTTTTCGATCGCTAGATGTCGCCAAGGTAGTTAAGGCTGGAGGTCGGGCCTGGTCCAGACCCAAAAAATGAAACTGGTACGAGCATTGTCCGATTTTTTTCCCTTTTCGCACTTCCCTTTCCCATCAATCCCCCGCCCCCCTCCATTTTTCCCAAAATGCGTAGCACCCTTGCCAATGCGGGGCTCGCGACAGAGCGGGACCCGTCGTCGTGAGGAGCGGGTCGCACAACGCCACAGCCCTGGCTGAGAGACAGCAAAGCAAGGAAACTACGCCCCGCATCCAAGGTTCATGAGGGGCAGGCGTGGCTGATGTCGAGGGGCATGTGGATTTTGTGGATTTTCGCCGTCGTCAATTCAAGTTCCCGGGAAGCACGAAGCACTACGCAAACAAGACATCACCGGATCGGCCGTCTTGTCTTGCTGGATTGCATAGCGTGCTCGCTGCATTCTTCCCATCTGCGTCCAGGGTGGGGTAATGACAAGATGGACCCCGGTGAGGACCGAGCCGTCGCGCAAAGCGAGACATTGTCTCCTGGAGGTATGGAGGTACATGCGTCCCCATGGACGCTATCTGGTACTGTACCACCGCCTAGTAGCTATGGCGAAAAGGTACAACCTGCGGTAGCCAGTACTAACGTTGGAAAGAAGGACGGGATGCTCTTTCGCATGGAAGCTTCCCGACTATGCTGAGTCGTCGCCGGCTTTTTGATGTAGGGATCTACATGTCCCATCAAGGACAGCGACGAAGCCAACCTCGACACGAGACCCGGGGACAGCACCAAGTGGGATAGAAACAAAATTGCGAAATCGAGGCGCGCCTGGAACAGGGCTTCTGCTGAGAGGACCCTTCGTGCGGGAGCTGCCAGATCTTGTAGGCGCCCCGTGCAGCGCCAGCCTATCAGAAGCGTTATGGAGCAAATGGTCCGGCTAAGAGCCTCAGGTAGCAGCAAAACGGCACTGCGGATCGCGGATGCGCCGAATATATACCGCTTTGCTGTTTGGAAAATGACCAATTTGTCTGCTGGTGGTTAGTAGCAATCTTTCCTTTTTCAGGCTTGTCTTGACATGCCAATATGGTTCGTCGTTGCCGCAGCTTTCCCAGGGACGCCGGTTTCAGCGATTAAGACGTTCCCCAACGGCAACACGCAGCTGTTTGGTAGTGCCAAGCCTCGCCCCGATACGTACCGTTCCGCCATATACCTGACTGACACAACCAACAGTTGGGGGTGTCTCCCACAAGGACAGGAGCTTGGATTTGCGTTCCCGCCTATTCTCCATTCAGACGATACCAGATAAACCTCCGGGACTGCTGCTCCACGCAGGACCTGCTCCCTCGAAAGGATCACCATTCCCATAGTCTCCGCCGGAACGAAACCCCCCGCGACACAACCAAGGCCAGCAGGAGCCCCATGTCGTCCAACCATCTTCTACACCGGAGCCGACAAATACAACCATCTGTCGACCTTGCTGGGCACCACTGGGCCGCCATACTTTAATGTGCACTGAGCACATCACCAGTGACTGCCCAGCTTGCGGGAAAGACTACCTCGTCTATGTCGAGTTCTGCAAGGACTTCCACCCCCCGTTGGTGACCTGTCCTAACGGTACCGTCATTTCCCGTATTGTCATGGAAGAGGGAGGCTGCCCGAGTCCGGTCTGTCCTAACAGTAGGGGTGGCGGCTGCTCGGTGATGTAACAGGAAGGGGGCAAGGCGGTGGATCATCGGCCCAGTCTTCAGGCGGCCCTGGCACTCAGAGCCTCAGCCCACCGGGGCCAACTTCGACGATCTGGTCGACTCCCTCATAGGCCGGAACGTCGAAGCCGTACTTTTCTGCTATTGCCGGCGTGACGAACCTGGCTCGCGCGATCAGCGGAGCCAACAATGCCGGCAGGGGGCAGACTTGGTACGTACCGGCCTCCGATGAAGTGGCGGCCCTTGAAATACTTGACCAGAGGCTTGGGCGCAGTTAGACTGACGAGAACGTTAGGATGGAAGTTGCTTCCGACTCCTGATTTGGGCGGGCCCTCTTCAATGTTCCAGGAGGACGGGGCGTCGATCGAAGTTACCGGGACCTTGGTCTCAGCCATCGCCTGAATCACGGCTGGAAACGGTTCCCGGACCTCGCCAGAGAAGCTGAACCCTGAACTAGTTCAGCTCGAAGTCTACGACGGATGGAGGAGGAAAAGTGGCGGGAAGGTAGAGAGAGGAGGAGCTTGACACGAACCGAATATGGCGTCGACGACGTGGTCAGTTGACTGCAGAGCAGTCGGGAAGTCGTCCACAAAAGGGACGTCGAGATCCTCCAATTGCTTCGCAAGGCGCTACGACACGAATAAGCGACCGGGCAGGAGGGACGGCGAGGAATACCCAAAACAAGACAAAGTACACGAAAGCTGGGCTGGGGGCAAACCCCAAGATGCAGCCATCTCCTTGACTTGGCCAAAGACCCTGCTTTAGCCACAAAATCAATCAAAATTAGAAGTTTGCTGAGCACCGGCCTCTTCAGGGGCAACTTTGCAGACCCTGAAGATGAATCTGGCGTGGCGTAGCCTCTGAGTGGGCTGGAAAGCCGTAAGACAGCTCTGAAGAGGAAAAATCCTCGTTACCTGGTAAAGATCATTCTTGCTTCGCTTTGGATAGTATATGGTCGGCTGATAGCCATAATGACGGAGATGGCGTGCGGCGACCAGGCCGTCACCCCCTGGATGGGCGACTGGTGAGCGCACTTGCCGAGCCTCGAGTAAAACTCAGGTTGCGCGCTGCTGTTGACTAACCATTGTTGCCAGGCCCAACGGCAACCAAAATTCTCCTTCCCCTGTCAATGGGATGGACTCGATAGACTAAAGACGCGCATCAGCCAGAAGCTCATGATCCGTCACCAAGTTGGCAATTTAGACCAACCAGCCTGGGAAACAGAGAGACCGGCGAGCTCCATGAGTTGGTCGAGGGAGAAGGCGCCGGTACTCATCAGCTCCTTGTCCAGAGCTGCTGCAGCCTTTGCCGAAAGAGTCTGGGTGCCATTGGAACTGTTAGAAGTGATCGCTCAATCGTGCATCGTTCTGGGAAAGATGTCGCGTTGCAGATGTTTCTGTCTGAGTCTGATTCCTCAGAGCCTTGCCCATGGCCTGAACATACCTTGAGCGCCATCCTGGGAAATCGACCATGAAGCAGTATGCAGTTTAATTAGTGAGGAGACGGATGCAAAGATGCGGCTTTTGTCCGCCTTAAGTGTGCGTCTGCACCCCAGCTGGAGCTTCACAAATCGGATGGAGGGGGAATGAGGCCGACTGACATCAGCTTGCTTGTTCTGTCCTAAAAGCTGAGAATGCAACCTACGAGTGAAGCATTCGGGGAAGCAGCTCAGGGTGCCGACGCTGATTGGGGCTTCTGATTGGTTCTTTCGGGGCGCCGCCCTGGGCCGCGATTTCCAAAGTCGCTGGTCTGTGCATCCATCCAATCGGCGGCACTGTCCAAAAATGATCGCAACCGTCGTCGACGGGAACGCTAAATCCAGACCTTCAACACAGCCCTTACATCCTCCAGACCCAGCAAAATGGTGGTAAAGATCCGCCTCGCGCGCTTCGGGCGCACAAACGCTCCCTTCTACAACATAGTCGTCGCCCATGCACGGTACGCATTTCCCCCCTTTCCCCTGTCCCCTTTCCGTTCTGGAGTTAACATATCCATCCCCTCACAGAACCGCCCGCAACAGCCGGCCTCTCGAAGTCCTAGGCACGTACGACCCAATCCCGAAAAGGGACACGTACGATCGCTCGGGGAAACTGCACAAGGACATCAAACTGGACATCACAAGAGCAAAGTACTGGATTGGCGTCGGGGCGCAACCGACGGATACTGTCAGGAGGTTATTATCGCTGGTAAGGGCCCTCCGGGAGGGACGATATCTGGTTGGGCATAACCGAAGTTAAGTTATGGGGTAGAGCTAATGGTTCTGTTCTGCGTGTGCAGGTTGGCATTATGGAGCCGAAATACAGACCGGCAGCCCCAGCGCCAGCGGCAGCGGCTAAGGAGCCGGTGAAGAAGTGAGAGCGAGATTGCGACGACATATTATCGATCGACTGTATCTATATTTGCGAGGTTCTGTGTACATGGGAGTTATAGACGGCGTTTACAAAACGAGATCTGGGGGTTGAATGATACGGATATCACCAGGGGCTTCAACTTCTCCATTGGCTTTGGGCGTGATTCCGAGCAGCCACAGCGGCAACAAGCATTATGTCGACCGATGCCTCGATTGCCCGATGATTGCTGGACTATTCGAAGGAAACACTGTCCGCTATGTTTGGTATATTATGGGGGAGGGGGTGTCAGGGGCTCTAAGCAAGCAGGACTCTCGAAGGCTGTTGCCATCTTGGACATGTACTCACTCAGGGGTTGCGCTAATCTATATAACAAAAATCTACGACACATGGCTGCTAATAACTGGCATCATACATGATATGGACAATGTATCGCACAGATGATGTACTGTGCGGAACTGGAGAGTGTATATGCTTTTGCGAGAACCCCGTACATACAACCTCCAATCCTCCATCCAAACTTCTGTAGCTGGGACCATGCCTTCTCTGGTCTCTTGTACTCCGTATATGTCCACCCAAACGCCCAAAAAGAAGTTCAAATACCCTCTCAACCCCTCGCTCATGCTTCCCAAACTCTACAGATACTCCAGACAATATGCACAAACTAAACAATGTCTCCACTCGTGTGCAATAGTCCCGAACTCAACTGTCCGAACTATACCGTACCGGCGGTCTGCCACGGAACCCCACATCACAACTCAGTGATGCGCCGTCAAAAAGAAGGTATTCATCGTCAGACACACAATCATAACACACACCCCATAGACCGACAAACAAAGCGCCAGTTTTCTTAGTAAGCCCGTCTCAAGGTGCTCCAGATCCCACCGCCACTTGCGTCGCCATCGCCATCGCCCCCAGCGGGAGGAGGCGGCGCGCGATACTCCGCTGGCTTGGGAGCGGATACTGGACACGCTGGCCAACATTGCCGATCCTGCCAGGCCGCCTTCATCCTCGTTCTCATCTTCATCCCCGTCCTCGTCAAAATCGACATCGTCGTCTTCCTTAGAAAGACGCTGATGGTAGATGCTGTCTGGGTCACTGATCTTGTAGTAAAACAGGCCGGGGAGAATAAACGAGATGGCGGTCGACCCGGAACTGCCGACGTATGCCAGCACACGGTCAAGGCTTGAGACGTTCAAGGCCGTGATGTAGCTTAGTATGAGGAGGGCGCTGGTGATGAGGGCGAAGCGAAGTTCGGACATGGCCACCACGGGCGCGCCGTGGCTGTCGACGGGGGCGGTGGCTGCATTGCTTGAAGGCAGCAGGGGCTGGCTGCCGGGTTGCGGCGGGGGCGACCGAGCGCTGTTTGGACGCCACCGTAGCACGGCATCAACGGAGGCGCGGCAGGGGTGGACCTGCAGCGGGATGCTAAATGTTACCAGGGCTACGATGGCGGCCTTGGCGATGGTGGATGCGATCGATGCAGGGTCTGTGATAGTCATGTTAACAGGGGATTATCCGTCTGATAGGCAAGATGGCACTTACACATGCTAACGATGTTGCCCTGGATGTCGTTTCCAAAAGTGAGATAGCCGGTAATAGCCACCAAGATGTAGACGGATGCGGCGGTACCGATGCTAGCTCCGATAACAGCGACGATGCTACTGGGCGAGTTGTCTTTGATCTCGTTCAGGATCGAAAACATCTGGGCAGAGTTAGTGGGCCAAGTGAGCGTCCGAAGACGGGGCAAACTTACATTTTGGTGGCATGTGTAGGCAAAGATCACGACGGGCAGGCTACTCAATGCCGCAACCGGCCCTTCCCAGGTAATGACCCGTCTGTCCCCCTTATTCGGAATTTCGTCGGCCGCGAAGTGGTATACAACCAGGATGACCAGATATCCAATTGCCAGCAGGGCAACGATGCTGGTGTACTTCAGAGAATCCAACCGCTTGGGAAAACTGAGCGGTATGATAAAGAGCAAGAAAAACACCGTGATCCAGAATTTACGGTTGTCCAGAAACGACCAACCGGTGTGTTCGCTACCAAATGCTTGTGCAATGCCGGGCATGAGGTCGCCAATGATGATCATGTATGACACGCCAACTCCGAAGCATTTGATAGCAATAGCTGCATCAAACACTACGGCGGCGTTCGGGTACGTGATCTGCGAGAGCGCAAAGAAAGAAGATGTCCCCCTATCGAGATATCGAGCGCAGCGTGCTTGGAGGTACAATCCGAAAGCCGAGGTGAGTCCGCACCACAGAATCAGGAGGACTCCGAGCATGATACCGAAATGGGACATGGCCGAAGGCATGGCAAGCGTTCCTGCACCGATGACTGTCTCTAGTGGTAAGCGCATGGCCCTCCACGTCTTGTTTGTGTCCAGACGTACTGGTATTCAACAGGTTGATGTTGCTGCTCATCATCGAAGCGTGCCCGCCACCCAGCTTCGGGTTGCGAGCCCGACGTGGACTGTAGCACGATGCACCATCAGCGAATATGCCCCCATCAGTGTCAGGTAGCACGGGAAGGCTGAGGATATACTCACAGCGCCATGGTTCCGCCGATAGCACCTCCTGATGCACTATCAGACGCCACCGTTGAGTACCCCGTCATTGGGCTTGACGGATTGCCCAGACTCGAAATGCAGTCAATCTATGTTGATCTGAACTTGGTATCTTGATAAAGAACGGTGTCTTAAAATTGACTAGGCGTCGACCGTTGTCGCCATCAGGTACCTTGTCGGTCTCGTTGTGCTCTGCGCGGCTCGAGTCGGCGCAGAAAGGCGGGCTTATCAGCCGCGGTCGAAGGAGTGCTTGTCGAAAGAGCTGCAGCCAAACTATGTGCTACAGTAATAGGGAGTCGTGAGATGCCGTCGATATACGTAACTGTGGGTGTTGTTGAGCGTTTCGAAAGCCTAATGAATACGGTTTTTAGGGGTCTTGTGACGATCCGTTGTTGGATGACAGCGCGAAGTGGACAGCCCGGAATTCTGAGGCTAAGCGGCAAGCCACAATCCATGGCCCCAGGGCCCACCAATCAATGCGCCAACCCCACTTGGCGACGTGTGACTGCGTTGACCAAACACAGGCTCGAGACACGCTATCAGCCTTACGAAGCTACGAGGAAAGCGAAGCCGACAACTCTTAAGAAATCAATTGCTTGCACTACAATCCCCCAAGGTACTTGTGATCCCTGATTTTGCGACGCCTCGACCGCCTCAACGTTTCGGACGATATCGAGGCACCAATTCAAGGGGTTAAGTCGCGACCGCGACCCGGATTGACGTCATGGACGCGACACTTGACCAGACGTCCCTGACCACGATTTCGCTGCTTGAGGCGCGCCTTCAGCGAATCGAGCACATCCTTTACGGGCCCTCTACGCCGTCAAATCAGCCGCCAAGAGAATCAGCAGTCAGTTCGCTAGCGGACCTCGAGCGCCGCTTTGCGCACCTCCTACGCCACTACCGCATCTACGCCGAAATACTCAAAATCTGTACGTGTCGTGCCACGCCTGCCCAATTCCTTCCATCCTTCTCTTCCCTTCCCTTTTCTCAGCTCGCTAACCCACCCTAACAACCCGCAGACAAATCCCATCCGACCCTCTTCCAACCTCCATCCACCTCCCCAACCACCAGCACACCCACCCACCCCACAATACCGACCCAACTCTCCCCCGAAGCCGTCCGCGCAACAGTTCTCTCCTACGCATCCGCCTTCCCGGCCACCGCCTCGGCCCTGACGGCCGTGACGTTGGACATGCCCGTTCCCGATCCAAAGCTGAGCGCCGAGCTGGCGTCGTTGATCCCCCGGATGAAGGGCATTGAGGCAACGCAGCTGGCACAGGACGCACAGATCGCCGAGCTACGGCAGCGCAGCGAGGCGGCCATGCGCGCGTGGTATGAGGGGAGTGTGTTGAGGTGCGGCAGGGTGGTTGCGGATGTCGAAGGGAGGTTGGAGAAGGTTGATTGGGGGTTGAGGAGGGTGATTAAAGAGAGGGAAAGGGAGAGGGAGGCTGACGCTGAGGTTGCGGAGGGGGTATAACTACCTAGGTTCGTCGTGAGACGGGGGGCGGCGGGTTTGGGCTTGGTGGTCCTGCCTACCTATCGATTTCGTGCGCGACCGGTTGGCGTGCTGGTGTTCAGACGTTAAGAGAAGAGCTCGCATCACGTCACGGGGGACACCGGTGGAATGCGGCGACGTCACATCCCCAACGCCTCGGCTGCCGGCTTTAGGGGAGTTTCACTCCGATCATGTTATCCCCCGAGATGCTCGCCTTTCCCTACTGAGATAAAGTCCTCGGGGGATTCTAATGATAAACACGACCGAAACTGCATCAGAATTGCAGGACGGCCGAAGCTCCAGGATGATACAGCGACCTGGTCCAATGGATAGCGAGAGGCCTGGTTAGCGGTCACTGCTTCCGCAGATATCAGAGAGACCGCTCCGGGCCCGACATCAAGCTACCTTATCCGCTGACTGGACCCGCATTTTGAAGCCCGTCGCTTTCCATAATACCGCGCGTATGCAGGGCAACAGAAAGTATTGATTGCAATCGGCTGACGTTGGGACTTGGAGGAATGTACACGGAGCCCTTGGCAGGGCGCATCTGGGCTCGTGTGACGTCGGCCCGGCAATTGTGTCTCCGTGTTTCAAGGGCCAATTAGCCCGCGATCGTTAAAAAATCTCAAAGCGGACTCTCTGAATATCTTTCTGGCCTGCCATTGGTTAAACTGCAGGGAAAGAGGAATGATGGGGGAGCAGAGTGGTTCAAAGAGCGTGAGGAGTGAACGTCTACAGGGCCAGAACTGTTGCCTGCAACTACGATTGTCCAGCATCAGCGACGGCTATGCTGGGACACCCAAAGCCAGGCAGTTCATTGCTATTGTCGTGGACAAGATGCTATCCTTCGCGTCGTTTTGAGATCCGGTGTTGTGGGCGGAACGAGGCTGGGGAGTGAGAGATGAGATCTGCATACCGAGCAACAAATCGCGCCTTGACCGAAGGGAGCTTCATCTGGCCACGTTGATGATTGATGGTGAACAGACTACAGGTATCTAACCTAGTCATTGCCAACCAGGAGCGTCAGAAACACAGGGAGTTACCAGATGAGGCCGCTAATAAATGCCAACGCTCGAATATGGATACAATTTTCTTGATATTGGCGCCCCAGCTCCCTTCATAATAAACCTTCCCTTATAGACCCATTCAGGCCCGGGGGTTTCCATTGTCAGTTTGCCTCCCTACCTTACCTTTTGCGCAAAGCAGGTTTTCATGTCGTAAGCAGGGCATCCAAAGTCACCGTTTCGGAGCTCTCAGAAGTAGCTGTCCATAAATGTCTAAGCAACTACGAAGTATAGTAGGTGAGAATCGGATGAGTTCGGCGTATCTTCATAGACATTCAACGCCGAGATCACCGGAATTCGGGGAGACCTGTGAGTGATAGAACGCCAATGAAGTTCCTCCAAATCTTTGATGGACCTCTCCCACAACCCAACAGTCGCTCCTGACGTGCAAGTACTGTGCCTTGTTTCCTACCCGTCCCTGTGCATTGCATCGGTGCCATTGGTCACGGGTATTTCGCTGCGATTTCGTGGGTTACCTATGTACCTGATTAGTACGGTGAGGTCCTGGAGGTCCTGCTGAAATGGAAAGGATTGGGTCCCTTTTTGAGCATGCGTCTGCGTGGCTAGTCATGGATCCTCTTAACTCACATTCTGATATCGTATGTAATTGGGTTTTAACCTGCAAGTCCGCTGGCAGTGGTGTACGGAAAGTCTGTGAAACTTTGAAACCGTGATGTTCCGTCGTTCCCCTGCATTCGCGGGGCGGGAGGTCGGCAAAGACCACGGAATTCCAGGGGCAAGCAGCCAGATTTTGGGGCCAGCCTATCAGAACGAGTCGTTGTCCCAGTGTTCTGCAAGTTTCGGACCCTCCCTTTTTCTTAAAGCTGTCAGAGCGAACGGAATCCCGATCGCTCAGATCTCGCAATCGGGTCGTCAATCTGGTCTCGAGTCTCAGTGGCAATGGCAGCAACCATCGCGGTCGGGCAGTGTTGGGTTTGGTTAACAGCTCGCAAAGCCTGCTGTGTCTGCAAACGGAGCCTGTGGCATACTAATAGTATCTATACGTTGTCCGTGTTGGACAATACCTTAGCTAGTGTTCTCGTAAGACGGGATGACCCCCCAATGATAGCATCATGCTAACTCATTGTAGTTGTCGTCGCGGATCTCCCGTCAGTGGCGGACATGAATGTAGGCGGGGCAGTGCTACAAACACCATGGATGAATCAGGTGTCGAGAGGCACTCCGTATCCATACCTTCGTATGTAATATGTTGGTGAATATTGGTGAATTGGGGCGCCGCATTACGGCATCTTGGCCCCGGTTCTCTTCAGGCAACCGGGCTCTCGGAGCACCGTACCCAACGCGATCTTTGTCTTTGATCACTATGAAGCTCTAACGGACCGCTGGGGCTAGAAGATAGTTCTCCTCGAAAGTCGCAAAAGGGAAGCCAATGCACTGGACAGAATCGTTTGCAAGTCAAGTATTTGCGGGGACTTGCAGGCAATCTTGCGTTACATTGGGGATTGGTCAAGATTTCGCGTGCCTTGCAAGTTGCAACCTGCCGTCGCCTTGATGAAATGGGTGGGCGGGCAGTCAGAAGAAATGCTTGGCTCCAGAATCACTTCAGCCAGGGCATCCACGCGCACGATCCACCCTCCGCACATTTCGCAGCCAAGCATCCGACCATCCCGGCCCACTCTTCAGGCCCTCGCGCCCCTGGTTCGTCCACTGGGATCTTGAACTCCCGCCCTTCGCCCTTCCCAAAGTTGCAGCCCCCAGTTGGCAGTGCCTCCCTTTCACTCTTTCGGTTCCGTTCAAACGAGGACTCGCATTAACCCTTTAACCACCATTTCCCCGTCTCGTCTCCTCCTTTTTGTCTTCTTTCACGATTTTACCCTTCGCTTCTTTCCCCGACGGCGTTCCCCCCACTTCACCATCGCTGGTTCTCCGATTGCATACGCCAGGTTCCGATTCCGATTCCCCTCGAGGACACGCTCTTGACATCGATTGGAGCACGCTGGCGGGCACTGCGGTTGCGACTGGACATTAATTGCAGCGACGGTCTGAAAGAGAAGGTCTACAAAAAACTGGGTATTTTCGTTGAGTCGGAGCGACGAGGCTTGTCTGTCGTGATTTAATCGCCCTTCGATTGTCCATCAGTTCAGCGCCCCCCCCCCGGCGGCACTCGCGACGGGCGTGATACCGTGACAGACCAGCAATTCTGGGAGCCGTATCGATCGATATTTCCTGTTCCCCATTGCCCTTTGCGTGTCGCATTTGGCGAGACGAGCAGCATCCGGATTACATCGGGCTATTATCGTTCTCTTCTTTGTGCCTTCGCGGTTCGGCAGCGGACACAAGCAAACTTGAGTTTGCCTGCAATCTCGTCTGGCAGCACCGCCTTGATCCATCCATCTTCCGTCTCCACCCGAGGCCACGTCCCTTGCAGGCTCCCTCCACCAGCCAACGAGTCCCTCCAAACCCAATTTCAAGTCGCCGCAACGTCACACCAGCAACCCCCATGCTTTTCTGCGAACCTGGTGCCAATTGAATTCCCACCTCCGGTGCAGCGGACTATCGCCGTCATTTAGTAATCAGCCCTCGGCCCGCCCATTCGCACATATGCCCTCATACGGTTCACTGCATTCTCCGTCGCTCAGGAAAATGGAACACACTCGACCTCAGTATGGCCGCAAGCGCGTCAGCATCGGGAACATCATCGGCGACCCGTTTGCTCTCGCGACGCTATCAATTGCCACAGTAAGCAATGACCTTGGTGCCCCTTTGAGTAATGCCATCTTGACGCTGACTGCTCCGACTCTAGCTCGCATGGATCATTTCTTTCGTTGCGACCATCATCGCCCATCTTCAGGTTCCAATAGATTTTCCCCTCTATACATATTGGGCGCTAGTCTTTTACCCTGCCATCATCGTCGGGATATTCCTCGTCATCGCCTCTGACAGCGTCCAGACGTACCATGTCGCGATTGTCGGCTATCTAGGTTGCGGCCTGGTGGTTTCGACGGCAGCAGTTAACGGCCTGATCTATTCGCCGAATGGCGCCAAGGAGGCTTCGGCGGCGGGCTTCATTCTTCTGGCCATGGTGACGGTGAGTGTATTCCTATCGCTGTGAAATGACTCTTTTACCTTTATTCCTACCGGCAATATTGTGCTGACATGTTGGCTTCAGATCGTCTGGATCTTCTACTTTGGTTCCGCCCCCTCAGCTGTGCCTCGCGCATACATTGATTCGTTTGCCCTCACCAAGGAAGGCGAGTCCACGAACCGACATACCATGAATGGCGTGTATGGGGTACGAAGACCCGAGACCTCAACCTCAGTGCAACCGCCCCAGATGTACACTGCTCAATTGAACGGACTCGAGAATCCATCGCCTGTTGGCGGTATGACCTCGACGATGAGAAACTCGACGGCGGCCCCCGCGTTCTCCTCGACAACCGCGCCAAAGACAACAGTCCCGGCAAGCGCAGATGCGGAAATCGTGCCCCCGACGGAGTACCCGTACCGGGCGAAGGCCATCTACAGCTACGAGGCGAATCCTGAGGACGCGAACGAGATTTCCTTCTCCAAACATGAGATCCTCGAGGTCAGCGACGTCAGCGGCAGGTGGTGGCAGGCACGGAAGGAGAACGGCGAAACAGGCATTGCGCCGAGCAACTACCTCATCTTATTATGAGAAGGGATATATCTTGGGCAGACGTCTAACGGCCCCTTGGTGGATTGACGAAAAAGAACCACAAGAAAACACGCATGATACAACGCGGATGATTTCGATGTTTTCGTCTGGATGACGATTTATATACCCTCTTACCCACCCCGCCCATCCAGCATATATATGCCCGGCCGGATTCTCTTCCGCCATAGAGTGGAAGACGCACGCCGCTACTCCCCAGCCTCTTAGGGTTGGGAAGGGAGGCGGGGAGATACGACAGGAAAGTCGAGACATCTCGCGCCTTGGGCTCGCACACGACACCTCGGTATGCAAAACCCCTGTTGGCTTTGGGTGTGTTTGGATGAGGTCAGAAAAATGCTTTATGTGGTCGTTCTTGGGCGGGTGTGACTGGTTTTGGCTTGGCTGGGTCGGTGTGTGCTCTAAATATTTTTCCCCTATGTTCTTACTGGTTTCTTCGCTTCTCGAGGGCCCTATTGATTCCATGTACAACTTTGTCTATGATGTTACTTTGCCTTGGTTTAGCCGTGGTCTTTGAGTATAGGCCGTTTCACCGCCGTCCTTTTGTTATCTTTGCCGCGTTTAGGTGTTATGTCTTGAAGCAAACCGGCATGGGATGAGGGCGATGAGTGATGGCGTCGGTAGCGCTGGAATACAGCAGGTTCCGTCTCCCCGTCTCGCCATATCGGAGGTGTGGGGAACTGGCTGCTGGAGAACTCCGGTCTGGTAACGCTTCTTGTGCTGCCGTAGTGTACACAGGTTTAGTGATTAGCTGTCTTATCATCTAACCTCGACCGGCAGTTCCACTGCAGATGGTGATCAATCATGGTCTGATGAACGCGGTCAATGGGTTGTAAGTTATTCTAGCTGTTCGTCAACTGATACCACGATCCTCCGTCTCCGTCTCGGAGGCGCATCGTTCGAAGCCCAAAACCTCTCTCCTGGGAAACAATGGCTCCTTCGAGGCCATCTGCGCAGTACAAACGGTTAAAACCATCACCAGATATGTAACGTATTGCTGCCTGGTGTCTACTCTCTTGCTCGACGGAAGTGCGCAGGTCCCAATCTTCCTGTCCTTTCCTTTACACAGACCTTTCAATAGGCGGCTGGGGATCCATACCTAGCCATGCTGGACGCGTAGGGACGATGGCGCACGCACAAATCTTGGCGGGAGCCGGGCCGCGAGTTTAAAGCCAGCCACATTTCCATCTTTCCATCCCCGTCGACTCAGGCTCTGTAATGGATTGGTGCAGCAGGTGGCGTTGCTGCTCGACTCGGACGCTAAGGGCATCGAGCCGAACCCGTCCCAGCCAGCAGTGCTCCACCGAAAACCCGGCGTGAAGGGAAGATGGTCGGAGTCCTCAGGCTGTCTGTCGGGTAGTAGGCTCGGTACCTTAGGGATCTGTATATCGGTGTGCACCCGGCACCCTGATCCCGAGACCATCATTCGGAATTTGGAACCGGATGGGCGATTCACCGGACGTCCGGAGCCCGCTTAGTTGCCCAACCCGCGCCGCCGCCGTCGGAGCTGACGCAATATATCCACCCATCTTGGCTTCCTTCCACATCATCTAAGCCAAAACCTTTTTGCCAGCCAGCCCCAATCTGAAATCAAACAATCGCAGCCGACCCAGATAACTTTCAGATGCGCAGATCAGATCAGCTCAGCTCAAGTCCTCTCCAGCCTCATCCTCAACTCCCTCTCCTTCTGCTGCACCTCCATCTCAAGCCTTTCAACACTGTACTTGAGCGCCTCCTTGCGCTGCCTCACCACTTTGACACGCAGACCCCCCGCCTCCCCGCTGAGTGGACGCCCTCCTTTCCCGTAGTTGCCACCACCGCGCGACTTCCCTTGTTGACCGTTGGTGTTATCGGGAAGATGTGATAACCTGCCCGCATTGAGCTCTGCGCGCGCCTTGAGTGTCTCAATCCGCCGCGCTTGACGGTCCAGATGCTTGTCTGCGCGGTCGAGGAGGAGGGTTACGAACGGCCCGATCTCGTCGCGCAGGGAGGCCTCGGCCGCGGAGAGGGTTGGGTGCGGGATTAGTTCGTAGTGCTGTTCGTTACTGGGTTAGTAAAGAAATAGAAGGGGAGGCTGTATAGGGGAGGGAGTGGAGGGATGTATGTACCCGCACGGTCTTGAGGATCGAGGCCAGTCGTGGAAAGTCTTGGACGCCGGTTCCGAGGGTTTCGACGGAGGATTCGAGCAGGGTGAGGGATGTGCGTAATGATGAGACGCAATCGCTATAGGTGGAGGCGGGGGTTGGGGTTGACATTGCTGTTGCCGAATGGGAATTGTTTGGTTGGGCGGGATGAAGTAATGCTTGGTTGAGGGTCTGGGAGAGTTGAGTGCAGTGGTGTTGAGGGGTTGCTCGGTGTTTGTTTGGTTACCCGTTTGGTCACTGTGGTTGATGCCGGTAGGTGGGTCCAGCGGTCACTCAGCTCAATGTTGATTGGGCTGCACGATGCATTTAGTGGACACTGCCCCTGACTTCTGAGTGCTTCTTTTTCAAGGACGAGGTACGAAGTCCAGTACATGGTTGGGTTAACGGTATCTCGTGCACAGCTCTTGAAATCAAAGCAAATGCCCTGGATGCTCTTAAGGCCGTTTCTCCCAAAAAGACATGGTAATGGGGATCAAGAGGGAATTCTGTAACTGCTGGTGGTCTAGTCATGATCTAACGAAGCTCAGCGGACCCATGCGGGTGGACATTAACTTTGGTAACACTCCCGCCATGACGATACCCATCCAGCGCCTCGTTCACCGCCTTCTCGTCCAGACCACTAATAGTACGGTACCGCTTCAGGGGCCGGATCCTGCCCTCTTCCAACCAACCAGGCAGATGCTTCCAGAACTGCTGGCCCAGCTCCCGATGCAGAACTCCCGAACCCCGCGAGAACTTGACCTCGTACCCAGCCGCCTTACTCCCCCCGACAATCTTGGACTCGTCCACACTGCCCGGCAGCAAAGTCCCCAGCGTGCCCTTCTCACTGTTTGAAAGCAGCGACACGCCGAGGGTATGCTCCGTGCCGACCGTGTCGAGTGCGTAAACCAACCCGTCACCCACAATACCCCGGACCTGCTCCACCACAGCCTCCAGCCCGCCACGCCGGTCCACGACGTGTGTCGCGCCAAGCGCCCGCAGCTCTGCCTCCCCCTCGGGCGTCTTGCTCGCGACGGCAACAATCGTCCCGAACCCGGCCAGCAGCGCCGCCATTTGGATCGCCACCTTGCCGCAGTTGGATCCGCCCCCGATGACGACCAGACTGCGCTGCGCGTAGCCAAACGCCTCAATCTCCTCCCTGGGGGAGTGCGGTGCGGGCAATCCGAGGCCAGAGGGGTGGAAAAGCGCGACGAACGCGGCCATGGCTATCGTGGGCAGGGTGGCGGCCTCGTCCAACGATACAGAGTCTGGGATGCGGGCCGCCAGGTCGGCGGGCAATAAGGCGTATTCCTGCAGCCCGCCTCCGGCGCTGTTGGGGATGGTAAAGGTGTCGGCTTGCGCCACGAGACGGTCGCCGACCTTCCAGCTGGTTACGTTGGGCCCGACGGCTTCGACTACGCCGGCGAGGTCGTTACCGGTGATGTAGGGCAGGTTGTCGGGGGTGATGATGATGCCGAGGTCTCGGACTTTTTGGTCGTGGGGGTTTACTGCAGTGGGGTAGGTTAGGTAGCTTAGCTTGGGGGTCTTGTATGGAGGAGGAGGGAGGGTTGAGAGGAGCTACATACGTCCTACTGCAAGAATCTTTAGCAAGATCTGGTTCTCCTTTGGCTCAGGTATCGCCTTGGATCGAAGCACCAGTGGTGCCCCAAAGTTTTCGAGGACGAGAGCTTGTTGCGACATGTCGGCGGTTCAACTTGAAGATTTCGACGATCGACTTGGAAGTATATTTAGTAGCGAGATCGAGAGCAAGGTAGGTATTGTCCAGGCAGCGAAGTCAATGGCAGTGCTGAATACAAGAGTTAGGATCCGAAGGTAGGTAGGCTGGAGACTGTTATAACCACTGGCAGCTGCCACTTGCTAAGTTTGCTGCGTTGATGTCAACCTCGGCGTTGCATCTCTGGCTGAGCTTACCAATTTTGTCCGTTAGCGAGCTTGGGTCATAGGTAAAGTCACTCCGACATTACTAATGTAGTACCTTCCGGCCTCCGTCGCCGGCACCGTTTGCAGTTGTTGCGGAGCCGGCCCCACTCCGGGACGGGAAAGACGAACGTGTTCTCGGCCGCGGCAAAACTTGGGGTAAGGGGCTGGCCCGTCCTTGCTAAGTCATCAATTGCAAGTTGTGCGAAAAGCAAGATTTGATCTTTTGAAATGTCAAATTTCCTCTGGACTGTATAACTGCATTGTGCTGACTGTTGAGCATCCTGCTCGTCAGTCAAAGTTCTGCAGCGTTGTAGAGTGTAGTAGCCCGAGTACCTCGAGTTTTGTAGCACCCGAACGGGAAAGCCGAAGTGGGTCTGATGCTGTGAGACGAAGAAACTGCACGGCGGGGCGTGTCCGTAACTTCCCCAATCTCATACTTAATCATCCCTCACAACCTCTCTTCAGACCGCTTCCACTTTCTTCCTTCAACCCGCAAACTCACCGAGTCACCTCAACCTCTCCAGCCAGCTCCGGCCTCTGTAACAGGAGGCCGCCATCACATCCTGCAAGAATGGGCGCAGCAAGTGCAGCAGCAGCATCATGCACCCGCCTCATCCGCATCGTCTTCTTCCAACCCCAGATACGTCGTCTCAAGTCCATTCCAGCAAAGTACTAGCTATCACGACTTTGATTTTCTAAACGACATACCGTGGGACCAAGCCATTGATATCGAAGCGACCTTTGACGTTCAACAATCCTTCGCTCAGTGTTTCTCCGCACCTGACCTGGAACATCTCGACACTACCATCGCCTGCCCCGACATTCATCCCACTTTGGGCCCCGACTACTATGCCCATCTGCCAGTGACTACCACAGCAGCCTTCGAAATACCCTCCACCACCACGCCCACGTTGACTCTGCCTTCACCCTCGCTCGCCAACCACTCCGAGTCTCCTTCCCAATCTCCCACTCCCAGCCCTAACTATGACGCGGGCGTCCAAGTTCAAGTTCTCGTTCCCGGCCTGAAACTACCCGAAACTACCAAATCCAAATCCAAGTCCAATTCCAGACCGGGACGGCGGCCAGCAGCAGCATCATCAACACTATCATGGCCGTCATCGTCATCGTCATCATCATCATCGTCTGACGGCAAAAGAGTTTCCAAGCGTTCGGCACGTGCAGTTCATGGGGATGATGATGATCCTGAGATAGTCCTGCGCCGGCAACGCAACAACATCGCGGCCAAGCGATACCGGCAAAAGAAGATTGACCGGATTCAGGAATTGGAGGAGGAGGTTGCGCTGGTGAAGGAGGAAAGGGATGAGTTAAGGATTAGGGTTGCAAGGCAGGAGGCGGAGGTGGCTGCGTTGAGGGAGATGTTACAGTTGAGGATGGTCAAGGGGAATGGGAATGGGAATGGGAATGGGGAGGGGTCTTAGGCTAGGTTGAGGTCTGATGTGGGCTATGCTAGGTGCCTGGTACTATGCAAGTTGAATTGAAGACAGTAGTTGTTTGGCTTGGATATTCTCTAGTGTCAATTGCTATTGATTTTGTGGTTGTGATCCTGTCTATCATTCTATGTGCAGAGGCCGATTCCATATCGCTGTTGACGCTTGGTACAGTACAGTGTCCCAGACATTACCCTTGTACATATGTCAGCCGGAGCAAATCCCGTCCGCGTTCGAAACAGAGCAGAGATGTAGATGAAAGAAGGTATCATAACTGAAGTTTCAAAGGCTCAAGTTGCCCGAAGCAACATGCGAGGCCCGGGTTCTTAGCTTCTCAGCTTCTTACGAACTACCAACTGACATAGATACAAGTACCTTCCTTTAAGAAATGACTGTCTTGTTCGGCCTTACACAATGTGAACGGTTTTCGATAGAGAATGAGAAATGGAGAGCAGGTGCACGGTCCAGAGACTCCAGGCTGCATTCGAGACACAAAGAGTCTTACCCCCCATGGGGTGTTCCTATCCCATGATTCATCTTTAATCACAACCGAGTCTGCAACCTGCAACCTTGCGTTGAGCTCGGGCCCAGATCTGTTGAATTCATGTCAACACGGAAGGCGCGCCAAGCGGGCCGCAGTCCACTCTGCATTTAAGCACTTTGACACCCCGTTCACAAAAACCGGACGTTTTCCACTACTAATACGTGACGGCCTTTTCGGACATAAGAGTCATAGTGTAATTGTTTCCGGGTAATGAGTGGGTTTTGTGACTCTCGCCGAAGTGAGTCGAACAAGCTGAACCTTGATGACCCAAGATTGTGCGTATAACTGGCGCATCGGATTTATAATGTGGGCGAGAATTCTCCGATTAGTAATGGACACACCCGCCCACCACTACGGTAGAACCGTAACGAAGTTTAACACCTAAATGCCTAAATCCGATCAGATCAATGTCGATGTGAAATGCAAGTGGGGTCCCCAAGGCAACGGATGGATGAATCCATCGACGGGATAGGTTGTTTCAAGGTTATCGTCTTACATACGCGATGAGATGCATGGGTGTTATCATGGACTGTTCTCCACTTTGTTGGGGGTCGATGTGCATTGTGCAATGGATGCTGATACTAACGGATCCAGGCTCGTCATCAATCCCGGCAAGGATTGTTGCGTTGCGGAGGGTTTTGTTGAAGGGACCGACATCCTGACAGATTGTTCTGTTCTGTTCTGTCAAGTCTATAAAGTCCACGATCGCAATGCCCCCTCCGAGAGTGGCTGCGACTTATTGGGACTCGTTTGGGACTTGACAAAGTTGACTTCAAGTTTGGCAGTGTCCATCAGCAGTGAAGTTGGAGGCTGTTGTTTTAGACTCCTTGCGAGTCTGAACTGAGCGCTTCCTGCCTCGTCTTTCACTGCAATCACTCTCTTCACATCATCTTTCTGAATTCCAACCTCAATCTCATTCCTAATACCCAATCCTTTCCTCCAGTCTTTGCACAGTATTCACAATGTGGGGCCAAGCATCAGCCGAAGAGGCCTTCCGTCGTGCCCCTGGCGAGATCTTCCCAGACTCGCTCCACCGGCGCGATGAGACGCAATCACCAGCAGATCAAGCCCACGATGGTGATTCCACCGACGCGACGAAAGCACCGCCCAGCCCAGAAGTCAGCGGCGTATGGGGCGAGCGGGAAGTTGGCGGCCCCGTCAGCCAACGGGAAGCCATGCAGGACTTTGAGGAGCTCACAACACGACTGACGGCCACACGCTCCCGAGCCACCTCGCACAAGTCTGCCAAGAGCCAGAAGAAGAGCTTCTTCCAGCGGGTGGCCTCCCACGCAAGCGGCATATCAAGGCGAGCCACTGGCACGGCAAGCGGAGCGCAACAAGCCAAGGACGAAGAGACGGCCACAGTTGAGGATGAAGACCTCTCTGACAAGGAGGATGATGTTGACGGCGATAGCACCGAGACGGATGACTTCCCCCTGGAGCAGTTCATGCGCGACGGGCACCTCGAAAAACGGACTGAGTCTGGCGAGTCGACCAAGAAGTTGGGCGTCGTCTTCAAGAACGTCACCGTCAAGGGCGTCGCGACCGGGGCAAGTTTTGTCCGGACACTGCCCGAGGCGATTCTCGGTACCTTCGGTCCAGACCTGTACGGCATTCTCTGCCGGTTTTTCCCTGCACTGCGGCCGGCTAACAAGGGAGGCCAACTGCGCACCCTGCTGCACGATTTCACGGGGGTTGTCCGGCACGGCGAGATGATGCTTGTCCTTGGCCGGCCTGGTTCCGGGTGCAGTACGTTTTTGAAGGTCATTGCCAACAACCGTGAGTCGTACGCGGTTGTTGAGGGGGAGGTGTCGTACAGCGGGATCTCGGCTGAGGAGGCGAGGAAGCATTACCGTGGCGAGGTGGTGTATAATGGTGAAGACGACCAGCACATGCCGAGTTTGACGGTGGGGCAGACGTTGAAGTTTGCGCTGATGAACAAGACGCGGAAGAACCTGCGGGGAGATGTCGGCACGATCATTGATGCGTTGCTGAGGATGTTTGCCATCAAACACACCGAACACACCCTCGTCGGGAATGCTTATGTGAGAGGCGTTTCCGGCGGTGAGAGGAAAAGGGTCAGCATCGCCGAGACACTGGCTACCAAGAGCACCATCGTCTGCTGGGACAACTCCACCCGTGGTCTCGACGCGTCGACAGCGCTGGATTATGCCAAATCCCTGCGCATCATGACTGATGTCTCGGACCGGACGACGATTACGACTCTCTACCAGGCCGGTGAAGGGATCTATGAGCTGATGGACAAAGTCCTAGTCATTGAAGAGGGCCGCATGCTGTACCAGGGCCCGGCCAAGGACGCGAAGCGGTACTTTGAGGAGCTCGGCTTCTACTGCCCCCCGCGACAGACCACGGCAGACTTCCTTACGTCGATATGCGACCCGAACTCCCGGCAATTCCGTGAGGGCTTTGAGAAGCGCGCTCCCAAAACCGCCGAGGAGCTTGAGAAAGCCTTCCGTGCCAGCGAGGCGTACAAAAAGGTCCTTGCCGACGTGGCGGAGTTCGAGCAGCATCTCGAAGCCACGCAGCACGCGGACATGCGGACCTTCAAGGAATCCGTGCAGCAGCAGAAATCGCGGCGGGTGCTGGCCCGGTCCAACTACACCATCCCCTTCTGGAAACAGGTCCTGGCCTGCGCGGAACGGGAGCTGTGGCTCATCTGGGGCAACAAGACGGAGCTGTACTCCAAGTACTTCACCATCATCAGCAACGGGCTCATTGTCGGCTCGCTGTTCTATGACACGCCGGCGTCGACGGCGGGGACGTTTCTGAGGGGCGGTGCCGTCTTCTTCAGCATTGTCTTCCTGGGCTGGCTGCAGCTGGCCGAGCTGATGAAGGCTGTGAGTGGCCGGATTATTGTCGAGCGCCACAAGGAGTATGCTTTCTACAGGCCGAGTGCGGTCAGTCTTGCCCGCGCGCTGGTTGATCTGCCGATTCTGGTGGCGCAGGTGGTCGTGTTTGGCGTGCTGCTGTACTTCATGTCCGGGCTGGATCTGCATCCGGGCAAGTTTTTTATCAGCTTGCTGTTTGTCTACACGACCACGTTCTGTCTCACGGCGCTGTACCGCATGTTTGCGGCGCTGTCGCCGACGATTGATGATGCGGTGCGGTTTTCGGGGCTGGCGTTGAACGTGTTGGTCATGTTTACGGGGTATGCCATCTCAAAGCCGGTGCTGTTGGGGCAGAAGATTTGGTTTGGGTGGTTGACGCATATCGATCCGGTAAGTTCAGGGTTCTTCTTTATTTGTGATGGGACTCTTGCTAATACCTTACAGCTAAGCTACTCCTTTGAGGCATCCGTCTCGAACGAATTCCACGGCCGGATGATGGAGTGCGCGCCCCAGCAACTGGTGCCCCAGGGTCCTGGTATCCTGCCCGAGAACCAAGGCTGTGCGATTGCCGGCGCCCGACTGGGCAGCACAAGCGTCCTCGGTGATGACTACATCGGCAGCGCATTCGATTACAGCCGGGCGCATCTGTGGCGCAACTTTGGCGTTCTGATTGCGTTTTCCGTCCTCTACCTCCTCATCACGGTTGTGGCGACAGAGATGATTTCCTTTGGCGGCTCAGGCGGCGGCGCTCTCGTCTTCAAGAAATCCAAGAGAACCGCCAAGAAGGTCAAGATCGCGGCGGCACCCCCCGACGAAGAAACCGGCAACACCACATCAGGCGACACCTCCTCAACCGCAGTCTCAACCACCGGCGGCGACGACAGCCCGCTCAAGACCCTCACCAAAAGCGACCGTGTCTTTACCTGGGAGAACCTGTCTTACACAATCCCGACCCCGGCCGGCCCGAAGAAGCTCCTCAACGACATCAACGGCTACGCCAAGCCCGGCGTCATGGTCGCATTAATGGGCGCCAGCGGAGCCGGCAAGACAACCCTGCTCAACACACTCTCCCAACGCCAGACCGTCGGCGTAGTCTCCGGCAGCATGCTTGTCGACGGTAAGCCGTTGGGGAGCGACTTCCAGCGCAGCACAGGCTTCGTTGAACAGATGGACCTGCACGACGAGACGGCCACAATCCGCGAGGCGATCGAGTTTTCCGCCCTGCTCCGCCAGCCGCGGGAGACCCCCCGTCAAGAAAAACTCGATTACGTCGACAAAGTGCTGGAACTGCTTGAACTGACCGACATCCAAGACGCGATCGTGGGTTCGTTGGGGGTGGAACAAAAGAAGCGGCTGACCATCGGCGTGGAGCTCGCGGCACGGCCGTCCCTTCTCTTATTCCTCGACGAACCGACCAGCGGACTGGACGCGCAAAGTGCCTTCTCCATCGTTAAGTTCCTCCGCAAACTTTGCGCCGCAGGCCAGGCCATCATCTGCACCATCCACCAGCCGTCGTCAGACCTGATCCAGCAGTTTGACAAGATCCTCGCCCTCAACCCGGGCGGCAACACCATCTATTTCGGCCCGGTCGGCGAACACGGCAGTGCCGTTGTGAAATACTTTGCTGATCGTGGCGTGCACTGTCCGCCGGGCCGGAATGTCGCCGAGTTTTTGCTTGAGACGGCCATCAAGGGCGGGAGGAGACCGGACGGGAAACGGATCAACTGGAACCACGAGTGGCGCAAGTCAGAGGAGAATAAGCTGCTCATGGAGGAGATCCAGCAACTCAAAACCGAGCGCAGCGCCGCTTCTCAAACCACTACCACCCCCGCCCCGGTGGAAGTGGAACGCGAATTCGCCGCCCCCGTCTCCTCCCAAATCCTCCTCCTCACCAAGCGCATGTTCCTGCACCAATGGCGCGAGCCATCCTACCTCTACTCCCGCCTCTTCACCTCTGTCCTCGTCGGCATCTTCAACGGGTTCACCTTCTGGAAACTCGGCGAGACCACCGCCGACATGCAGTTCCGCATGTTCACCTGCTTCCTGATTATCATGATCCCCGCGTCCGTGCTCAACTCGGTCCTGCCCAAGTTCTACATGAACCGTGCCCTGTGGGAGAGCAGGGAGTATCCGTCGCGGATCTATGGCTGGGTCGCGTTTTGCACGGCAGAGCTCATCTCGGAGATTCCGGGGAGTCTGGTCGCGGGTGTGGTGTACTGGTTGTTGTGGTACCTGCCTACGGGTCTGCCGTATGATGCCGGCTCGGCGGGGTATGTGTTCCTGATGACTTTCTTGTTCTTTTTGTTTCAGAGCAGTTGGGGCCAGTGGATCTGCGCGTGGGCGCCGAATTTTACGGTTATCAGCAATGTCCTGCCGCTCTTCCTGGTCATCTTCGGCTTGTTTAATGGTGTGGTGGTGCCGTATGGGCAGTTGAATGTTTTCTGGAAGTACTGGGTACGTCTCCCCCTTACTCTTCCCCCCGTCCCCCTTACTTTGCTTTAACAACTAACGGGTGTGACAGGTCTACTACCTGAACCCAAGCACGTACTGGATCAGCGGCGTCCTCGCAGCCACCTTGGCCAACCAGCCCGTGCGCTGTGCTCCCAACGAAGCGGCGTATTTCAATCCACCCTCAGGCCAGACGTGTCTGCAGTTTGCTGGCGAGTTTGTGCGGCAAGCGGGGCAAGGATACCTGATGAACCCCAACGACACGGCCAACTGCGGCTACTGCCCGTACGAGAACGGGTCCGAGTACCTGAAGTCTTTGAACATCTCGCCGGATCAGAAATGGAGGGACTTTGGGATTTTCTTGGTGTTTTGCTTCACCAACTGGCTGCTGGTGTATTTCTTCATCTACACGGTGCGGGTGAAGCGTTCGACGCTGGGTTTTGGGTTTGTTTTGGGTCTTGTTGAGAAGGCTGTGGGCGCTGTCAAGGGGTTGTTCACGAGAAGGAGCAAAGATGGTGAGGAGGGTCAAAAGGCTTGATTGGCGTTGCCATATCAGTGCTGGTATATACTACTAATGCGTGCTCAACTGGGTTTCACAGTCGTTTTGTGTCCTCAACAGGCAGATACCACTAGGATAGACAAAGGTTAGATTGGATAGGAGTAGACAGGAGCCGGCGGGTGTCTCATTCAACTGTCAATAAGATCATCAAGTTTCATTCTCCATAGGCCAACTTTAAACGTGCCCCGACTTCACTCTGGACAAGTTTCATACTGTTGCCACATTCGTAATCACCCAAACCTGTTCACTTCAACGGTCCATCTCGAGCAAAGCGACTCGGGACAGATGTCGGGTGACATGGGGGGCTGGTATCCGGGAGGTGCTGCCGTGGGATGGGACGGGGAAGAAAAGAGAGGAGAAAAAAGGAAATGGGGGAGGAGATGGAGGTGGATTGATGGGGTTTTACGGAGTACTGGTAGGAAGGGAGGTGAAGATGGAGGGAAAGACCCAGGAGAGGTCTGTAAGGGGGTTTAAAGGTGATTGACATTGCTATGAGAGAGTGGGTGGCATGCAAAATCGAGATGAAGGTATCAGCTTCATGTTGATTGTTGACAATCAACTCATGGCTCCAGTCCCGTCATGGGTCGCGGTCCGGCTTAATTACTACCTACCTCTAAGTTTAAGTAAGGAGTACCATGAGCTGGTTCTGTCACCGACGCTGAACTTGAAGAAGTCATCATAATACTGTAGTCCCTATCCCGCCGTAAGCTTCTTATGTTTATCCATGGTCCATGACAGAGCTGAATCGACGTGCAAAAAGTTGACAGAATCTTACCCTTTTCTCCCTGCTTCCAAGCTGCTGTGCCTGTCGATCAATGGGTTAATTACCATGTGGCATGAGATCACAGCAGCTTGGCACTCGGTGATGCGGGGATTCAAGAGTAGAAGAAATCTAATGGACTGGTGTTGTGGAGTCGTGTGGCTCAGCCGGTGCTATTTCAGGCCAATGCAAGGGGCAGTTTCAGAAGTCAAAGAGATCTCCCGATCTTTGGTTGCATTCAGCGCTTGAGCCGCAACTGCTTACTCCTTGGCACGGGTCAACCTTCTTTCCACATTCCAGACGACGCCTCGAAATGGCAGCGGCGGGATGCGGGGAAGGTCAGCGGCCTACACGTGTATGGTGCTCTGAGATGCTGGACCTTGCAGTAGCAGGTGCTACGGCAGGGGGCACTTACTAGGTGTCTGGTATTGAATTTGTAGCACCGTTCCCACGTTCAATGTCCATACCCAAAGGCTTGAAATCTTGGATTGGGATGACAGGGACATGGTCAACTAGATTTAGGTCCGACCAATGATTGGCGTCTCATGCTCTAGGTTTGGGCATGATCACTCGGGATGACTTGCACAACCCATGCTGCGGGTTCAAGGAACATGGCATGAAATCATGGGCAGTGTTCTCGGTGCACTAACTGGGCTCCAACCATATCTGACCTAACCTAGAGATCCCCCTCCAGGTCAGCAAGTCTCGACAAACAATGAGTGCTTCTAATTTTGCAGTCCGGCAACGGGAAGACTCAAGCATGATTACCTTGGTGAGAGAATCTTGACGTGATCTGGTCAGGGGCACAGGTATGCCTATGGGAGAACAGTGACGCGAACTCCAAGGCCTCACCGCCAGAACAGATCATCGAGAAGCAGTAGAGATGTCTATAAAGACGAGTCTCCGTCCCTGACTCTCCCGTTCTGTTTCTCTCAGATCATCACCCTCAACTCAGCAGCCTCAGCAGCCTCATCCACTCAACTCAGAACCCCTCGAGCTCTAAGCTTTCAGCTTCTCTTGAAACTCGAACAACTTGACTATCCAAAATCAAGTCTCACGACCAAAATAAGACCAACAAAACAACCCATCCTCACATCAATATCAATATCAACCCCCAACCCTCAAAATGAAAGCCCAATTCATCACCGCCACCGCTGCCTTTTTCGCAGCCTCAGTCGCCGCCTTCCCCACACCTCAACCCGAGACCACCAACAACCACGGCCTAATCCCCGACTTTGACGACTGGAACTCGGACGCAGACGCCGTCAGCATCGAGGTCCTCACGGCCCGCGGCCCGCGCGTGATTTCGACGGCGGCCGCCAACTTCAACTTCACCGACGACTTCAACTTCCCGCTCGACCACCTCTTTGCCGAGATCGAGGCCATCCCCGACGAGGTGCTCGCCCAGGGCGATGAGGCGCTGCACAAGTGGCTTGTTGAGCACGGCGATCGTGCCGGGGATGATGTGGAGAAGTTGAAAAGGGATGATGGTGGGTATGATGTCGAAGAGGAGGATTGGAACGATGCTGGTTCGATTGGGGATGTTGCTGGTGAAGGGAACGAGGCTGCTACGGTTGTTGAGCGCAGTGATGATGAGGAGGTTGTCGACACGGACGACTTCGGCGGCGAGGAAGGGAATGATGCTGCTGTTGTTGTTGAGCGCAGTGATGAGGATGTGGTTGAGGGGGGTGATGCTGACTCCGATGGTCTTGATATTCTTGCTCGTGGGGAGATTGCCGCGCGTGCCTCGCTCTGGAAGATCACCAAGTGTGTCGCGGCCATTGTTCAGCTGCTCGCGACCACGGCGGTCCCTGCTGCCAAGCTCCTTCGCATCAAGCAGTACATCAAGGCTCTTGGTGGAACACGGCAGGCGGTCAAGCTCCTGCTGGGTGCTACCACCAGAGCCGAGAAGCTCAAGGCTGGCGGTGAGATTCTGGTCAACTTGTCGGCTGAGCTGCTTGGGATTAGCACCGTCAAGACGCAGTGCTTCTAAGCGGACCCGGGCAGGATGGGTTGGAAGTGATTGTACAACTTGGTGGCAATGCGGATTTGGGAAAGGTTGCGAAGATTCTCTGAGATCCAATGTTGATGTTTCTTGCTTCTTTGTATATACATACTTGTTTGTTTGCTTTTGTCTCAAGGTTTTCCCTGTCTTTTGGCAAGTTTAGAGGTACATACAAACAGTTCGACGTTAAACACTTACCCCCAGTTGCAGGCTGCAACGTGACATCCTCTGATGTGAATGAAGCCTGGAGGTAAGGGAGAAAGTGAAAGCTTCCCAAATCCCGGGTAGGTACAGTACGAGGCACAAATGTGAGTGGCCAGGCAAGCACGAAAAATCAACGATTGTCCAGGACTTTGCTACTGCACATAGCACCTTCCCTACCCCCAACACAACGCAGTTTATCTAGGTACCTAGCCAAACTCAAGACCTTCCACACCCCTCAGTCATTGCAAATGCCGTCCTTGTTCCGAGTCGGTCAGGTGTTGCGAGGCAGTGCTGGCCATTATGTGATTAGCAAGCAGCTGCAGGAAACAGTTTGGCTCGCAAAGTCGGTTTCCCTTCTAATCTGTTTTTCTTGTTACTGCAATCGCTGATAGGCAAGATACCAGAAATCATGCGCAAGAGCTTGTGGTCATCAAAAGCGTTCAAGGCCATTTCAGAGTAGCCAACGAACGGGATGTGCTTCGCCGTTTCGCTGGCAAATCACCTCACATCCGGCCGTTGCTGGATGAAATCATTGAGCCGCCTGAACCTACAGCGATTGTGTCGCGACACTTGCAGAATCACCTCTGGCAGGCGTCAGGCGAGAAAACCCTGAACCGGAAGGAATTGAAGTATGTGTCTAGGAGGGTGTTGGAAGCCTTGCAGGTCATGCACGCCGAGGGGTTTGTTCATGCTGGTATGATGGCGATTCCAAACTGAAGTGTAAAGTGCCCCGCTATGTACAATGCCAATGGCTGACTGCATGCGACCGATGTGAGGCCCCCGGCGGCAGATGTGAAGCCAGACAACGTCATGGTCAACTACGGTTCTAACGACAGCGAGAACCGCTTCACTGATGTCCAATTGGCCGATATGGGCAGCTCTTATCCGGAAGACCACAAATACGCCAGGGAGGGCGCTCCCATTGGGGCAGCCATCTGGCGCAGTCCTGAGGCTCTGTTCAAGCGGTCTTGGGATACCAAAACGGACATTTGGTCGTTTTGGCACCTTGGTAAAGCCAACCTGCTCCTTCGACAAAATTTACCCACCAGCCGCTGACATTGTGAAGCTCATTAGTCTGATCTAGGGCGGGCACTTCAACATTTTCGATCCTCCAGGAGTACCCTTCAAATTTGACGATCCTGAATACGAGTTTGAAGTCCTCAAGCGGCAAGTCCAGTTCTTTGGGCCGTTTCCGGCCAAGTATATAGAGATTACGGATGACGACACGGCGGAGGTCGTGGTCTGGTTGATGGAGAACCTTAAAGAGGAAGCCATTTCTGCATGTCACGGAGAGAGAGATTTGCAGGAAGGACAAGGAATTCATCGCCTGAAGCTGGATCCTCGGGACAGGCCGACTGCTGATGAGATTCTGGCGCATGAGTGGTGGCAGGAGGGGGATGATTTGGATCTGAGCTGATGGTAGATCCAGGGTTGGAGTCTGCGTCATCCATTGAAGATTTTGTTGTCTAATAAAGCATGGGACGTCTTGGGAGGATGTGGCGCTCCCACAGGCTTTGAGCTGCAGCAAGCTGTGAACAATGGGACTCAATTAGAATTTTCTTGACCAAAAGTCCACGACTTTGTAGTGGGAGAGAGACACCAAATCCCTGTGCTCGTATGTTCATCATCATTTGAAAGGCCACCTGATTGTTTTGCTTTCAAAATCAAACAACAGCCTTTTCTTTGCCCCATCACGCCCCCATTTTGAGCCTGGGTTGGGAAAGGTCACTCAACCTACTCTTGATGACAGGTGTAAGGTCTGGCAAGATTATATATACTGTTACAGGCAACTCAGCTCACAATGATCCCAAACGCAGTTAACAATGCCCTCAACTCTCACCGCAGTTCGGACTCGTTCCTATAGGAGTACATGTACAGTACTAGTGTATGTACATACATACATCTTCCCGTCAGCAGGAGCATGTGTGCCGTCCTCTCCGTCTTCTCCGAATGAAAAGACATCACCCGAAGATGGACAGCGGTCCCGCCCAGCTCGCTCTGTGTCTGCCCGCCCGGCGTGACGGGGGGCAGGGTGACTTTCTTGCCCTTGCGGGCGGGAGTACCGGCGGTACCGGGGTTGCCGTTGCCAGCGTCGTCCGAGCCGAAGGTGTTTCCCTAGGTACCAGGAGTGAGGCGTGGTACGCAGCAAGCGGCTTTGCAGTACAGCTCTACCACCCCAAAGACACGCGGCCTGGCCCGGTGTTATCCAGAGTCCACTGCCCTTTCACCAAATTCTTTGATGAGGCCGCGCATCCAGTCTCCACCCAGGCGTACTTGCGTCTGCCAACAGAGAGGCATACCTGTGCTGGCTCACGAGCGAATAGTCAGCATAATGTCGTTAAGGACCAAGGCCACCGCCGACAAGGAGTGTAGGTGCTTGCGCGTGTCAAAGAACCAAACCCGCCGGCCGCCCTCGTCGAGAGGAGGCTTGTCCGGACCTGTGACTCGACAGTCGGGGCTGTGTAGACTGTGAAAAGAAGTTGGCGGAAATCGTACTGCCGTTCAGTGTGTTCACCGCCGTCAGGTTTCTAGACTCACAGTCTCGTTCGTGCCAGGTCGTGATCTATGATGTCGCCGTCGAGCCCATATTCAGAATTCTGCTCACGGCGGCGTCGGCTACGCGCGCGGAAAGACGTTGTCGGGTGCCGGTACTGCCGTTGGGTGGTCGAACCGCCGTCTCGTTTCAGTGCTCGCGAAGTCGTCCGCCCATGCCGACCCGTGTGATCAACGACATCGCCGCCGAGCCCCTATTCTCCTATTCACAGCAGCTGCGCAGACCCGCCTTTCCATCACCATTTCTCACTCCAAAACCCCCTCCCCCTCGAACTTTCTCTTTTCCTCTTCCACAATCAAGCACCCGTCACAACTCCTTCTCTCCTCCCTCTCCGCCGCGACACTTCCCGCTCTTTTCACGCTTTTTTAAATTTTTTATATAAAAATATTAACAACAAGATGGCGAGCATCACCAGCCTCGCCAACGAGACCCTGTACTGGGTCATGCGGGAGTTCTGCCCGCATTGCGTCGTCGGGTGTGGTGTGTTTGGGGCTGGGTCCGGGGCTTGCCTCGAGTCCCTCGATCACGCCTCGGTGTTGGCGGGCGACCGCCGCGCCGAGGCGAGAAGGACTCTGCTGGCCCTGACCAGGGTCGGCAACCGCCGGTTGGGTCGCGTGGCCCAACTCTTCCTCTTCCACGTGGTCGACACCGACCGCGGGGACAGCCTCGCCCTGCTCGCGCGCACGTTGGCCGAGGCGCCAGCGCTCGCGCTGGAGATCCGGGTGGTGGACCTGGGTGGCGTTGCCGTCGCTGGGTCTGGGGGGTCTGCCGTTGTGGTAAGTTCAGTTCTTGTGTCACCGTCTTCATCAAACAGCTAGCGGGAGAGGGGTCTCCTCGAGTCTGACGTCGACGGCCTCATTACCGTTCGACTTGACCAGACATTTCAGGTTCATGCCAGCGAGGACGACAATCTATCACAACATGCTAGCGGCATGGTGCGTACCACCTCATATTGGAGTGGCGCCCTGCTGGACGTCGGCATGATGTGATGTTATCATCTTCACTGGTATGAATGTGAAATGTCAGGTTGGGCGGGATTGAGACCATTGGCGTCAAGATTGTCCTCTCTGATGACATTTGTCCTTCAATCCTCAACCAGCCGCCTCCGAATCAACGCAAGATGCGAAGGGTCGCAAGTGGTTTCCACAGCAGTCGCACTTCTTGTCCGAAATGTCTTAGCGCGGAGAGGGACGCCTGCGGCATTGCAGTCTGCCTCTTGACATGGAAGTTTGGTGCCGGTGCTCCTGGTCGGGCCTCGTCCTTGGGTCCTGGCGGCGGTGTCTTCGAGGACGGCGGGTTTGCCCTCGATTTCGCCTTCCAACGACGCTCCGGGGAACGGGCAGGCGACATAACCGGCGAAGTGAGCAGTAATGACCGACATTACGCCAACATCACCGCCCATCGGGGTGCCCAGCTGGGCTTCTGGATGTTCAATGATGTCGGTCATTGCTGTTCCCTTCGCTGGTACCAAGCTTTCATGTCAAGAGACAGCCACTGCCGTAATGTCGGACACCAACCCTCCCGCCGCCGCTCGCCCTCTTCTCCCCCTACCTTTCCCTGCTACCGGTGTCTGTCATCACTGGCAAGGTTACAACTCACTTGACATTTGGGTCTGCTATGGGTGAAAGCACGAGACCCAGCTGTCAAGGTGGATTGTAATGTCGCCAGTGATGACAGGCCTCCCTTCTCCTTGCTGGCTCAGCTCTTCCACTTTCTCTTCCCCAACTTTCCACTGGCCACCGACCACAACGCTCTCACCAGCACCACAACAAAGTTCATGGCCCCATTCCTGTTCAACTTTGCATTCCAGTTTGATGCCAGCGAGGGTGACCATAATGTCAACAGTGAAGTGTGCTGTTGTGATTAGTGTCATCTTTGCTGGCATGAAACTGGGCTGTTAGGTTCTGGCTGTGTGGTCGGAGACTCTTCCCCCCTGATAGTTAGTGGATTCATCAAGTTGTGTTCTGGTCGAGCTAACGTGCGTGACCCAACCTGCAGACGACCCCGACCGCTGCCGCTGCTCCTGCCTTTGCTGCCGTCGTCCCCGCCGCTGGTCTCGCTCCTGCCGCCACCCCTGCGGCCGCCGCTGCCGCTGCTGCCTTGGCCCGTGCCGCCGCCGCCTCCGCCCAGCAGGACGTCTTCACGCTTTTCTCCCAGGCCAAGAAGATCCAGGCGGTCGTTCTCCGCGGTGCCTGGCCGCTCGACGCCTTCTCCCGCTTCCCCACGCCGGCAGAGACCCAAAACCGGCTAAAGATCAAGCTGGTAGGCCCCACCACCATCCGCCTCGGCCTGGACCGCTCCATCCCGCTCGACAGCATCCGGGAGCTGCGCTTGACGGGTGGCTATGCCACAGTCCCACCCCTCGGTCAGAGGAATGACACCGTCGACCTCAACGCCGCCAAGGAACTCCTCTGCCGCCTCACCAGCCTGCGCCGCTTGAGTGTTTGTGGTGCGCTGGGGAGCTTCTGGACCGACTCAGTTGGCGACACGCTGTTTCAGAACCTCACTGCCCTGGAGTTGCCGCTTTGCTCGCTCGGACTCAGGTATTTTGAGGACATTCTTGAGAGCTGCACCCCCGGCACGCTGAAGCGCTTCACCTTTTCTTGCGGCCAGGCCGGCGACGCATCCACCGTGGAGTACGCCACGGGTTCTGTTGTCCTCCACCTGCTGAACCACTACGGGCACGCCCAGAACCTGGAATCGCTTGAGCTCGACACCTCCAAGAGCGGTTGGTGGATGGGCTGGATGTCAGTCTTCCAACGCACCGTCAAGTCGGTGTGTCATTTTTCTTCGCTGCGGCATCTCTCGATTAGCGCCGACAGTATCTACTCCTGGGGTACGGGCACCATGCAGGGACGGCTGGCTGCAGACAAGTACACGGGTCTGGAACGACTGGTCGAATTCCTCCCATCGAGCCTTCAAAGTCTCGAGATCACGGCAATCTGGGCGATTCCTATTGCCGACGTCAGAATGTTAGCGGAGGATTGTGAGGCGGAGTTCCCTGAGCTCACTAAGGTCGTTTTGAAGAGGTGCGACCTGCCGGGACCGAATGCCTGGCCATATTTCGACTACATTCATGAGGGGGAGACGGTGTCTTTTGCCAGAGTGCCTGTGAGCAGGTACCATGAGCACGTTGAGCTGGAGGAGATGTTCGCTGCTGCTGGAGTCGAGTTCGTTCTGGTTTGACAACCCCAGGGATACCTAATTTGGTCAGAGATGTTAGCGGGGTTTCGACAATGGTGGTGGAGGGCATGACGTTTGCTTGCTTTTGAGGCGTTAGGTATGGGTTTGCTCTTTGAGAAAGTGTTAGGTATGACACAGAAAGGAAATGGATTTGATGTGCACAAGCGATGAACGTGACCGAGGTTTATAACTCAACTCCCCCTTCCTACTTTCACCTCCCATGGGCAGAAAGTGAAGTGAAGTGCAATGGCCGAGCGGTTCCAACTCCCCAGTTACCACCAAATTCTCCCCTAACGACCGTGTTCGAAGCAGGTCGTTGCCTTGTTCTTGAACAACGCACCACACAAAAACACAAACAGGACTGGAACTGGGAAACGTCAGGTACCTATGATAGCACAAAGAAGCCTGTCCTCGTTCAATCTCCCATCATGCCTGTATGACGCCTCTCGGACTGCAGTCAGTCACCGGGCTTGGTGGGAACTTCAAGTTGGCATGACCACTAACCAGTCATGGCCGTGTGTCTATGCATGTAAGTAGCCACGGCGTACGCCCGCGATCTGGACGACGACCGCGGCGACGTGCTCCTGTACAGCGCCGACGGCAGCTCTAAACACCGCGACCCCGCTCCATCTGGCCAACCTCAGCTAAGGGACCAAGTGCCTGACGGCAGCTCTAAACACCGCGACCCGCTCCATCTGGCCGACCCCAGCTAAGGGACCAGGTGCCTGCCGGAAGAGAAACCATCAACTGACAGTAGCTGAGTATAGCAGGCAACCTCGATCCTTCAAAAATGACGACCAACGCACCCACTGCCGAAGATCTTGCAGCAGCTGCAGGCCCTGGGTCTTGTGAGCCTTTCAACGTTGTGGTCAGGCAGTGAGCTCTCTGCGGCCTTGGGCGGCACAATCCACGGTGAAGTCCAGTTTCTCAGCTGTGGTGCTGGCGGCAGGGCTCTGGCTCCCTGAACAACATTCGTCTCCCACCAAACAGCTTCCGCCTAGATACCGGTAGCGACAACGACAAGTCCAACTTGGTGGTGCCATCTTAGCACTTCACTCATAGACAACACAGGCTTCTGCCTGGTCGACAACTTCAAGTTGGTGGTCTACCTTGGGTAGTAGTTCCGAATTGGAAGAGACGTGAGCCGCCACACAAGCTCAGGGAACTCCTCCTTGCAACACTCTGCCAACGTTCTGACGTCCGCAATAGGAATGGTCCAAATTGCCGTAATCTCAAGACTCTGCAAGCTCCATGGAAGGAGCTCGAGCAGTATCTTGGGGTACTTTCAAATCTAACCGTTCCGCAGCATCGATGTTATTGACTGCCATGATACGGCGTTGCCACTGCCCTTGATCCTGTGCTCCAGCAGAACGAACGTTACCGTGAGAAACTGTCTGCGACCAGGATGAGCCCAAGGTCAATGGCGATGGTGACCTCGACAGGAATGACGCAGCTCCTTAGGAGGAGAGGCCACAATGAGGCGATCATCATGAAAGAGTGTCGTGTGGTATATAGAGCACTAGTATGAGCCTCCCCGGCGAAGCGTTCGCTTTTGCCGTTTTCGTATCACAAAGAGGAAGTCGGAGGACCTCGGCCACCGAGCCAGAGCAGAACGTAGCTGTTGCAAATGTCGGTCCTGCTATTGCGTATCGATGAAGCTTCTTCCCGAAGGAGCTCATCGATCCCCAAGTACCAACTGCGACGCTTCTGAGACCTCTGAGGCGATGAGATGAATGCGACCGAGGTTTATAAGTAAAGTCCTCCTTCCTACTTTCACCCCCCCCCCCTGGGTAGAGAAAAGTGAGATGGCCGAGCGGTTGCTAGTTCGGGTTGATCACCGCCTGTCTACAGACCGCCACATTCTCCCCAGACGCCCGTGTTCGAAGCGGGTCGTTGCCTTGTTCTTCGTCTTTCGTTGCCAACTACACTGTAGATTGTGGGGTCCTCGATTTCACGCCGGTCATGCATATATCGTCCCGGGTGTTCCTCGTAAATGTTTCCGCACAGCCATGCTTGCCCAATCGCGTCGAGCCATTCGCGACCGTCCCATCCCTTCACTTCTTCCAGGATTTCCGCATTGTCCCATCCAGTCACGTTTTGCTCGGGATGGGGAGGCATTGTGGTAAACTGAGGTCAACACAGGTGCTAAAAAATCTCGGAGAAAAAGGGGTGCAAGCCGGGAGATAAGCCGAGTTGTGTACCTGGTAGACATCGTAGTTTATGACCAGGCTGTGAGCGAGACGAATGCGCTACCTCCATAGTAAACGTATGTAGGCCGTATTGGTAGTGAGGCGAGGGTCTTTGGGGGCCTGTTACCTCCATCCTCCAGAGTCCAGACACGTCCGAGACGACACAGCGTCTAGAATGAGGGAATGGACCTTGCTGTGGTGCTCATCAACGTGCATGGTCAGCTGGCAAGTGAATGGTCTTGCCCTTGTAGCGAATCGATTGCGCTGCTACTTGGCCAAAGTATCTCCCGTCGTCCTGAATGATGCCCCTGTGACTGCGGTCAGTCATCGGGCTCGGTGGGAAGTTGTCCATGATCAGGTATGTTCTCGCTTGTGTCTGTGGATAGGCCGGAGCGGCAGCAAGCCAAAATGAGCGCTAGGTATCGACGATGCCGATATGTCTCGTCAATGACGTTTTTGTCCCCGAGGAACTCCCCTACCAACGGTGATGCTCCTGAGATCTCTGAGGCAATGAGGCCAGACAACAGCACAACTCTCTCACTTTCTTTCTTGCATGCAAGGTGATCCGTAAAGGTTCATAGTATCACTCGAGGCGTGATGGCGCGGGTTTCATTTCGTGGGCGGTTGCGGATTTTAAATGTGTTCGACTGTTTTTCGATGTTTTGCATCTTGCACCACCAACTTGCCAAGTTTGCAAACTGTGCAAGGGAGTCAAGGAACTCCGGGAGGAAGTCGCGGGGAAGTTCACCATTTCAAGGAACATTGACCCTAGGGTTCCCCGCTAATTCGGACGCCACATAACCCTAAGCCTAACCCTGCTGGTGTTACGCCCCGCTGCTGCCTTGAAGGCAATTGCCATTCAGCGCTTGCTCGCCTAGTTTTCTCTCACAACTTTACACGCTTCACAAGCAATCACAATTTTCTTGCTTTCGTTGGGATTCCACCACCAATTTTACGTATAATATGTGACACAATGATTACCAAATGGCAATTCCCACGGCTGCCATCCTCAAATGGCGTCTATCGCTGAACGCGACGCCACGGACTTGCAAGTGGGGAACAAGCCATTCGACGCGGCGGGTGAAAGATGTCCTGCAGTGAGCCGTATGCGCTGAACCACGGACTTGGGATGGCGGTCTGCGAGCCGGCTGTGCTCCGACAGCGCCGTCGGGACACCAAAAGAGTGTCTCTTTCCCCTCCGATGGCGTCGCCAAAGTGAGTTTTAAAGACATACCCAGCATCCCTCCCAAATTGAGTGTGACCTAACACGAGGAAAGACAGTTCGGCATCACCAGTATCAAATTACACGCATAAGGTAGTAGGTTAGCTTCTGTCAGGCCCAGTCAATAACTTCGTCATCAACACAAGCTCACAACTCACAAGATGGGCTCAACCGCCCCCCAGAGCCAAAACCCAAACCCACCACATGTCTACACCGGCGCGGCCGGTGTAGTAGGCGCAGGCATCGCCGGACTCTGCGCAGCCATCGGCCTGCGCCGGGCAGGGTGGGAGGTGGAAGTGTTTGAGAAATCGCGGTTCAAGAACGAGATTGGCGCCGCTATCACGGTGCCGAGCAACGCGACCTTGGTGCTGAAGCGCTGGGGGTTTGATCTGGAGAAGGCCGGCGCCGTGCCAAACGACAAGCTTACTATAGCCCGCGCAGCAGATTTGGAGGTTTTCTACCGCGAGGAGTTCCCCGAAATGGCCAGCGAGTTTGGCCATGGGATCTGGACCATCCATCGGGTTGATTTGCATCGGGGGTTGAGGGAGATTGCTACTGCTATTAGACGGGAGTCAGCGGATGGTGAGGAGGAGGGTCGATTCGGCCCGCCGGTTGAGATTCGGTTGGGATGTGAGGTTGTGGGCGTGGACTGTGAGAGAGGGATTCTAAGGCTGCCGGATGGGCAGACGGTTGAGAAGGACCTCGTGATCATTGCGGACGGGGCACATGTAAGTACTCCCTACAACCTCTGATTGACCCGGCAGTCTCCCTTGCGCTGACCACCAACCCCAGAGTGCGTTGCTATCCGACTTCACGGGCCATCCCTCTGTGGACCAGCGCACAGGTCGTTCCGTTTACCGCTGGCTTGTTTCCATGGACGACGTGATGGCAGATCCTGTTCTGCGCGCCCAATACGAGGGCGAGCTTCCAGGATACACGGCCTACAGTTCTCCAGACATGAAACTGCTGTGGGTGACCTACACCTGCCGCGGGGGCAAAGTCCTGAACAATGCCCTCGTGCACACCACGCAAACCGGCGAGGGCGAGCCCGGCGAGGAGAACCAGTGGCATGCACCTGTTTCGCGGGATCAAGTCCTCTCACGCCTGGAGGGTTTCCACCCGTCCCTGAAAAAGATTGTTGCCATGGCCAGCGAGGACGGCATCAAAGTGCACAACCTGTTCAAGCGGCCAGCCCTCACAAGCTTCGTGCGAGGCGTCACGGCCGTGGTGGGCGACGCCGCGCATGTCATGCTTCCCACCCACGGTGCAGGCGGCGGGATAGCCATCGAGTCAGCCGCAAGTCTGGAAGTCCTTTTCAGCCGGGTCGACGGCAGAAACGGTGCAATGGTGCAGCAACGCCTGGCCGTGTTCGACAAACTGCGTATCCCCCGGTGTAACCTTACCATGCTGGCATCCAACGGTGGCCCGGAATGGCGCCAGCTGCCCGGGGTCGTGGAGGAGATACGGAGGTTCTACTCTGGGCCGCTGCCCCCTGCTGGGTTGCTGCAATACAACAAGCCGTTTAGAGAGATCTTCTTCTGCCACGACGAGTTCCGCGCCGCGGGGCAGGCATTGGCGCAGCTAAATCAAGCGCCGAGTTCCTCCGGCCTGGCATCAGCGGAGGCGGAGCATGACAGCCCTGGCGCTGCGCCAACACCGTGACACTGCTGGGGCTGGGCGTTTGCGGGTAAGTTGGTTGGTGAGGAGACCAGCTTGGGGGGTCTGATATTACGGCTCTCTCGGGGTATCAACCCGATTCATGCCACTGTCATTAACCCGGTGCCGTATCATGTGGGGTTTTGTGTTGGCAGCAAGACTCGCATATACACGCATGAGATAACTGTCCCCTCAGCTCTTATCAGGCACAAGTCCAAGAAGGAACGCTTCGAGGTCGAGAAATAGACGTCTTGGATACCATTTGCTAGACCGAATGGGCTTACGGAAGGCTACGGTGACAGCGGTGAAGCGGTGATAACCGGGGAATTTACCATGATGTGACGGGCCGTCTCAACTCGGTACTCTTTGGGCATGATATCCAGGGCCAATGCCCAATCCGGATCCAACCAAGGAGGATCAAATTACTCTAGAAGATGTTCCGCTCGCCTGTGGGCACCTTCTGCGCCTAAGCGAACCAACATGCTGGCGAAGCAAGGTATCATTGACGGTGATGACATCTTCCGGACCCAAGCCGGGGCTACTCCAACTCGAATGGAGGAGGAGGGTGAGATTGCCGTGTGCTGAGGGTAGGTAGGTAGGGTCTTCCCAGTCCCCTGCCGAAAGCAGAGGGCGAGTGCCGAGAAAGCCCTCGTCATATCCGCAATGTACGGAACCATGCTCGGGGCCCTACCGCCAAGGCGGTTTCCGGTGGGTGCGGTTGGCACGGGATGACTCCCGCCGTTCCTGCAGCAAAAGCTCGGTAAAATCGGCTTGAACTGTTATTTAGCCTCATTCTGGAAGCCTTTTGGTTATGGGCGCAAAATGCTCCGGATAGTGGCTGCTGTCACCCTTTGGGGCAATAAATTAATTCCTGGCGTGCCTTTTGGGAATTTGGGCCCTTTCTGCGTGCGCAATCCAACTCTTTTGCTCTACAGCCGGTAGCCGAGTGTTCGCCGCGAAAGGGGGTAGGGGGTAAGGGTCTGGGTGAGGTGGCACCATACCGAAGGGGAGGGAGGGCTTCAAATTTCTCCGACATCCCCTATCCGTGGATCTGCGTCTTGCTCCTTGGGCTCGTCGATCCCTGAGTATATCCTGCCTCGCGTCTGGCTCGCTTGCTCATGACCGCACAGACTCGCGGGCAAAGCTGAGACGACACAATGAGATCCGCATACCTCGGTCTGGTCTCAGCCTTGTGCTGGGCCGGCGTGCTCGGGGGCGCCAGCCCGGCCAACGAAGGGAGGGCAGACATGGCCATGGCCGGCCGCCGGCTCTCCTCCAGGGGCAGCACCCGGCATCGCAACACCTTCAACGGCACGGCCCACTACGCCGAGCTCGGGCTACGCCAACAGGGCGGACAATGCGGCGCCCAGGCCGGCCGGTGCCCCGGAGACCTGTGCTGCTCCTCGTACGGCTTCTGCGGCGACTCAATCGACCACTGCCACCCGCTGTTTGACTGCCAGGCCCAGTACGGCGTCTGCGGATGGCCCCGCGCACCTCCGGTCGCGACAACCACTAGCACTAGCACGACGCCTGCTCCTCCCACGTCCACATCCACGTCCACAACGACGACGACAACCCCCCGGCCACCAACCACTTCCACCACCAGCACTACCACTGCCAGGCCGCCCACCAGCACCAGCACACCCACAGTCCCCATCCCAACAGGCCAGGTCACCACCAACGGCCAATGCGGCAACGGCACCATGTGCATTGGCAACCCCAACTTCGGACCCTGCTGCTCCCAATTCTTCTGGTGCGGTTCCTCCCTTGAATTCTGCGGCGCCGGTTGCCGAAGCGAGTTCGGCGCATGCCTGGGCGTGCCCGGCATCCCCGGCGGTCAGCCGGGCAATGTCACCACCACCCCCGGCCCCGGCACCACTTCCACAACCACGACTACCCCACCGGTAGTTACTCCCCCAACTACCACCACTACCACCACCACCCGGACGACGAGTACCACGACGACGAGTGCAGCACCGAGTCCGACTGTGACTATCCCTCCGGGCATGCGGTCGAGTACGGATGGGACGTGTGGCACGGGCGTGACATGTCTGGGTTCACGGTTCGGACGGTGCTGCAGTCAGTTTGGGTACTGTGGGGACGGGGACCAGTACTGTCCGTATATTGTCGGGTGCCAGCCGGAGTTTGGGTATTGTGATCCGCCGCCTTAAGACTGCTTGACTGACTACTTGAGGGGTGAGTGAGGGATTGTAGTAGAGGAGGGAGGGGGCAGGTGGGTGGATAGGTGGCAGGTGCTTAGGGAGGGAGGCTTGGGGCTGGGCTTGAGGTAGTAGGGCTGGGTTTGGGGTAGGGATCAGTGGGTGGTTGAGATGAGATAGTGTCAGTGGCGATTGTAAACACTCATGAAGCTTAGATCAGATCAGATCCACATTGAACTTTGTCTGTCTTGAAGTTTAAACGTCTTTGTTGTCGAAACGTCTTTGTTGTCGAAACGTCTTTGTTGTCGAATTCGAGAGGAGTTGAGATTGAGGATAAATGTCACTGTCACCCACCCCAAGTGCCACTGCCAAATGCCTTTGCTGCTTGTGAGACCGTTATTACAAGAGTGCCCAGCTCCATCGCTACGGTATGTACTGTACCATACACGTACTAACTCAAGGAAGGGACTGCAACTCAGGGGTCGTCCAAACGTCACTTACACACCATACCTCGGGCCGAAACACAAGCAAGGACATGCGTTTCCCACCCATCTATCTGATCTCATCTCATCAGCTCTATGTCTAGTAGTTAACTTTACCACGGAGATGCTTAATCCACAAGCAACAGCAGAACAACTACTGTAACCTCCAGTCTAGCTTCCAGTACAGCATCACACCCCTTTTTCTAAAAGTCCCGCGCCAAACGCCTCTATCCCAACCGACCAGCCACCATTTCTATCTATCCGGAAAACCAGATGACTACCCGACCTAGGGTAAATAGGTATCCCAACCAACCACAGCCAGAGGCCAACAACACTCACTCAGGCACTGGAAGTGTAGTCTGATGCATCGAACCGCATTCGCTCATCGCTCATCGCTCGTCAAGCCATCCCACCCCGCGAACAAGCCAACCAGAAAAAGCCCCCCACCCCCGAACCTAATCTCCCCATACCCTTCGGTCCGGTGCCTGCTCACTCAGCTTCATCATCCGTATCCGGTGGCCTGGGCGTCCCCTTGGGACTATTCAACCACTCAATATGCCTCAATCTCCTCCTCACCTCCCTCTCTTTCAACTCCCTCTTCGTCATCTTCTTCTTCTTCTTCGTCTTAAACGCCATGCTCTCCCCTGAGACACCATTATCCTCCGCGCCACTGTTCACGGCACTACTAACCGCACTCCCCTGGCCACTCAACACGGGCGTGTTCAACCCACTGGTCACAGCACTAGCCGGTTTACTCGCATCCTCAAACCTGTCCAGCGCCACCGCAGAACTTCCCTTATGCGTAACCCGCCCGTCATTGACATGCCACTGCTCAGTCGCCAACGCGCCGACAAACTCCTCATTATGCGAGATCATGACAACGCCGCCCTTGAAATCCCGGATGGCAACTGCCAACCCTCCTAACGAGTCACGATCCAAGAAGTTGGTCGGCTCGTCGAGGACTAGCAGGTGGGGGTTATTCCACATAGCGCCGGCGATGACAACCTTGACCTTTTGTCCGCCGGAGAGCGAGCCGATCTCGTTGTGGTTGGCGATTTCCGGGTCGAGGCCCAAATCCTCAAAGTGCTTGGATATGACCGACGGCTGCAGCTCGCGGTAGCCCAGCCCTTCGCGCGACGCCTCGTGGTCGTCGAATTCCTGCACCAGCTTGGCAAAGCCTAGGTCTAGGAGGGTTTCGCGAGACATTTGCGTGTTGTGCTTTGGGAGGAAGCCGCGCCATTTGCTGTGTGGAGCTCGTTAGTCGATTGTGCGGGGGTAAGGTATGGATAGCGGTAGGAGAACTTACACCTCGTATTGGAACGTCTTCTTGTACTTTTGTCGGCCGACGAGCGCTTCAATCTGGCGTTTGCCCTTGCCGTCGCCAACGTCGATGAACTTGTCCATCTGCTCCCGATCCCTGTCCGACAGGATGCGCGTCTGCTTCATGTGGACTTCACGGTCGTCGCCGTGGGCATACCGCCACTGTAGGTACTGATTTGGCGTCTTTTCCAGGTGCATCTCGACGTGCTCGAGCGCGTGCTGCTTGATGTAGCCGATTCGGAGATTGGGGTGTTTCTCCACCTTGCCGGCCGTCGGGATGACTTCGCCAGTCAGAAGCTTGATAAGGGTAGACTTGCCAGCGCCGTTGGGGCCGATGATGGCCACGCGCGACGAGAGGGAGAGTTGGCACGAAACGTCGCTCAACGAGGGCTTCGGCGCGTTGGGATATGTGTAGGAGACGTTGGTCATCCGGATAATGGCTCGTGTCTGCGACTTGACGCCCGTGAGGATCCCCGGCGGCGGGAACTTGAACTGCACGTTGGATGCAGAGAGCGTGTAGTAGCTCTTGGCCTCCGGGCGGACCTTGACAAAGGCAGCAAGGTTCCCCTTGTAGTGCCCTAGCTTCTTGTTGGGCTCGTAGTGGTAAATGTCGGTGGTAACCTCGTCAAGAAACCCAGAGTCGTGCGACACGATCAAGCTGGTGATCTCGGTGTGCGTCTTGAGGTAGTTTTCGAGCCACTTGATGTTTGCCACGTCGAGATGGTTGGTAGGTTCGTCCAGCAGCAAGACATCGGCCCTCTGCAGCATCGCGCGGGCCAAAGCCAGCTTCATCTTCCAGCCACCCGACAGGGAGCCAACCTTTTGCGACTGCCGTCCCTCAGGGCCAGAGGTGAAGCCAAACTCTTCCAGGACGGCAGATATCCTTTCCTTCCCTTCCTTGGCGATGACGGGGTCCTTCGAAACGAACTCAAGGATGCTGATATCAGCATCTTCGCCCTGGTTGTGCTCGACATAGCAGGTCCGCAGGACGTCCTGGGGAGGAAAACCTTCGAGCTTTCCCGCGGCAATGCTCTTCATCAGGGTCGACTTGCCCGCACCGTTCCTGCCGCACAGACCATAGCGATGTCCCTTGAGCAGTCGAAGGTTGGTGTGAGACAATAAGAGCATACCACCATAGGCAAGCGAAAAGTCGGCGTTCACGATTTCCACCTCGCCGTCGTCCTCTTTCTCGGGTACGCCGTATTTGCGATGATCTTCTTCAACATAAAATTTCTCCACGGCTGCAGCAACTGCCTGAGGCGCATCTGCGTTCTGCATAAGCCCCTGGAGATATGGAGCAATCCTGGCGGGGATGCGGCGAAGCTGGCGGTGATTGACGTCTTCGCTGACCATTTCGCAGATATACGGGCGCACCAGGTTGTAGCCCTCCAAACTCCCAGCGAGGCCATTGTGGTTTTTGATTTCAGCTTCTAGCACTTTCGCCACATCGTCGGCTGTGGTCCGCTCGACCACCGTGGTCTTGTCATCACCCATGGCTTTGTCCATGACGGCCAGCGCCCGTTTTGCTAGCTCGCGCACCTCGGGAAGCGAGGCTCTGCCCACAACACTCTTGATGCCGGGCTGGAGCTTTGGTAAGAACGTGCGAGCCTCGATCGGATCGTGAACGAGCTTGGTGAGATTCTCAGTGATGACCACGGTTTGCCGGAGAACCTCTTGCGGGGTTGTCGGGTTGTTCAGGGAGCGCTCGAGGAAGGGTGTAAGGAGGGCCAGGACGGGTGATGTCACAATAGCGACGAACGTAGTTTGCGACAGGGCATGGATCGCTTTCTGCAGCGCCTCGGCCGAAGGGTGGTGCATGGTCTCAACCAGGAGCGGGATCCGAGGGGCGACATCGTCGTTGGAGAGCAGCGAGGTGAGCGAAGTCATGGTCTTGACCGCCTGTTTCTCCACTTCGGTCTTCATATCAAGCATGCCGCCCTCAACGATGGGAATAAGGGCGGCGAGCTTGGCGCCCATTGCGTCACGCAGAATGTCTTGTTCTTCGGCTTCTTCTTTGGTGCTCCCAACCGTCGGCTTCGCCTTGTCGGCCATCTTTTGCATCAGCTTGTATGCGCCGACGACACCCTGCCACTTGCCGCCTGCGTTTTTGATGTATCCGGTAAGAGCGGGCAGCAGGCCAACAACAAGGGCCTCTGGGCTCAGGTTGGCGAAGAGCGCATCGATGCCGTATTGGGCGGCTTCGCGGACTACGGAGCCCTTGTCGGCGAGGGCATCCAGAGCGCAGCCGAGCATGCCTCCATCTTGGAGGAGGAAGACAACTTCGCTGACGGGCTGGCGCGGGGGGAAGCGCTCGAACAGCGCACCGAGCAGGTTCTGAGCGCTCTCGCGACGAAGGCCGCTCTTCTTGTCGGAAGCGGCCTTCTTGACCTCGGCGAGGATGCCGTACTGGTGCAGGCCGCGGAAGCCAACGGAGTTGAGGAGGACCTCGCAGAGACCGTAGCAGGCGTCGATGGAAGCGGCCGAAGTGTTGGCGGTGAAGACGGTGTTGAGCAACGAGGCGACCTCGGCCTGGGTGGGAGGCGGGGCAGCGCCGTCGGGCGCCTTGACGGGCACAACCATTTCGGCAGGCGACACAAGATGCGGCATTATCGGATGCGCCAGGGGTAACGTTGGATGGCGTGTCGCAAAGCCAGAAAAGAAAAGGTCTCGCAGGAAACCTGGGCGTGCTGGAGACGCCCTCAACAGAGGGAAGCGTTGGAGTTGGGCTCTTTGTTCAAGTTTGTGGTGTGGCGCAGATTAGAAACTTTGGGTGTCCTGGGATGAAATTGCCCACTGCATTGCCCCGCTGATTCTGTGCATTTTGCAGGCATTGCTAACGTTATCGGGCGACATAAAATTTCTTATCGGCTGATAGCCTTCGGCCCCCGAGTGGGGACAGCGGGCCAGCGGCATTGGTTCAGGCGCCAAACAGCACCCTCTTCTTCCGCACATTCTAAACTTCTGTTCTACTTCAATCGTACACGCACGTGTATCAACGCAGCATTCAATCCTGACAGGTCAGCTTCTTCGTCCTGCATCCATGTCGACTGTCGAGTACGACCCTCCAGCTGGCCGGATTCCCGGTCGCTTATGGCGCTTGAAGGAATAGGCCAGCACACATCAATCATTTTGTTGCAGAATCATTGTCCGGGGTTGAGCAAGTTCGATGTTTGAGTCCAAAGTCAAATGAAAATGACCGTTTCCAAACACGGACACTAGCCGTTGCCTGAGTCTTTGCACAATTCCCGATTCGATGCCACGTTTGCAGCACACATACGGAGTACATACACAGTACAGCTCGGTCCGAGTCCCGTCCGCCCCATCCAGGTTTCCGGCACTGAAGCGCAGTTCCCATTGCGTGCGACCCGTGGTTGCATAGGGCTGACCGAGTTCATGGCCAACAGCAAGATGCAGTGCAACCGACGGTCTGGAGGCAACACTCAGCACTCGTTCCTCTTGACCCCAACAGCCACTCAACTCATACGCCCATACCCTCTAACTTCATCTCGTGGGGGCTGGAATATCATCATTGGCAGATTTCCGTCCCGGCTCATCCGCCACCCAGTGCCTCTGCATGCGCCTGGCCGCGGCGAGCGTGTAGGGTAAGTGTGTTGGGGGCCGCAGGCTACCAAGTTGTAAGGCTGAGAAAAGCAAGTCAGCGCCCCCAAGTGCCATGCACACAACACCGGATTTATGACTCTATGTATGTAAGGAGCCGGCGGGTGAAGCCGAAGCCACTCGGGCGCTGGGCCCCGAGCCGTTCTTTGCTGTGGGAGGATCGTGGCGGCGGCTCCGTTCCGCTGTGGACCCTAAGCGCTCGGAAACCTTAATTCGACCCAAGTCCGAGCTAGCGAGTCCTGATATGCCCGGTGGCTTTTTATTCACTCTCCATCCTATGCTGTTGGCAGTAGAGAAGTACCAGCAGCCAAGGAAACGGCCTCTATCCGGATGGCTCTCAAGCTTCAGCTCCGTGCCATGGTAGACAGACCATCATGAGCGTGGAATAATCTTGGTACCTGGCCCTGCTACACATGCATTTCACCATTGACAATGTATTCGTCCAATATGCCGTCACTGCCAAGGTACTCTTCATGGCTATCAGCTCGTCCAAGGGCATATGTGTGTAAGAGGCTAGCACGGTACATGAAACCAACCTAGCCCACCCTCCCCAAGCCTCCCTACAACCATAGCCACCTTGTACTGCACTAACAATGTCCCAAGACCCTTTAACGTTATGCTTCTCTTAAAATGAGATGACGGTAGAAGCTACCCATTTTCGTTTGATTTTCTCGGCCCGTCCCTAAGGAAGACGGACGTTCTGTTGCCATCTAGACGTTCGGACACTGTCAGGCTTACGCTTGCCCGCCACAGCCACCCCGTTGAGCCAAGTCTCGCCCCCAAATACGCCCACGAAGCTGGCCTGGTCTTTCGGCTTCAATGGAGTTTCAAGATAGGACTGTGAGAACTGATCTCAAAGACCTCTAAATCTGGACGCCATACATGTGTTGGCATTGAACGACCGTAGAATTGCAGTAATTTAGACATTTAAAATTGGTGTTTTCGGGAATCTAGGAATACACCCAGTATGGATTCTATCCACAGACATACGTGGTGTTGCAATCTGGGGAGCATCTCGGTGTAGCTTACAACGCCGCGTTGCCCCTGAAACAGCTGCATGTCATTGAACTCGGACTTCACAGTTTCTGAGAAGACAACTATCATGCATACGACCCACGCCAATCGATAACAAGAATGAAAGAATACAGCTGGTTCTATCTATATGAAATTAGACCAGGAAAGTGAGGGTTTATGGGTGCAATATACAGGAAAGTATCATCGGCAGGATGGAAAAGGGGTAAGAAGGGGCAAGCAGCCAGGGTCCACGGTTTGTCAACAAATATACAAACGGCGCCGTAACAATGCTATCCGTCACACGACACATCCAAGAAAATTGGAAAAGTCTATATAGACTGATACAGCAGATAAAGAATACAGTTTTCATTGAAGAAAGAGGCGAAAGGAGTTACGATTCCAGCTGACCTTCCACTCGCCAACTGTCAGTTCAGTTCAGTTCAGTTCAGTTGCTTCCAACACAGTGCCGACTCGGACACAATGCTCTCATCATAATCATGATCATGTTCATGCCCGTGACATGTGATACATATGCCATCCTGATTCCCACAAGCATCCGGCCGACACTGGCAGCACAGCACACTGGCAGTAGGTATCTAATGAGGCGACGGAGGCGGCGTCGGAACATTAGGCGGTGGCTGCGGCCCCAGCGGGCCGGGCCGCCCCGGCCCCCCGCCCGGCGGTGTTTTTGGTGGGTCCGGATCGGAGGCTGGTACTAGTAGACACCCTCCGTCATCATCCGGCCCGGGGATCATGATTCGGAGCTGATAGAGCAGCACATTGCGCTTGTGATGACCGGGACTCGGACTCGGACTCGGATGAGGACGGTAGCCTCCTCCGCTGGTGCCACCGAGGGAATGGAATGTCTCCGAGTCGAGGTCGAGGTGCATTTCGGGTTCGCTAGCTCCGATCATGACCATTGTTTCAGTTGGTTGGGCACTGGCGGGGTGTTTGTTTGTTTGCTCCGGCCGGGTCTGTGATATATGTATTGTCCCGTGCAGTGCGAGAAGTGAGGAGACTTGAGATGATGGTTGAACTACGGAGTTGCTGGTGCTGGTGGTTGTTTGCAAAACTGGAATGATGATGCTTGCAAGCAAACGGAGGGAGAAAGCAACGTAATGAGGCTGATGCGATACAAGAAAACCGAGTGACCACCACGGTGCGAGCACACGGGAGGGGATTTTATACCTTTCTCAGGGCAGTCGGACTCTGCCATCTTCACCTTTGCACACTGCACCCGATGAGCAGACCCGACCCGAGAGGAGGGAAAGAAAGCAAAGCAACACGAGTCACAGAACACGCGGCGTCCATTATTCCGATCCTGTGGCACCAGACCAGGCACGTGTAACCGCGACCACCAACTGGTACCGAAGCTCAAAGTCCTCCTGAACACGAACGTACGCCAGAGACGGGCTTTGTTGAAACAAAGGATTCTGCTAGGTGCCTCCCAAGCCCCCGGTATAGAGCAATAGGGGCAGCTTGGATGATAGCCAACTTTCGACGTCATGGACATGTGACATCTGAAGGGATGACTACCTACCGCCAGTGGGGGCTCGTGGGACCGGGCTGCGCGGTACCCTTCACAAACCGAGCACCTCAGTGACGTCTGAGAAGGGACGACTGGGACTGGAGGTTGGGGGCCTCAAGGGCCTCAGGTTCGTGGACCACCCGGTGGAGAGAGGCATATGACGGCACTGCAACTGCACCGGAGCGAGCCAACACTTGACGTCGACGGGACCGATCGACCCTGAGTGTGGCACTGGGGGAATGGACGGGAATGGAATGGGGGGCTATGTTGTGCATCCTCCCCTGTTGCCTGCCTACCTTAGGTACAGCACAGTGCCTACCTAAGGGATGTACAATACAATCCAATCCAAACCAGGAAGGCTTCTGGAATGCACTGCAACATCAGACCGTTGCGTAATTGAGGACCACACGCCCCCCACACACACATGATCCGTCGTTGAGGTAGAGGTACTAGGGTAAGGTAAGGTAAGGTAAGGTAAGCAGGAGCCAACAGGGAAGGTGAATTGGCGGTGACTGGACCGACGGGCGGAACTCAAACGGGATGTGTTACTGGACTGGACTGGGCTGGAAAGTGAACCTCGGACTAGCCTAAGTCACTCACTTCTTCCTGCTCAGGGGTGTTGACGCAACCCTGCCGGCAGTGTTGCGGCTCGACTTCCCTTGGAGGCACTGGGGGGAGGAGGGCAACGGTTCTCGTACAACCGTGCAAGCTGATTGATCACCTACCCCATCAGAAAGGAAGACGAAAAGGGCGGGCGGCCAGAGAAACGGAAGCTACGCCATCCCTAAGGTAGTTAGGACTCCTGGCTTTGCAATTCAATGTCTGTTCGGAAGCGTGGCGACTTCAACTCGAGGAGGTCGGAAGAGGACTCGCAGTCCCCCTGGCAGGCCCATCCCAGCGGTTAGGTTAGGTAGCGGTGCGGTAACCCCCTTTAGCCAGCCGTCCTTGCAGACGAGAGCCGGGCGGGCAGCAACCGACCAGTTCCATTCCCCAGATGCAGCTGCGCAGTAGCATTCGGGGTGGCTTGCATTGGCCCCCGCAGACGGCAGCCAAATAACGGTAAGGCTGACTTGCTTGCTTGGCAACTGTCGAAGTTTCGAAAACTAGTTCGGTGGATCATGGGGGTCGGATCGGGTTCCCTTTCGACTGGCGGCGGGAGGCGGTGGGTGGCGTGTGAGACACAACTGTCCGCGATAAGTGCTTTGCAGCTCAGGTCCGTGATTAGTAGGTAGTTTGAGGCTACATACATGTACATAGCTTCGCCCTGAGGAGCCTCTGCACTGCAGGCAAGGGGCAAATACACCGTCTCATGGACAGACTTAGAAGGTATCTTGCCATGCGAAACCGATTTTTCGTATGCTCACCGAGAGAGCGGCGGCAGCAGCTTCAGTTGACTCATTGCTTTCTCGGGTTCAAGGCCTTACGGTATGTTCGGTCCAGTCAGGAGCTGTAGATTGCTGATTCTGCACATGCAAACAGCGTCACAATGCCCCCCACACTCCTGTCCCAGCCTAAATCAGACCCTCCCAATGGTCGTAATCCCGAGTGAGTTCGGAGGCTATTCTGAAAATGGGGAATTTCCTTACACCACGCAATGCCTGTGAACGAAGAAAGGCAGCAGAAACCGGCGAAGCTCAAGTGATAGGCACGGGATGCCCTCCTTTGCTGGTAGCGTGTCGTGGGATGGCCAGTCTGGATTCGACGTAGTAATCCCCGGCTTTGCTAGCCGTGCGAGACATTGTTCAAATGTACACCGGCTTCTAGACACCAGAAGACAGGCGGAGGTTGGAGACTACCGCACTCTGCAGTTCTCGTATTTGCCAACGAATAAGCATTCTCGGTGAGTTGGGCGGAGGATTGTTGGTAAGGTCGTTTGGCGAATGGCACGTGGTGCCTCGTGATATCAGCCATGGAAATGCTGTGCTACCATGGAATTAATTAAGTCTATGTTTGCTGGATTGGCGAAGGCACCGGAAGGACGTGGGATGGGTAATATCAGCCTCAGGAAGGGACCCGGAGGGAACCCGTCACAAGTGCCTTGCGGCTTCTGTACTCCGAATCTCCGACTTCATTGCCCCTCAGAAGCAGACAGCTGAATGAACTCGAGGAGAACAACCAAGTGGCCTGGGATAATCGGGCGGTTAACTCACGGCCACCCGTATTGGCTGAGAGCCATGGAAGCGGACACTCAGCGGCGCGACTTTCAGGTGGTCGATGTTCTGGTAATTTGAATCTATCGACCCTTTAATTAGGGACGGGAAGCGAAGAAGCTTAGTGGGAGAATGATCCGTCAACTACAACCCATTAGCCTAGCAACGCCGAACGCTAAGAAAACATGTAAGCCGGGTAAGCCCGCCTGGTGCCTTTTTACCACCCACCCCCCAAACGCCCATCCCTTCCCAGTGAACCCACTCTCAGACACCACGCAGCACAGAAGGTTCGCGGCACATACCGGCACCGACGAAACAGATCCGGCATGCCAAATTCGCATGCGGTTAACGTCTTTATCTCCGATCCCGGCTGCGGCTGGGGCTTCTGCTGCGCCGGTCGTAGCTCTCATAGCTATCATAGCTCCGACTTCTCCGCCTGTCCCTGGCACCATAGTCATAGTCCTCCGCACGCCCGCCGTAAGCACGGCTGCCCCTGCCGGCGCCTCGGCCGCCACGGCCCGGAGGCGGTGTGCGCGAGCGGGATCGAGACGAATAGGACGACGATCGAGATCGGTACCTACGGCCGCCGCCGGCGGGTGCGGGCGATCGGGAGCGCGACATGGATCGTGGGCGGTACGTGTCCGAGCGAGGGCCGTAGCGAGTGGGGCCGCTGGGCGCGGCAGGCGATCTCCAGCCACGACCGCCGGCAGGGCCGCCAGGAGGTCCTGACCTGAAGTTTGCCGGAGGACCACGGGTGGGCCCGATGTTTGCGCCACGGCGGGCCAGTGGAGGAGATGGTGAGAGCTTTCGCCGGGGGAGAACAATCGACACGTTGATGAGAGCGCCGTCGAGCTGCGCTTCGTGCATGTGGGTGATAGCACTCTGGGCGCCGGCCTCGTCTACGTAGAGAATGTAGGCTGTGCCACGATTGGCGCCGGCTATGTCAACGTCAGAGTCAGATCTAAGCAGAGAGTTGGTTCTTGGAGTTTATGCTTGAGGTTTGACTCACTCTGCCTGTTGAGGGGGAGATCTAGATCGTCAATTTCGCCGTACTGGCCGAAAATTTCGAATAAATGGTCCTCGTTGACATTCTTGGTCAAGCGCTCGACGACAATCTGGCCCGAGGTGTGAGTTTCCCATTCTGAAAAACGGAAAAAAAAAAAAAGAAAAGAAAAGAAAAAAAAAAAAAAGTCGTTGGTGAATTTACCTTTGTGGATTTCATCCGCGGAGTCTGGCTGCGCGACCTGCTTCGCGAGAGACTTGCTCTGTCCCGGCTGTAACTCCTGCCACGCGAGTAGCTGCGACTGCGGCTTGGAGTGACACTGCGACTGCGAGACGGACTGCGGCCGCGGCTACGACTTCGGTATCTGCCATTTCTTGAAGGAGAGCGCAAATCTCTGTCGCGACGGCGATCCATTGAAGGCGATCGCGATCGCGACATTGGTGTTGGCGACCGGGTTCGAGACCGAGACCGAGACTGACGCTGATCTTCGGGGGGAAGAGGGTCGCTCATCTTTTGCACGGAAGCCATGGTAGTATTGCCAAATGGCTGGGCTACCGACAGCTGGCGTTTAAAGAATTGTTGCTGTTGATGGCTGGCAGGTACTTCGTAATGGGAAAGCTCTTGCCTGAGCAACCGAGAATTGAGATACGCAATTGCGGGCAGTTTGCAGCAGCGCTCTTATCGGGGTTCTTGGCGCGCCTTATCGGCAGCGCTAAGCTGCGCGTTCAGCACGTGATTGATTCTTTCGAGGATGCTTATCAGCCTTATCGTGCCTCTGGCTGTCGGTGACTCGGTGACGTCTTTCCTCTTGGCAACATTCTGAGGCCAAACGATTCTCGAGAGCAGCTGCGGCCCAGCACTTCGGTTCCTCACAAAGTCACAATTCCAAGCAATCAGCAAACTCATTTCACAAAACAGATTCGAGCCAGGGTTCCGAGTCTAGTCCTGAGCTGTCATGACTGCGTTGTTCTTATTCCATTTCTTTCTTCCGTCGTTGGTTGTTGCCTGTCACAATCTGTCGAAATCCATTCTTCTTGCTTAAGTGCTTAAGGTTCGATGTCTGGTTACGTGGTATTGTACAATCAAGGGGCTTGCTGTTGGTCTGGTCCCAGCCCGATGAGGTAATCGGGATGGCTGAACCTGCCCGTGGATTGGTTGCTTGGTGCAGGCAAGGGTCCTGCTGTCATCCTTCACCCTCCCTTTCCTCAAGCTCACCTCACCATTGGATGAACCCCTAAGGGTTCATGGCATCCTCAACTTTGACGTCATGGCGATGATCAGGACAAACGGCCAGAATCAGGTTTGCACAAGTGTTTTGAAGATGACGATAAGAAGACAAATGATGCTCAAATAGGGGCATCGTGCCCTTGTTTGTGCTGCCATAGTTTGGTACTACAGTCCTACAATACAGAATCTAAACCTGCATCTCACTCATCGTATCCCACCTGAGCTTCACTACCTAGTATACCTCAAACCGATCAGCCAGCCACCATGCCTCTCTTCTCGCGTCACGCCCACGAACAACCGGTCCAGGAGCCCGTCCACGCCCCTGTCTACGAGGAGCGCCCCAAGAAACACGGTCTCTTCGGCAGCCGCCACCAGTCACCACCCCCGTCCCAGACGCAAGCCATGCCCGCGCACCGACAGGTGTCCCCTGACCGCGACCACCACAGCGGGGGAGGCATCTTCCGCCGGTCAACCAACGCCAGCAACAGCACCACCACCACCACCTCGACCAGCAGCACCACGGGCGGCCGCCGCAGCAGCCTGCTGCACCGGACGTTCGGCAACGGCAACATTGCCGAGATGGACCCGACCATCGTCGCGGCACGGGAACGCGTCATGAGCGCCGAGGCCGCCGAGCGCGAGGCCGACCGTGCCCTCATCGCTGCGCGAGAGTCTGTCCGGGAGGCTCGAGAGCATGTGCGCAGGCTTGAACTTGAGGCTGAAGAGGAGGCCCGCCGCGCAAAGATTAAGCAACAGCAGGCTAAGGAGGTGTCGAAGAGGGGGAAGCAGCTTGGGAGTAAGTACATACCTGCCTACCTGCGAGGGATGGGAAAGGTCGAGAGGTTGGAGCTAAGCTAACGCTGTTGTAGGGTATGGGAATTAAGATTGGTGCCGACATGACTCGCTGCCACGGCCTTTTCCTTGCATGGTTATTGTGTTGACTGCATTTGAGTACGAAGTTGGAAAATTGGGATTTCGGTGATTCGGCATGCTTTGGCTTCAACTAGCTTCATATCTGAGCGATCTTCTCCTTGTTGTACTACTACCCTGTAACAGCTTGTTTGCTTCAAGCAATATACCACCATGAGTTTCTTTCCGTCATCCTCCCGTCGGAATCTCTCGCAGGGCAGTTCTACCTTGCTTGCAGTGTCACTTTCCGCCCTTACATGGAAGTGACCCGTTTCCCTGCCACCCCGACTCCCCAGCAACCTCCCTCTCCCCTCTCAAAACCCGATGTTACTCTCCGCCCTGTGGCATCCACATCCCGTTCGTCGTCGTGTCCGTCGTTCCCGTCGATGTCGAATATTCCCAGCAATGACTACCCTTGAACGATGCCATGTGCCAATATAGCTGGGTAAGTTGTTGGTGTTGCCATCGTCACCCACAGTTCGGTCTTACACCCATACTGTCCGTCAACGGCAAGGGTAGCGACTAATGGTAGGTATCCATGATGTTGATTGGATCAGGTTTCAGTGCTCCGTCAAGGAAGAATGGCTGTGATTCGGGAATTGCTCGAGCAGCGTCAGCCGCGAGAGACAGGATGTATGTCGGGAATCTTGACGCTCAATGTTATGGGTGTCGTCCGGGCAGCTTCACGCTTCTTGTTCTCCTCGTCGGCCATGGTCGTCCCTCTTCGGCGGCTCTTTATCCCATCCTCCCCGGGCCGTCAAGAGGGCTTACAGGACTGCGCAGCCGTCCGCGAGGTGATCGTCCTCGTTCGAGTCCTCCGTCTTGGAGAAGGGTCTTTGGAGAAGAGACAGGCCTAGATGAGCAGGATTTCCCTGCTTCTGCGCCAACGAAGACTGCTCACAACTTGTGTCGCTTGCCAGGTCGGTATGATGGGACGCCATAGAAGTCGACTCCTGACTGGGACTCTGTGAGGAGGACCGTCGTAAACCTGTTAGCTCAACAGTCTCAGGCATGATTATGGTTCAGCTATGGTGCTCAGGTGGGAGTGCATATCATGCTGACGGTGGAACGAGAGAGGGAAGGCAGAATTTGATGGCCTGCAGGTTGGCCTTGGACGTACTTCTTTGTCTTTCTGCCCTGACTGTGTTGTCCAACGACGATTTGCTGAGGCTGGCATGGATAAAGAAACAAGGAATGTCTGGAATGTACGGAGTACACTCCCTTGGCATCCTTTATCCCGTGCCTATCTGTTGTTGAAAGAAGATTACTAGTAGGGGTAGCAGCTGCGTACTGTGTAAGATGGTAAATATTTTGAAGTCAGAAAAACAATGAGTGTACGTACTCAGCATATTCAATCAAGATCGAGGACCGCAAAGATTCAGCTTAATTGACTCGCGAATCGGGGTTGAAGGCTCATGATACAAGAGGCGGGCGGTTAACATTTCCCAGTGCGCAGAGTGTCTGACGACTTGGGGAAAGGGCAAAAGGTCCGAGGTAAAGGAGCTTCGTGCATCTACATGAAGGAATGTACGATATTCTTTCAAGCGTCCAGTGAAAATCTGCCATCTAGATATGTAGTTGCCCCTGAGGAATCAGGGTCACAAAGGGGTAGAGAATGCAAGGAGATCTCGCCGATCAGCTGCTTTGTGTACAATACATACCTCCCATAGGCTATCTTCGCTCGGCCCTGTCCGAACCGATCTTCCTTGCAACTTGCAAGCAAGCCACCAGACCAAGATGATCTTCGTCTTTCGCGAATTGACCCCTGCGGACCAACGCCTGAGTCCACCGATCTTGACGATCTCTCCACATCGAAGATCAAGGGTAGAAACTTTAGCGTGACGTCTCTTGCCTACCTGATCTCACTTCTTGACTGACCATTGCTAGGTAGCAATTGCTGCTCAGCGGGCATTTCAGCATCCGGGGAGATAATGAGCCATATGGCGGTCATGCTTGCCGCTGGTCCTGACCGTGACTCTCAACTGGAAGCATCAAGTTGGTAGAATGATTCTCAGAGATATTGATGCTGCTTGATAACCGGTCTTCAGACAAAGAAGATGAGATGTCCAATATGAGCCCTGGAATGCTGGGTCATCAAGAAGGCGTGGAATAGATGTGGCACTGGCCGGTTGGTGATGGTCGTGTAGAGTCTGCCAAACTGGTTTTACAGGTATGTACTGCAAGTCATACACAGGTTAGGAGACAACATAGAAAGCACGATTCAAGTTGAAGAGCAGGCAACCATGGTCGCCATAACGGTTTGGAAAAGGGTATCAACAAATGTTCCGTGTATAGAAGGCTAAAATATGGTGAAGAAGGGCAAAACCATCTCCAAGAACCCCCTCCCCCCTCCGTCTCATTTCCTCGTCAAGAAACATTATACATTGCAACAAAGCCGCCACAAATTGGAACCAGATCCGACCTGCACCTGCCATTCATCATATCCCATATGCATAGTCAAAATCTGCCCCCAAGAGGGCCACCCCAGAAAAAAGGTTCATCTCCGGCCACGCAAACCATCGCACGTCTCGCCCAAGAGATTCCCCCTGACTTTTGAACGTAGTAGTTGATGAAGCAGGTGTCCGGTATATGAACATGAAACCCTGCGTGGAAGAGAGAAGCCGAAGATTGGGGTATCAAGGATGTGTTAGGCGGGCCGCATGCGGCCAGAAAAAAGGGGGGGCGTAATCTTCGGCGCTCCGTTGGTGTGCATCGGGGATGGTTTGCTGGAGAACGAATAAGAAATATAAGTGCAAAATTTGAGTCAAGTGTGGAGGGCCTCGAAGGTCGTCAGGCGAAACCCGGCCTGCCTGAGCTCAAGAATAGAAGGTCGAAAGATGAATAAGCGCGGATCGAAAGTAAAGAGCTTCCGGAATCATCGAGGCTGCCTTGAGGTGAGGCGAGTTGAAGTAGAGACGCCACGCAAGGGGTGTCGCTGACCTAGCAGGCACGGTGATGCATCGAGTCGTGCGCACCTCGTAAACACGAGCCGTCCAAGGGATCAACTGATGAATCCGGTAGAATTAAAGGATGCGTCGCTCTCACAAAGGGAAGAAAGTAGAACGAATGATGATGCTAGCATCGGAGAGGTTCGCGTAACAGTGACCGGTGCTTAGGCCGCTCTCATGGATCGCCCCCTTTACAGACCCGATCCATCGGACGGCCGGGCCGGCAGGTCAAAGCAAGGCGGCAACAACAACGCCGGCCACGGCGGCGGCGGCCACATGAGCGGCCCCGAGAGCAGCCCCGGCATTGTCCGGCGAGGGGCTGACGACAGAGCCTGCGCCGGTGGTAGTGGCGGGCGGCGAGAGGGTTGTTGATGGAGCTGTCGGCATGGTGATGCTGGTAGAGTTGGACAGCGCGGTCACTTGGGCGCGCTGTAAGGTGACCGTTCTGGTGAGTGTCAGGTAACTTGTCGCGGTCGTGGTTGACATGTCTTCCGCAACGGCCGCGAGCGGCAGAAGGAGAGCGGCGACAATCGCTGGCAGATGCATTTTGATATGCGCAATAGTGCTGTCGAAGCAGGGAGAGTGAAGCGTCGCCTGAAGGTACGGCAGACAAGCAATGCGCGCGTGAGTTTGCTATGAGCGATGGAGGGATACAGATGCCCCGAATGGAAGGCGCGTGCGTATAATAGCTGCCGGTAGAGCGTAAGGGAGGAGCGAAAGAATGACAGTCTGAATACTTCGAGTATTCAAGGTCGGACAGCGACGCTCCAGGGGTGAGGTGGGCTTTGCCAACGAAGCCTGTGGAGGAGGTCGAGAGACGGGGTGAGGGCACAAGAGCGAGGGAATTGTTGGAATGGGGAGGGAGCAGCGAGAGACGCCCACGACATCTGGCACCCTTGCTGGCCCTAACGTTAGCCAGCGGTAGGCCCTTGCTGGCGTCGCAAATTGCGCTCTGCCAAGCGCTAAAAAGCCGAATAACAACAGCGCCTCGAGAATGTCGCAAATTTGACGGTACGTACCTTCGTACCCTGCGCTTTCCCCGCAAAGGACTGGCGCCACGCGAAAGAGTGGCACTGACCGCAGCGGTACCTGCATCGCCGTCCGGGCGACAAGGGTGCAGCCATGCAACCGTGACTCCTTCCCCATCTCGGGACATGGTTGCGCAGGCGACGACAGGAATGAATTGCTGGGCCTTTGGGAACGTAGACCTTCAATATACACCTGGCATTCCATTGATTGGACGGGACTGGCGCCTGGACTGACAGCCAGAGAGTGACCTACAAGGCGGAGTATGGTGCTAGCAACCTATGCGCTGAAATGGACTGCCTTTGCAACATGGAAGCGCAAATCTTGAAAGTGGATTACACAAGGCAAGCCAGGAGTAATAACTAGCGGAAGTTACCAGGCGAGTCGCGCTATGCGCCTTCCTCGATCGGGAAGTTATGCTGCGCTTGCCCGCGATAGCTAATTTCGCTGCTCGTTCACGGAGAGCTCCGCCCATCGTCGCTCCATATTGTCTTCACTGTTCAGGAGCAAATCGCGAGTTCTCCAGAAGGCGCATGTTGTGAATCTTATTGGAGTCTGCGGCAGAACGGTGACACCGTGAGAAACGGTTAAGATTTGAGAACGGCGAGAGCCGCCAAGAGCGAAATTTAACCTATTCGCCTGTGTCGCCCGTTGATTGGTGTGCCTGAATGACGTCCCGTGTGTGTCTCCGCTGCTCCAGGGGAGGTGGACCGTGCAGAGGGGCAAGGAGATAACCGAAGAGATTTTAAACGTTAGCCAGGGGACCTTGAAAAGCGGCACAAGGGAATCAGATCATGGCCAGTGCTTTTGCCTGGAGATCGGCTCGAGTTGTGGTCCCTTCACGAGTACGGAGGTACTCCGTAGGTAACTCTTGTATATCACAAAAGGCACCTTCCCTTTGGCCGCCTGTCATCCAATGCTTTCCCGTCTGTTGGAACGACACGTTTTCAATGAACTCGTAGCCGGGACATCGGGACATGACTGGTGCCATGTGTCGAACCCTTGGTGCCGGACACTGCAGTGACTGCACGGCAACGTGGTTCAATACCGAAGCATGCAGCTGGCGCATGCTGCGGGACTTTGGAAAACGATGTTCTCTCGGATAGGCAGCTTTTCACACACGAAATATAAAATGGAAAATCCCAAGGCCCACGTAGGTACTGCAGTTTTCCGCATGCTTTGGGCCTTGGAAATGGTTTGATTACTCGGCGCTCTTGAAGCGGAGCCGGCCTTGGCAGACTTGGAGAGGCCGGCAAATGGGCTTGGGAAGCCTGAACGGTTCACTTGGTTTGAGGCTGTTAAGGACGTTGCATCTACGGTGGCCCTGGCCGCGACGATGAAGTGTTGAAGGCAGTCCAAACAGCGAGAGGCCTGAAGCGGCTGTAACAGTACCGATGTGTCGACTCTGAGCATGAAGGGGCCGACAAGGGGAGAAGGCTATGTAATGTTTCACACGTCTGACAATATGCCCCGAAGATCGAATGTACTGGATGTCACTGTGAAGCAGCCGAGTCTATGCCATTCGAGACTGTATTCGCGGTAGATTTATCGGAGCTATTGGGTGATGGGCTGTGTCACGGTCCTTCTACCATTGCATCTTTGCCCTAGATCCCCTGACTGTGTGAGGATGCCTCCAAACTATCTGGCCGGGCAATCACAGAAGGGTCCCAGCTCATCTCCAATGGCTGTACGGACTTTGTAGAGATCTCTCCCCACTGGAGCATATCATAGGCACTGTAAGTGGCCGTGATATCTTTGTAGTCATGTGATGAAGAGTTAGGTCACAGCAGAAGTCTCTCAGGATGGCGACTGATGAGTTCTCCTCGTCCAGGTGTAAAACCCCAATTGCCTTTGTTTCCCGAGCCGCGAGCGCTGTTGCGCCGACGCATAAGGATGCTGGTCGTGGGGTGCGTTTGACCCCCTAATCCTGTTGCAACCCCTTTGACACCCAACGCCATAAGCCATGCAATACTATCCGTTGTCCCGTTCCGCCCGGAACACTATTTGTGATGCCCATAATGTCCTTTTGTTGTCTGTCCCCACAACCGGCCAACAGCCTATAGCGCCCACCGAATGCCCACCTCGATACAGCTGACGTTCCTGACTCTGACCTGATCCTCCTCGTCGGCGTCCTCATCCTCCATTACAATATCATCAATCGCCTGTAGCGTCCGGGTCCGCGTCGAGACAACGAGCTGCTTCTCACGCATGAAGAAACACCCAACCTCGATAGCCTTTTGAATGGCTCTGCCGGTAGCCACCAAGACCACATCGTCGAGGGCATCCTCAACAGGTCCGTCAGCCGCTGCCCGGCTCTTGCTGCTCTTTCGCGCCTCGAGATTCGCCATACGGGCCGCCAGCGGGAGTCCCTTTGTTTCCTGCGGCACCTTATCGAGTGCTTTGCGCGCGCGCTTAACTAGGCTCATGAAAGTCGCGTTGGATGCGACCTTGATGATGACGGTGTGCGCTGCCCGCGGCGAGGGGATGTAGCCGTCTGGATCGGCACTTTGTACGGTGGGTGAGGGAGTAGCGCTGGGCTTGAGGGTGGGAAACGGGCCAGGGAGAGGACGTTTCCGGATTCGGGAACCTGGTAAAGGGGCAGCCTAGTTAGATAGGTGATCTTGAGGTAACGGGCAGGGGAGGAGATGGAACCTTTACGTATCGGAAGGATTTTCTTCTCTGGCCGGTTAGGGAGCAGCTTGGGGTCTGCGATCTTGTCGCTCGGCTTCGTAGTCGACGCCATGGCAACCAAAACGATGCGGCGAGTCCGCGCTCTAGTCGCACATCAACTCGTTGGCGTCCTGAGAACTTCTGGGGACGTGGGGAACACGCCGGGCCAGCAACGAATATAAGCTGGCCTCATCATCCAACAGGGCGACAATACGTAATCGCAAGAATGAGAGGACAACGGCGAGCGAATCATGACATGGCGCTCGTCATTGGAACCTGGAAACAGCGGAAAGCTCAGATGGTGGGGTTTGCCTGCACAGTGCTGGTGCTGTTGCTGTGGGCCACTGAGCATTCACACCGCCTGCCTCTTACAGGCTGAGTCGACAAGGGCAGCCCCGATTAGCGTCATGCCACCTATAACCCTGGCCATGTTGATCAACTCCAGGCATCTTTCAACGACTTCGACGACAACGCTGTCGCGGTATTGTTACTCATGAATGTGGGTGCCTGATTGACGTGCGAAAAGGACAACTACTGCTAGAACACGCCGCTATGTCGGTGGAAATCTGGCCACATGTTGCGCCCGACCAGCTTAAAATCGCTGTCGAGACAGCTCAGGTAAGAATAAGATGGAACGACCGTCTATTAGCGAGCCTCCATCTGCAGTTTCAGTGGAACAATGGATACGGATGTCGATGCATCGTGGGTGCTGATTGAGCCTTCTCGTGCGCCGTCGCGACAGAAACGCGAACTCGACTGGCTAGTCGACGACCTCCGCGAGACGCTGAGCAACCTCAAGCATGGACTCGAGGACTGCTATGCGCTGCTTGCGCCGATAGATCCCGGAAGCACGCTCGTCCTCAGCACGCCCAGAAACGAGATTGTCAAGGGTCACATCACCCGTGTGGGAACACGCATCGTCAAAGGGGTTTGTATCCTCAGCACCCCGACCTCGAGGTGCGCTGCTAACACTCCCATCCTGTTACTCAGACAATACACCTCCGCCTGCGCACCCTGCCTCACCAAACGTTGACCATCAACCCGGACCACCCGATCCACCTCGGTCCTCTGACCTCTCTCCACGCTCTTCTAACGCACTCCATCGACCTCCTCACCCTCACCCTCTCCTACTCATACCCCTCCGAACCAACAACTGGCCCATCACCATCAAGCCAGCCGAAGGGTTCCACCTCAGCCCAATTCCTCGCCGCCCAACTCCGCCTCCTCTCCCAATCCCTCACCGAAGCCAACTCCCTCCTCAAAGGCTCACCACTCGCAACAACCCCGGACCCATCATGGACGACCCGCTCCGCCGCACCCTCACACTTCCTCCCACCCCTCACCCAACCGCACCCTTCCTCCCCACACCCAGCGCTAAGCTTCCACCTGAGCATGCAAGACAGCTGCCTAGTACTATGGCTTCGTACACTCGAACCGGCCGACGCGCCCGTGCATTTCGGCACCAAGCTTGCGCTGGCGATCGGCACGGCGCGGCGGATCGAACATGATGAGTGCGAGAGGGTGTTTGGATACTGCTGTGATGATGGAGACCATAATAATAACCACGACGGCGGGGGCGGGGCCGCGGGGAGTCCCTCCGGTTCCAAACCAGTCCCGCTATCCGGATCACGCAAGAGACAAGTGGACGTGTACGTGCGGGAAAAAGTGCGCGTCGAAACCGCCGATCCGAGTTTACTCTCCCTCTCGGCCAAGCTGACGGCTTTGGGCCATACTCTTGCTCTGGCGAGAAGGAATCTGGCGGCTGTTATGGGTGAGAAATTTGAAGAGGAAGAAGAAGAAGAAAAGGAGGTGGAGGTGGAGGTGGAGGAGGAGGATAAGGTTGAGCGGCAGGCGACGACGCGGGATTATTAGAGATCGGACCGTGACCGACGAGGCCGTGGCCGGGGACATGGAAGGGGAAGGGGACGGGGCGGTAAACTTAAACTTGGTAGTATGGTATCGCTCCGCGGGGGACAAGGCACAACCACAACTGGAGTGTTTGATTTGGCGATGGCAATTGAGGCGGTGGGCGGTTATAAGGAGAAGGAGGCAATGGTCTGGGATGATTGCTGTGCGCATTGGTTGGAGTTGGACAGGACGTATTATACTCGGGGGTTCATGTGTTGTTTGAGACATCATTACGGGCGTTAGGCCTTGGGGGCAAGGTGAACCAAAGAATTCGTGGTGTATCAATACAATAGCGCTTCCGTTCCATGCGTATGTTTGCGGGCAGTAGCTATCTCTGCCTAGAGCGACAGACTGGGTATTCTGTACGAAATACGGCTGCAATAGATCGGGTTTTGGCCTGTTCGTAAACATGGCCGACTGGCGACGGTCTAGTCCCGAGGTTCCGGTCATAGTAGCTCTGAATGTACTTCGTACTTTGGGTTGTTTTCACGTCTATCGCATAGCTCTAGCACCGCAGATATTTCGAGAAAGAAAATAGACGGTTATGCTGGCTCAGTTACAAGATCTCATAGTTACAAGGTGAGCAATGCTGCTATGCCCGCATGATACTGGTCGCGCGCAAACCAAAACTCCTGGAACAAGCAAGCAAGGAAAGAAAACGATAAGAAAGACGGCAAACCCCTGCTTCTAATCCAAGCCTGATATCATCTGGCAGCAGTCTTAAGCCACCGGAGACCACGGCATGGGCACCAGGATCCTGCTCTTCATCTCCTGGATCAGCGGAACCGTCTTGTGCACCGTCTCGGCCCAGCCCTCTATGCCCCAGCTCTTCTCACGGCGGATCTTGCGTTCCTCGAGATCTGCAAACTGCCACAGGTGGTGCACCGTGTTGAGGTCGCCAATCTGCACGAACCAGGCGCCCACGCCCTCCATGACCTCCCGCCGCGCCTTGAGCCCGCGCCGCCAGTGCGTCTCCCACTCGAGCAGGTTGCCCGGGTGTAGCGTGTACGAGCGCAGCTCGAACAGTCCGCCGAGTTGTCGGGGCGGCGTGGTCGGCCAGAAGCTGAACTCTTGCATCAGCGAGCAGCGCTTGCTCCGGACTAGGCTCCGCAGCTTCTTCTCGAATTCTGGGTAGTCGGGGTGGTGCGAGATGGCGTGTAGAGAGGCGTGATAACCTTGGTAGCGCTGGTACTCCCAGATGTGGACTGTAGGTCACAGTGTTAGTTTGTGCCGTGGTGTAGCCGACTCGAGGAAAAAAACGCGAACGTACCAAATGTGTCACAGTCTCCCACCTCTGTCCGCCAGCTCCCAACCAGATGAACCTTATTTTCCGGCATGCTGGCCATCTGCGGGTACCAGTGGCCTACCAGGTCGACGTATTCATCCACGCACTCGGGCTTCACCTCGTGAAACACGATTGAGTGCACGTACTTGCCGCGCGCGAGTACTTGGCTGAAGCTCGCCTCGATCTGGGCGTCCAGCTCGCGGCCCTCTTTGGTACCGTAAATCAGATTGGTCAGGGGACCCGCCTTGCGCGCGGGTTCCTGCTCAGCGGCGCGGGCCGCATTTCCTGAGGCGGTGCTCAGCGATCCAAGGCCCTGGGCCGTGGAAGAGGAGGTAGGTGAGGAAGGGGGAGAAGACGAGGCAAACGCACTGGCTTCCCGCTGCTTCTGCGCCTCCGCAAGCTGTGCGCGGAACGCCTTCTGCCGGCTGTTGAAGATTTCTTGCTTCTCCGGCTCGATGTCGCCCAGGCTTGGTGTGTGTTTCGACAGGGCCGCGACCGATGTCGAGAGGGCCCTGGCCGGCGTTGCGTGCCGGACGGCGCCCATTGCGGCGCGGGCAACGCGTCGAGAAATCATCGGGAAGTCGGCAGTCGGTCGGGATGCAAGTGGTGCTGAGTCCCCGGCGTTCAATCCCCAGATGAGGGGAATGCAGAACCGCCCGAGACTAGTTCTGAGATGTCGAAGGAGCCAAGGCAGGACGCCTACAACTTGATTCTTATTGATGAGTTGAGAATCAATCCTCGGGTGAAGAAGTTGTATTTTGGCGATCAGCTCGTTCGATGTAAGCCACTGAGTGGTGCCAGAAGGAGTTGAAATGATGGCACGCGAGACACAAAACGCAGCAACAGCACGGCAGAAGGAGCTTGGGTGGCAGGCAGCTGTACCGTCACCTTTGCCGGGGGTCCGGGACAGCTTGGGCAGATGCGCGATAGCGGCAGAAGCACAACGCGGGTAACCTCGATCGACGGACACTGGTAAGTTTGGGAAGGGGTGAGGGTAGAGAAGAGGGGAGCTATGCAGGTTAATTGGTGGAAGGGAAGCGGGTGCAACGAAGGGAGCTCTCACCCCGCACTTCTGTTGACCGTGAGCAGTTGAGGACGAAACAGCAAACGCCTCCTCTCACACTCAGCTGCGCCTGGTCGAGGATCAGTCAGTTGGCCCGGGCCTTGCACCTGCTGAGATAAGGTACAAGTACCCCAGACGGGAAAGTGCGGGGATATGATGTCACCCTAGCCATCTCCGGATGATTACATAATCTATGATTCACCAGCAGATTTGGGCCTTGAAATACAGGCATCAAGATTGTCGGATTGTGATGCTGGCTCGAGCTTCTGGAGCAGCGAAAAACGCTCGACTCCCGACGCAGCAGCTTTCCCTCTCCAAGGTCACCAGAACCCCATCGCCATCACCACAAGAATCCTTCACGATGCTTTGGTTCGGTGCTACCCCGCTCAAGAAATTCCCGGCGCCTATATGTATGTCAATTGGCCCCCCACTGACAGCGCTGGCTCACTCAACTGACGTTAATCCAGTGCGTCCGATGGCCCCGTTCATTGCCGCCGGTAAGCCCGCGATCAGCTCTAGCCAGCCGTTCCCTCAATCGGAAATCCATGTCGAGGGTGATTAACCGGCTCCATAATCTAACAACTGTCCAGCCCTCGTAATCGGCTACGGCGTCAACTCGATTCAGAATTCCATGATGAACTGTACGCCCACATATGGCAGGCTTACCGCTCCGAGCCAGAACTAACCACGATGCCCGCAGCCGACGAGTTCAAGAATGACCCTCGCAACCCCAACGCAAAGGCCGGCTCCCACTAGACGGACGACGCACTGATGGCGGTGGCACGGTTTGGTATAGACGAGACGAGAGCGATGCGGCATTTCCTTGCACGATTCCCCGGATGGGTTGCCTTTTCCCGAGCGACGGCAGTGTATCATAGAGCAGCAGTCAACGTCAATTGAGCTGTTGAACCGCGGTTGGTGATACAGGGGAGGGTTTTGGAGGATGGGATGTTGTGGATTCGGTCGGTCTTTTGGCTACCGAAGTGTGTCCCGAGATTCAGATTACGTCCCGACTCTGCTGGAGACCCAGTGTCAACAGCACCTGCCAGTTAACACGCTGTTTTCAGTGTGTTATCGGCATCCACCGTCAGTCTCCCCATTGATGTGGATGTTTTCGCTCCTGGCAGAGATCAACTTGACCCGTTGCTGGGCGCCCACGTTGAGAGATCGTCTTGATGCTCAAGGAGATGTTGGGAATCAGTAGAGGTTACATTCTGTAAACGGCTTGTCTTAGTATTGGCCTCTAGTTGGCTCAATTCATTTCTCTTTCTTTCAAGATGGCCATTGTGTTGTCTCGGTGCATATGGGCATGGTGTCTATCTGGATGGTTCAGACTGCACTGACGGCTCAGCAGCACAAACGTTTGGCATTTGAGTGCTTCATCCGCATTGTTTGCTATGAAAATCCCTAGTACAAGAGACAGCTTGAGTTCCTGCCTGCTCTTTTCCTTTTCCCTCTCTCAACCATGTTAAGTTGCGTGTCGTAATTTCTGAGGCAACGGCCCAGGGAACACTGCTCGCTTGATTGCTAAGCCGAGGATGGCTTTAGTGCTTTAAAACTGCCCAAATCCCGACTTCACCCCGATCAACTCAACACAACTCCTCAATTCCCTTGAAAGCTACAATATTTCCATGCTGCAAATATTCAGGACGACTGCCAGACCATCACTGCGTTTACAAAAGTCACCCATCCCAATCCATAAAATACTCCGGCTCAACACCATGGGCGACAACCGCGACACGCCGCAGCAGCTCGGAACTGACTCACCCGCACCCTCGGCCTCAACCTCGGCCCGGGCAGCGCCGCCATACCCCAAGAAGAAACCCAACCCCCAACAACACAAAAAGGAGGAAGTCAGGATATTGATGCTCCACGGTAAGTGTCCACCACCCCATTACAATAACATACCTGTACCTAGGCACACCATGCTAACTTCCTCTGTTTTTGTAACCGGAAGGGTACACCCAATCCGGCCCATTATTCCGCGCAAAGACGCGCGCACTAGAAAAGCTCCTGGCCAAGGCGCTCGCGCCCGTGGGGCTGGTGCCCGCATTGGTGTACCCCACGGCGCCGAACCGTTTGTCGGTGAGGGATATCCCGGGGTATGAACCCCCGTCCTCTGCCGGAAAGGATGGGGGTGATGGGGGTGAGGGTGAGGGTGAGGAGATGACGGACTCGTGGGCGTGGTTCCGCAAGGATGAGGCGAGTGGGAGGTATAGGCTTGTGGAGAGGGGGATGGTCAGGTTGGCGGAGGCTATGAGCGGGTTGAGAGGAGGAGTTGATGGAGGTGGGGGTGGTGGGGGTGGTGGTGCGGAGGGGGTAAATGAGAATGAGGTTGGTGCCAGTGATGACGCTGCGGCTGAAGGTGAAGGGGAGGGGTTTGTGGACGGGGTGATTGGCTTCAGCCAGGGCGGGTGTATGGCTGCGATGCTGGCGTCTGCTATGGAGGAGTCCAGGAGGACGGAAGCCGCCGCCGCCAAGGAGCATGAGGGATGGGTCAAGGCCGTGCGGGATGCGAATCGGGGCCGGCCGCTCAAGTTTGCTGTCATCTACAGCGGGTTTTATGCGGTTCCGGACGACCTCGCGTGGTTGTACGAGCCCAAGATCCAGACTCCGACGCTGCATTTCCTGGGGAGCTTGGATACGGTTGTGGAGGAGAGCCGGAGTCGCGGACTTGTTGAACGGTGTGAGGAACCGCTGGTCATGGTACACCCCGGCGGGCATTATGTGCCTGTCAGCAAGGAGTGGGCGATGCCGCTGGCCGGGTTCATCAGGAAGTGCCTTGAGTAAGCGTCTGAGGGAAGATAAAGGAGATGATCCGAGGCGAGGGGCAGGTACGGTACTCATATGAGCTGCACACTGAGGTATCTGGCCCCTCCTTCACCATTGCATCCTACAATCTACTTGACACGATACATAGATCTATAGACATAGACCCCCCCTTGCAGCTAGACAGACAGACGACCGCATCAAATATTCCTCGACGTCTCAACCACACTCTCAGGCGGAATCTCCCCCTGGTCGGCCCTCGCATCCTGCACGCCCTCAGGCGTCTCATAATACTCCCCCCTGAACTCACTGCCCTTGCTGCCCTGGTAGGGAACCTCCTCCCGACTATTGGGATCCATACCCAGGTTGGCTTTAGCGGCCAGCCGGCCCTGCTCCGAGACCTCGTCCTGCCTTGCCGGCTCCCGGGCGCGACCTCCCAGGGCCTGGTCCGCAGGGAGCAGGTCCGGCCTGTCCTCCCGCACAGTGGCCCGCTCAAGCTGCTGCGGGTCTAACCCCCGGCCCTTGACGGCGCTCTCGTCGATCTTGCCCGGGTTGTGCTGGTAGATGTGGGCCGTCTTGTCCTCCGGGCCGCCGGCGCCTTCGTAGGCTGATCCGCGGATGAAGCTGGGTTACGGTTAGGGCGTGTAACTGACTATGATTGATGGTAGCAGTGGGATGATCGGAAACTTACCGGCCGGTATCGTCAACGTCGCCGCCCTCGTCGCCGGGGATCCGCCGGTTGTAGCTCCGGTTCGTCACCAGGTTCTCGCCGACCTTGACGCTGGCGCCGGGGAACTTGTTCTCGGCCAGCTCGTTGACGCCGTAGTCTTCGAGTCCTGTTGCTCGCCCTTTGCCCGTGCCCGTCTTGGATTGGTATGTGTTCAGGTCTCGCTCGGCCTGGTGGGCAACCTCGTTGAGCTTGGCCTTGTCTTGCTCTTGTCCGGACATCTTTGATGGAATCTTCTTGCTGTTTTAAGTCTCGGTACAGGTTTTGGTGGTTTTTCTGAAGTATGGGTGATTGCTTTCCTTCAAAGCACACTTATGATCAATTTGCTATCTTACAACTGCGTTGAACAGATAATTAATAGTCAACAGAGACTCGATGTCGTCATCCTGTTGTCAGACTCGATACCCACAATCAGCGCCGATGATCATCGCAGATGGAAATCCCCACTCGGCTCACCCTACCGCGAGAATGGATGTGCGTATGTCACCATGTCAAACGGATGATCCTCCTGTATACCAATTACGGGAGTGGTTCATATCTGTCAGGTGTCAGGGGTATTATGTTAATATAGAGATTCACTCTGAGTGGCCAACTCTTTACGTCACCGCCCCCAAGCTCTCAACACACACCGTCCACTGCCCCAAATGGGAAACCGCGTAGGGTAAGGTACATATGTATGATGGACGGGGACCAAGAGAAACACTCTGCAGTGTAAGCTAGGTATTCATCATGAAGGTGTAGCACTCAGGAGCCGAGACGCTCAGGGGCTCAAGAAATCAAGTTGGTCTATAAGCAACGTTCCCAAGCTCAAGCCGGTCCCCGGCCCTGCCCAGACGCCCAAAGCAGCCCGAATTTAGATCACAAGTGAATTCCGGCACTCAGGAAGAGTAGTTTGCGCCGTGTAGTCCCTACTTTGCCACCACCCTTTGTGCTGTAACCACCACATTCCACTCCTGACGGCAGAATCTAGACCTTCACTTCGGCGTGCTCAACCTCACTTGTCTGCTAATAACAGCCGCATCGTCAGCATAACCCGCAGATGATTACCCCCAAATTCATTAAAACCGACGCACCTTTTCATTCTCCGACGACACCGGCCTCACTTCCTCACCCACGGCCTTCTGCGTGGCAACATGTCCGACACAGACATATCCCTTGAACTTTCTTGCCGGCAGCCTAGCCTCAAACATCTCATCAATCTCCTCCAGAGTGCGCCCCTTAGTCTCGGGAAGGAAGAAGAAGATCCACAGCAGGGCGACACAGCACGACGGGAACCAGATGTACCCGTACCGCGGCCCCCAGTTGAGCGACTGCGGATTGATGAAATACGGCGCGGTAAACGTGGTCAGCCAGGCACCAAAGAAGCCCACGGCGGCGGCCAGCCCAAAGGTATAGCTGCGCAGGCGCTGTGACGGGATCTCGCCGCCCGCGAGCCAGGCGTATGTCGCGATCATGCCCTGCATCATCACAAGTCAGTTCATAATTTCAACATAGCTGATGTCTATGGGGATTGTCTCACATTGTAGCTCATCATGTACAGACACGACAAGGCAACAGTCACGGTGCCCGTGGCCGTGGTCCCCGGGTTCTTGTCGTAGACGACGGCAATGATGAGCTGCAGGATGCCGCACAGGCCGAGGCCGATCATCATGATCCGGCGGCGCTGGCCGAAGCGGACGACGATGAGCGAGTTGAACAGGATGGCCAGGATGCCCATGGTGCTGAGGATGTTGCTCATGGCGAAGGGGTCCGAGACTTTGGCCATGGTCAGGAAGTAGGCTTTGTACGCTGTTTAACACAAGTTGCTGGCTGTTAGCATTGTTGATCGTTCTGACGTGACCGTAGCTCAAGGTTGGGACAAGGAGGTAAGGGGGAAAAGGGGTAGGGGACGAACCGATGATAAACATCGACCCCGACGCCGCCTGCAGGGTGACAGAGCAGATAGACAGGATAGTCCTCCGCCTATCAACAGGGTTCCTGAACATGTCCAAGACTTGGACTTGACTACCAAGCTCCTTCTCCCTTTCAATAGCAGCGCGGATCTCGGCGGCCTCGTCCTCGACCGCGGCACCGACGGGCCTCAACCAGCGCAGAGCCTTGACGCCCTCCTCATGTTTACCGCGCAGGATCAGCCAGCGGGGGGACTCGGGGATGAAGAACATGGCGACGGCCATGATGACGGGCACAATGTAGATCATGCCCAGCGGGATGAGATAGGCGGATTTGTCTGGGCGCTTGGCCGTCGCCCAGTCGATGATGGTGCCGATCAGGGTGCCCTAAATTATGAAAGATGGTTGTTAGCCGCAGAAAGGAGAAAGGTAAGTGTGATGTACTAGTAGCAGGCGACTTACAAACGAGGTAAAAAACTGAAAAATAGTCAAAAACCACCCGCGATACCTAGCCGGACTACTCTCCTGGATATACAGCTGTGAAAAGGTCATGAAATAGCCATTTGCCAGACCAATGAGGAACCGGCCGGCGTAGAGGGCGCCGATATCCTCGGTGGCCATCATCAGCACATTGGCGATGACACACATGACACAGGCCATCCACAGACACTGCCTGCGACTGACTTTGGTGGCGATGATGCCGGCCGTGCCTGAGCTGAGGAAGGCGCCCAGCGTCATGAGTGATGAGATGAGCTGTTGTCGTACTGTGTCGATGTTCCAGCCTGTTGGTGTGTTGGGTGCTTCGTAGCCGTAGATCTGTGTACACGGGCAAAGTCATGGTGAGTATGTATATTAGGTATGGCTAGGTAGGTTCTACTCGGGTGACAGTTGAAAATGACATACCTTGAGGAAGCCGGTCATGGCTTGTAAGCCGCCGATCAGACCAAAGTCGACGCCATACTGGAAGGGGGAGAGCACAATGATACCGCAGGCCACGAAGCACTTCCAGTGTGCCTTCCAGTGCTCCGAGTCGCTCGCCGGCGCCATAGCGTTGAGCTAAAGGGGGTGTCTCTCTGTGTGTTTGCTCGCCTTGTAGTCTGCTGGTATTGTTTTCCTCAAGGCAAGAGACTCAGAATATAGACCCCTTTGCCAAGATCCGGATACGCCCGCTCAATAAGACAGAAGAATACAGTGAAGAGGAGGGGAACGACTGTTGATTTTCCCCTGGGACCGGACTGGAGGCAATGTGACAGTGACACGGGCAACATGAATGCTTCCAGTCCATGTTCGAGTTCGCGTGGCCTGGCCAAATTAATACGAATACAACGTTAGGCCTGCCCATGCTAGCTTGCCCTTCTCGGACTCATCAACCAGGTAATCTGGGTATTGGGGGCATCAAATGCCGACAGAGACTAGGTCCGACGAATGGCTTGGCATACACCCTGGACATGCGGAGAAGAGGGCATGCGGTTCGTCAACGACCACGGAACGAGCGTGGTAGACATGGTCTTTTCAGCCTGTTGGGGAAGATGTAAGTACTACTGGTAGTATAGGCGGGGGGCAGGGGCGGGGTGTTCAACCTGACTTGGACCAGGGCAACCTTCAGCTTTGGGGTCACGCATCCATCATCGGATACCAACCAACCATCCAGACACATTTGTTGGGTCTATTGCTAGTGATCTGTTAGTCTGTCTACCGGTAGTGTAAAAGGCTGAAAAGACTGGTTAATCACCTTGAACATCCCAGCCATCTCCAGCCAAAAAGTGCCAGACGAAAGAATCCATTTGGGCCACGCTGCGGGTCTGCCGTAGCCAGAACAGGGTAACATCTCCCGCATCTTGTCACGGCTGGACGCTAGTTCGAACCTACCCCGGATTTTTGGACCTGACCAAACTCCAACGTCTCCAACTTTGGTACCACCTTGGCTTGAGCTTGGCTACTAGTGTCTGAGCACTGCAGCGAGTCTATGTATGCGACTCCCGAGTAGTAGAGTACCCGGAGGCTGTCTGACTCTGAAGCTGTTGGGGGCGTGGGTGTTGAGATTTCTTTCCTTAATAAAGGCAGCTTGTCCTCCTAGCCAAGCTCTGGCAGTGCTTTTGCGGTCCTGTCAGTATTGCTGAGTTTGCGGCGGCAATGGGTTATACGAGGCTATAAGACCACCTTCCCACGGTCCCACCGGTTCGGGATGCAAACGTCGGACCGAGATCTGGCTCCGAGATTGATGACAATTCCCTAGCACGCCGGCGCCCTCGGTCCGTGCCCTAGAAGGCCGAGCCGACTCCCTGTCAGCTGCCAACAACACCTTCAGGATCAAATGATTATTGAGTTGAGTTGAAGACGACTCGAAGTTAGCAGTAACAATATAATCCTGTCAAACTTCAACATCTATGTTAGCAGTCAAGTATGGCCAGACTGGTACGATTGATGCAAATCACCTGAAAATGATGAGATAGCGGGCACGATCCAGTCTGGCCGAGTCTGGCCAAGCTTTCACTTGGCATGCGTTTCTGGGCGGCCTCCCTCGAGTTTGGGATTAGATTCAGAGAACCTGAGGAAGAGCACTGAAGAATGGGTATTGATTGAAGCGGGTTGGAGGGTTGAAGGAGGGAAAAAGAGCCAAGCCCTAGTGTCCCAACAAGTACAGGTTTCCCCAGGGTTCCTCAGGCTCCTTCCCATTCAAAAGTAAGGAAGGTGTTCGCTGATAGTCCTTTCCTGTTCCTGTAAGGTAGGAAGGAACTGTCTATAGCCTCCTTAAATGGAAGGACCTGATTTCCTTGTGGGCGGCTAATACTATAAATGATTGAGATGGGCATTCCATTGATACTTGGCTTAATTTGTTCAAGCGGTGCGTTGATGGCTAAAATACCAGACTGGATCGGCTCGAGTACAATAAGAGGGGAGAGCTTTTATTTATCAACTCCCAACCTACCTGGATACCTAAGTACTATATGTTCATCGTAGAGCAGTACTCTCACACGTTAACGGTTTCCAGACGAAACGCTTACCAGGCCCGACGACGACGATGCATCTCCACTCAATCTACCTCGCCGCCTCCCTCTTATCCCTAGGGCTCTGCACGCCCACTGGCACCACACTCCAGCCCCAGTTCCATGTCCGCGCCGCCGCCGCCTCAGGCCCGTGCCCGATGACGCGGTACAACTCGGAGCCGTGCAGAGACATGCTGGACTCGAGCGCGTGCTGGAACGGCATCATTGGGCCGAACGGTGGCGGCAACGCCGACCGGGCGGAACAGCTGTGGAACTGTGTGCCCGGTGGGAAAGAATATGTAAGTGATCTTTGATACTAGTGACATCACCCCTGAAGGAGGATGGTTGGCTCAACTGAGGGGAATGCGGCAGATGTGTCAGTGCTATGGCTGCGACTCGGGCCTTGATGCGTATTTTACACGACATAAGCTCTGTGAGGCACCTACACCGTAGGTGGGTGGGTGGTTCAAAAAGGGGGCCTCGGGCCGTGATCGTCGGGGGGAGAAAACGGATGGGAAGTACATGCGGGGAGGTTAAAATATATCATCAGGAACTAGTCTCCTCACGCAGTCAGCTCTGGGTGAGCTGTGTTATCAACATATGCCGTGAACGGGGCAGAGAATGGACTGCAATCATGGCTTGTGGAGGCCGGCGGAGACGCATGGGGCTTGAGGCATCAGACGACGGAACAAACTGGCTGATAGGTTGCTGTTGAACTCCATGTAACCTCAAAAGATGCACTCATGAGGCGTATCAGGCACGCTGTCTATCACAACCCAAATCGCTATGCAATGATCTGGCGTCACTGACTCCTAGACCGCCAAACCGAGTCCTTCCATGCTCGGGTATATCCTATCCGCCGTAAAGCTGCCAATCGAGGTCAGCAATGCATGTATACATAATACATACCCATTCACCCTCCTCCATTCCACCCCCATCCCAACTCCCAACCCTCAAAACCCCGGCACCTTCTCAAACAACCCATCGTACAACTTCCCAACCCACCCCAGCGTCTCCCCTCCACGAGCAACAATCCCCAGCCCGCCCGCAGCCCAGACCCCCGCGACAACCGCCGCGACGGCATTGATAACCACCAACCTCGTCCGCCTGCGCTTCCGCGTGGCCCTATCAAACACCAGATTCCCCGTAGGCCGCTCAAGCGCCCAGCCCGCGGCCTGCGCCGAGCCGAGCCACTTCGCCCAGCCCCAGACCATGTGGCCGCATCCAGCTGCCAGAAGGAGCGCATAGGCAAACCACGAAACGACCCGGTGCCGCACGAACCCGTGCGCGACGTACGCCAGGCCAATGTTTGCGCTGTCGCCCTCGACCAGCAGCGGCAGGGCGCGGTTCATAAACACGTGCGCTGCCAGGATCCCAGTGAAGACGTACCCGGACCCAGCGATGTAGCTGAACACGGGCCAGCCCTGGGCCAGCGTCGGGGCGGCGGGTTGTTGGTCAACATCTAGGGGGTGCCGCGGGTGAAGCGGAAGCGGGTGCTTCTCACCGCCGCTGTTGTCGTAGTAGTGGTAGTACCGCCGCAGGTTGTGGGCGCGCCGCAGCAGCCGCAGCGCAATGCCGGAGCCGACGTGCGCTGCGATGGGCAGAGCAACGAGTAGAGGTTCTGAGAGCGGGGTTTGGTAGATCTCGCGCGCGAGGAGCAGGTAGGATTCGGAGGCGGGCACGGATTGGGCGACGAGGGGGATTATGGAGGTTGTGGCGAGGTGGAGAGAGGCGAAGAAGGTGAAGGTGTAGCTTGAGTAGCGCTGGATTCGCATGACTGTGGAGGGGGCGGTTAGTATAGTGTGGACAGAGGTCCGGGGGAGGGCGGGGTGATCCGTACGGTAGTAGATGGGCCCATGGCCGCTGCCGCTTAGTCCGATGCTAGAGGTGGTGGAGGACTTGAGCGGTGGTGTAGAAGTAGACGCAGACGCTTCCGTCTGCTCGGGTAGCGGCGGGAGGTCCTTGTCCGTGTTCACGGCATCCATGGGTGTCGGATCCAACTGGAGAAGGGAGAACAGCGTGTCCTGCGAGGCTTTTGAACGGAGCGATGGGGTGTCCATGGTTGCGGGTGGAAAGCAGAACCGGCAGGGCAACGCCGGCCTGCGAGAAGCGTAGACCGTGCACGCAATCTACAAGATCGGTTTTCTCGTGTGTCGCTACAATGTGTTTCACGGCTTTTGTTGAGTTGCGAGAGTCCTGGTTGAGGTGCTAGTTGCACCTTGGCTTGAAGGACCTTGGCGGTCAAACCGCGCTAAGCCATTCCTATCCGTACAGTGTTCTTGTACTGTACTGTGAACCGCGGCGCTGTGGCAGGGACGGTTCTTGGCAGACATCAGCTGCAGAGACAACTTCCGTTCCATCTAGCATCTCGCGACTTCTCAGAATTCTAAAGAGAATCCAACTTCATCACCTCCCATACCAAAACCTACACCACCAAGTTCCCAACCTCTCCCACCGTCCGGGTCTTCGAAAAAGCCAAAATGCCTCCAGTAAGCGTCCAATCCACTTCAATCCGCCTGAAACCAGTGGTAAATACCCTCCTGCTAATATCATACGCACAGCGACACCAAACCCTTCCCCCCGCCCAAACCTCCTCAGCCCGCGAGGCCTTGCAATCCTTCTACTGCCAGCTCTGCGCCAAGGGGTACTCGCGCATGAACGACTACGAAGCCCACCTCAGCAGCTACGACCACAGCCACAAGCAGCGGCTCAAGGACATGAAGGCCATGGTGCGCGACCCGACCGCCGCGGCCCGGGCAAGGCGTCAAGAGCAAAAGGCTCATGAGGGCGCGGTCGTGAGTATCAAGCTTGGAGACTCTGCGGCGGCGGGTGACACAGGAGGGGGAGGGGGTGGCGGGTTTAAGAAGGGGGGTTTTAAGAAGACGGGGTTTAAGGTTTCGGCTTTTGTGCCTGTGGCTTCTGGGAGTGGTGCGGGTGGAGGTGGGGGTGCTGTTGGGGGGGCGGATAGTAAGGGTGAGGGTGGGAACGGCGATGGTGGTGGTGGTCTGAAGAGGAGTGAAGCTGGGGTAGATGCGGTGAGGGCGACTAAGAGTGAACTTGTGGAAAGCGATACCGAGGACGAAGGGTACGAGGTGTACGACCCGCGGAAACCGACCGATTGAAGATGACCTGTTCCAGCGCGATCGGTGTTGTGTGAGTGATGGTTTACTTGATTTGGGTCGCGAAGCGTTGGTACCTGTCCACCACGAGGACGTGGCAGCACTACGTGATTACAGTACCATTGCCGGCGACTGGAGGAAGGCTCACCAAAAACTTGCGCGGAGAACCCGAGCGTAACGCTGCAATACTCTGAGAAGGAGCGGAACGTCCCTTGCCTTCAAATTACATTGTACAGCCGAATTCCCAACGCCCAAACGCCAGTTTCTCGACTCTTAAACCACGCTATCCACTTCACTTACTGACCGTCTCCCATAGACGGCCAACCACGCGGCTCGAAATCGGACAGATCCTCCTCCAGCAAGCCAATGATATGAGTATTGGCCGAAAACCAGTTACCCAACTGATTCGCCTGCAGCTCTGCATTGAGCTCTACACCTGGCGCGTCGTTGAAGTTGGCAGCAGCAACGCCGCCAGGCTGCATCTGAGGGTACACACCACCACCGCCAAACTGGGGCATAAATCCCAGCTGGCTCAGATACATATCAATATTATTACCCACCATAAGCATATCATGGTCCTGCTGCCCGGGGTCCTGCTGTTGCTGCGCAGCCTTGGCCCGGACACAGATGCTGGCCACCTTGTGCAGGACATGGCAGATTCGGTGCAGCCTGTCGATGGCCGCGGACATGGCGCACAGCGGCTGCAGGGACTCGACAAAGTCTGCCAGCCGTCGGAGGTCGTCTTGGTCGGACGTCTCTACGACGTGGCAGAAGAGGACTATGGCGGGGATGAAGGGGACGTAGAGGACGTTCCTGGTCCGGTTGGGTTAGCGTTGGTTTGCTGTGCGCAGCGGTGGGATAAAATGGGGTATTATGTACCATTGGAGAAAGCTTGTTTTGAGCGTCAGGTTGTCGCCCGCCATTGCCATGTACGCTTCATGGCATGCAAATGCCTCCCTCGCGGCGTGGATGCATTCGGGATTAAAGGTGCTCGGCGAGCCAGGCGGGCTCGGAATGGCGCGGTAGGCCAGCGTGAGGCCACCCCAGTAGAGCAGCTCGTCGCTCATGATGGCCATGTCGATCGAGAACGGGGTGTTGGCCCCGATTCTGGTGCGCTCGACCTTTTCCCGGACCCGTCGCATCAGGGGTTCCTTCTCTGTCGCTAGGTACTCTGTTGTTACATCATGTCAGCCGGTGCTTTCCTCAACACCCAGACGGGCAAGCTTTTTGCGGGCAATGTCCAGTACATACCCATAGCCTGGATCAACTGCTTCGCACTCTCAGCACGTTCCTCAGGCGACCTCGCCAACGCCGCAGGACTGTACAGCTGCTCATAGATCTTGCCCATAATCTCGGAGAAGCTGATCCAGTCCCGTACGGCCGCGCCGCCCAGCTCGTCGGGTATGTTGAGGTTGGCGCCCACAGTCCGTGGCACCGTGATGTCGTAGTCCTGGATGGCCGGGGCACGCCCCGCGCGCAGGGACAGGGCCTTGTCAAGGAGGTACGCGGACCAGAAGAGGGCTGCCTTGGATTCGCTTTCTGGCGTCGACGTGCGCAGGCGGTGGTAGCCTAGGTTTTGGCATAGTGTTGCGGCGATTGAGTTGAGGTCGCGGGCTAGGGTGTATTTGGAGATTTCGATGGCGTAGAAGGCCTGGTTGTCGTCAGCTTTATTAACCCTGGGAACGGGGAAGGACGGCCATGGAACGTACCCCTATCAGCACCACCTCGATGCTTTCCCTGCGCGCGGGCAGCAGCAGCGGGAGGTTGGTCAAGGCCGTCTCGAGGTTGTCGCGACAGAGGGTCTGGTACTCGAGCAGCTGGTCGCGCTGGGCGCTGCCTTCTGCCGCCAAGGCCGCTTTCTCTTGGAACAGGAAGTACAGCCCGCCGTTGACGGTCCCCCATTCCATGAGGCTGTAGTCTTCGGTGGCAAAGTACACCTTGCGGCAGTGCGCGGTGAAGTTGCCCATGGCGATGAAGGTGCAGACTGTTGTGAAGCCCACCGGTGGAGTGTCTGCCAAGTATAGGATATTAGCGGGGACCAATGATGGACGGGAGTCAGGAGAGGGGGTTGAGACACGGCACCTTTTGCCTCGCGCAGTGCCGAAACAACGGCGTGGGCCGGCGGCATGGGGAGTTCACGGATGCCGCCTTTGGGCACGGGCTTGGCGTTGACGAAGCGGGATTCGTGCGCGCTGGGGCGGTTCTGCATGCTCACGATCTGCTGGAGGGATGACAAAGCCGACTGCATGTCCGGGTCCAGATCGTGGGCGAGGGTTCCGGTCACCGTGTTCTCGAGGAACTCGCTTGCAAACACCGTCTGGGCGGCCATGGAGGAGTCCCCTTGGAACGCAGAGTCGGCGTCGTTGCTGTCCTCGGCTCCGTATGTGAGGTCGGCACCAGCGCCGTCCACGGCAGCCGGCGAGGAGCCGGTGGGGCCGTGAGCAAGGGGGGCCGCACCGGACCCGCTATCGGCGGGGGACGAGCCGGAAGGGCTCCGGCGGTTGACCGAGACGGTCAGCTCGCGAAGCATGCCCTCGATGCTGGCAAGCCGCGCCTCAAAGAGGTCGATCTTGCGCTCGCTACATGCATGTCATGGTGACCAGGGGCGTCAGTGATGTCCGCGTTTAACTAACTAACTGCCCCCGTGAGGTAACTGGTGGTCTCACTATTGTGTTGAGATCAGCACCCGGTGGCGGGCCTCCTTGGGCCTCTGCCCGGCTCCGGTCGAGCTACATGTTCGGTGGGCCGTCCGACAGTTCGCGCACGGCGATTCCTTGTCGCAGCGGATCTAACCATCGTTTCTCAGCCACTAAATTCAGGTTCTACGCCGAGTCTGCCAGCATGAGATTGAGAGCCAAGGGAAGCTGAAGGTAGGATGATTGTGGATCCGTGGATCCGTGATGATGGAAGCCGGTATCGAGTCGCTTACCTTTCTGAGCCGGCATTGATCGCACTCCAAGCGGGACGTGTCAGCAAGGTTGCAGGAGTACTTCAGGATAAGAGATAGAAATGTAGATGTTTGGCAAGCTTAGGCTTGGAAGCAACCTGGACCCGTTATTGCCAATTGGAAACCTACAGCTCTCTTTGTCGTGTTTTCGCCTACGGGGACTTCGTTTTCGGGCATCTCTCGCGGGTCTGAAAGCGCTTCACAGAGATACGCAAATTGGCAACCGGCCGTGGTAGCAGGCACCGTTTGGTTGCATCACCCGTTCCAGTCGAAAAAGTGACCAACATACTTCGTATTTCGTACCGGTATCAACGATGCTAAAATGCAGTGAAGCCACGTCATGCGTTCACAGGGTTAGGGTAATGGTTCTTTGCTTGCCTACTGAGGTAAAGTGGGCAGGTACGCCCAGGTACGGTACCCGATCAGTGACGACTGGAGCGTGGTGGGGTGCGGAAGAAAGTCCACTTTGGGCAAGGTTCAGCTTGTTCAAGTCAGCAAGTTCTCAACACTCTGAACAGGAACTGCCACGCTTTAATAACGGCCTTGTGTAGCGGTTTCAGGTGTTCAAGCCGGGAGTGATACTCAGACAGTCTCCAGTTGACGAAAGTTACTTTACAGACTCACAAATGGCAGTCCAGGCTCAAACCTCATTTTTGCCTATAAGGTTCGAGCCCTGGATCAATCATCTTCCTCCCATTTTCTCAAGCGCCTCATAATTCATTCTCCCTCTCGCTGTTCTCCTCCTACAACACGCCTGCCTCTATGAACACCTGCGCACTCTCGACCACACTCTTCTGGAAGCTGATCCAGTCCCTGCCCAGCAGATTGCTTGCCTTTGCGGCGTCGAATCGCCATGTCATATTCGGATATTTCTCGCCGCGATTCCCCTGCTGCATTTTGTCCCGCTGCTCAGGGAAGCCGTCCCGTAGCACGTCAACCATCAACTGCGGCGACACAGCTTGTTGCCCGACCACCAGGTAGCGCTCCCGAGCCGGCTGAACCTGATCTTCAAGATCCTTCTCAACGCGTTTGAGGACCAACTCAGCCACATCACGCACGTCTACAAATGTGCTCCTGATGGGCGAGAACTCTGGTATCGGGCCGCCGCGCAGCATCTCGTAGATGTCGTTGACTCGCATGCTGAGTTTGGACATGGGCTGAGGGAGGTAGAGCGGTGGCCCAAGCACAGGGCTTCGCACTCAAGTTGTTTAGCCTTGCTGTGGTCCCGGGTACTAAGGATAGCGGAACTTACGCAGGGCAGAGCGCTGACATGCCAAACCCGGGCCGTTTCTCTTCACCAAACGTCCAAAATGCCCTCTCGGCCGCCGTCTTGCTCGCCTGGTAAAGGACATAGCCGGATACCCCCTTCCCAAGCCTGCTGACCTCCTCCTCGGCGACTGTGTTCCAGTCACTCTCGGTGAAGACGTGCCCCGGGGGCTTTGCTTGAGAAAAGATGGCGCTGATGGACGAGGCGAATACGAATGACCGCAGTGCACCTTTCCGGGCTTGCCACTCGGCCCATGCCGAGGTAAGCAGGGAGGTGGTGCCCTGAACAGCGGCGCGCATGATGGGCGCCGGGTCGGTCTCCGTCATGGAGACGGGACTGGCGAGATGGGCGATTGCATCGACACCTTTCGTTACATGTCAGTAAAGCATTTTGGCTGGTGGATATGGGCAGTGACGGTCGAACCTTGAACAGCCGCGTCAAATGCTCCGTCAACGCCGACATCGGGAACCTCGACCAGCTCTAGCCGGTCGCCGTCATGGTAGCGACTAAGAGCACGGGCGAGCGACGCGGCGTTTCCTGTTTTCGCGCGGATGGTGCCGCGCACAGCGTACCCGGCTTTGAGGAAGGCAGCAGCCGTGTGCGCCGCAATGTAACCGTTGATGCCTGTGATGAGAACGAGGCGGCGGCTTGCCATTGCGCTGTTCGATGGTGAAGTCAAATTCTGGCCGGCACTGAAGGTAATTCGCCTTTCAAGACCGTGGTTTATACGGTGCTCGACGGTGCCCCGTGTCCCCCATGCATGATGGGATGCGCCTTTCCCCTGACACGTCGACGCAGCCCTGCGCCTAATCCCGGCTTGCAATGCCGTGTCAAGCCGCGGTGCCGCGATTGCTTTTTTGGAACATCAATCCGGCGGAGACATCCTCACATCGCGTGAAGTTTTGAACAATCCGCTGTTGGCGCATTCTCATTCATTTCTCCAATTCTTAACCGTCGGTAATTTTTCCAGGTTTAACTTGCATTCTTGAGAAGAATCCGCCGCTAGTCCACTGGAATTGACTTTCCGTTTCCGATTTGAACATCAGTGAGCGACAACTCTCGAAATAATCGCATCAACGTTCTGCGCCCCGATGTCGCGCCGTCGCGGTGCAAATGGTTCGTTGCGACAGCCTGGTCCAACGGACCCGTGGACGGATTTGTCAATTCATTTGCAGTCACACATGGGACTCATCGAAAACATGCATGCTGCGAAGAAGCAAAGCTGACAACCAGACAGTTTTGACATTTGACAGGTCTTGGTAAAGACGAGTTTCCCACTGGCAGTTTATGACATGACGACCGTTTAGCTCCGCTCCCAAGGCAATTGGCCAACCATGGTGCTTGAGAACTGGAGATGTGCACGTGGACGATATCCGACCTAGGCGTTCAATTCCGTCAAGAGCCCATCCCCAGGCTCACTCCTGGCACCCGCCGCACATGGAAAACCTCCAAACGACGCTGTTTCGGTGACCGATCCGTCGGGTAGCGGGGTCGCCCCCTTTGAAGCCCTGCCAAGACAGCGACAGGCAGCCCAATCGCAGCGCCATGTTGCAGCACATGCTTGGCAGGTCTCCAATACTCCCCCGCGCTATTAATGCAGGTCATCCGGGAGGCGCCACCAGCGGCAACAACGACAGCCTTCATCTCCCACAGCTTCTTGGCAGCCTGGTCAGCGGTGACGAAAAGGGAATTGTAAACAGATTGGAGGCAAACTTCAGGATGCCTATATGTGCGTCTCCTCGCAGCCTTCGCGGGCTTTGCTTTCGAGCCCAGCCCTGCTGCTTTCACTGGGTCAAGGGTCTCACCAACCGCCAACAACAATGGTGGCTTCAAGACTGTTATCCGCCGTGGCTTTTGCCTCGCTGGCGCTAGCGACTCCCTGTAAACAGGACCCCGCCGCGCCGCCGGTTACATGTAATGGCAAGAAGTACCAGTATGACTCGCTCGCTGGCTTCGGTTCCCTGCCGCACGACGCCCGTGACGAGTTCGGTGACACCATCTCCATCGGTTCGGCGATGGCCGTCACCAATTGGCACAAGGCAGGTGACAAGTACAAGGGCACCGTCTATGGCTTACCCGATCGTGGTTGGAACACCAAGGGGACCACCAATACTGCTCCGAGGGTCCATATCCTCGAGGTCACCTTCACGCCAAAGCCCCACGCAACGGTTGCCAAGCCCTCGCCTCCAAACGTCGAGTTCAAGTACAAACGCTCCATCCTGCTCAAGGGGCCCGACGGCCAACTCCTGACCGGTCTCGACCCCGACTTCACCGGCGGGCTCACTTACCCCGGATTCCCGGTTCTGCCCGCGGCGACTTACCCAGGTGATGGTTTCGGCGGCTCCGGTCCTGGCGGTAAGCGCATCAGCCTCGACGCCGAGGGTCTTTTCCTCGATAGCGACGGAGGCTTCTGGATTAGCGACGAGTACGGCCCGTTCGTGTACAAATTCGACAAGAGCGGCCAGATGGTCGCCGCCATCCAGCCCCCCGACGCCATCCTTCCCGTGCGCAGCAAGCAAGTCAACTTCAACTCCAACACCCCGCCCATCTACGACCCGGATGCGAGCCCCGAGCCGGAAGATCCCGAGCACGGCCGCCAGAACAACCAGGGGTTCGAAGGCCTCACCGTCTCGCCGGACGGCAAGGACCTCTGGGTCCTGCTGCAGTCGGCCGCCATGCAGGACGGCGGCGCGAGCTCCTCCAAGCGCCGCATGACCCGCCTGCTGCAGTATTCCATCACGCCCGGCGCCAATAAACAGCCCAAGATTGAGTACCTGGCTCAGTACGTCGTGCCGCTGCCTACTTACCAGCGAGCCGATGGCGCCACGCGTGTCGCTGCGCAGTCAGAAGTACACTGGGTGTCGGACACACAGTTCTTCATCCTCGCGCGTGATTCCAGCGGCGGGCGAGGCCAGGATGACCCCACGTCGAGATACCGCCATATCGATGTTGTTGATATCTCCGGGGCGACAAACATCAAGGGCCCTACATTTGACGATATACAGAATGGTAACATTACTGTTGGGGGTATTGAGAAGCCTTCTGTTACTCTCGTGGCCGGCATCACCCCTGCCGTGGTGTGCCCGTTTATTGATTACAACCTCAACGCGCAGCTGAACAAGTTCACGGCGCAGGACGGGTCTGTGGTTCATAACGGTGCGCCGGTCGATCTGGGGTTGCTGAATGAGAAGTGGGAGGCGCTGGCTGTTTTGCCGGTTAATGAGCTTAAGGATGGGCGGGATGTGAAGGATCAGTATTATGTCTTTACGCTGTCGGATAATGATTTTGTGAGCAATGACGGTACGTGCTTGGATTCCTTGGATGGTTTATGCTACCCTTTATGGCGAGTTTCTTGTTGCTAATATCAGCGATTAGGATATGCCAATTTTGGCCAAATCCCGTTTGTCGACGACACGGCCTCGGTGCCGTTCCTTGATAGCCAGGCGCTGGTTTTCAGGGTCACTCTGCCGCAGGGTACGAGGCCGTTGATTGGACAGAGCGTTGCTAAGTAGGAGGATCTTGGGAGGTTGTGAGGACCTGTCACGGTGGGCGTCCTGAGGTGGACGTTGGAAGAGTCTCTAACCTGGCCTTTGGTTTTCCTCCTTACGGAAGGATATAGTAGACTAGGTATGTATCGACGCTTGGCTGTTATGCTCGAGTTATTAGTAATACAATATCAACTAATACATGCTCATCAAGCGATCAATTGCCTCTATATAGCTCAAGCTGAGGATTTGATACTGCGGCGTGCTACTCCTGGGTTGCGGTGCTAAATCACGGCCGCGGTTCGGATGAATCTTACTGTCGCTCGTCGCCTGCCTTATGTCTCGACCCTGGAAACATCCGTACTCTTTCGGAGGTAACAGGTAGTTTATCGCCTCTTCTAGACCCTACCTAGAGATATGTTGCAGTGTGCTATCCCATGCTCCGTGTTGATGTCGGAGCAATCCCTGGTCATTAGATCAACAAACCCCCCTTTTCGCCGGGGCTAAGATCCGAGGGTGTTCGGAGCGATGAATAATTGTACGAGGACTACGCCATTCACGTAGTAAGTCAGCTTGTATCCGCCCAGTGGAACAGAATCTAAACAAACCGGAGTATATAAGGTATATTCATTGTCTATATCATCAAGGCCTCCTGCCTCATCATCTCATGCCAGTGCAGTTCAAACTTCAATGCTTGCACAACCCAGCTCCACGCAATAATCATGATGACCACCAAGCTACGCCATCTTTTCCTTGCGGGCCTCTTCCTCTTCCTCAGTCTGCCCGAATGCATCCCCGCCTTACCGGCCCTCCCAATGGAGGCCAAGCACTCGGTCCCCCGGCGCACCATCGCCGGCATCTCAGTAATCGACACCCCCCTAGTACGCGCCGCACAACAGTACGCCCGTGAACACGGCAACGACGAGCTGTACAAGCATGTCATGCGCTCGTGGCTCTGGGGCGTGCTGGTTCTACAGCACAATTCTACCCTGGCAGCGTCCGTCGACGAGGAGGTTCACGCCCTGGCTGCCCTGTTCCATGACCTTGGCCTGGACCCTACGGGGGAATTGGTTAGTACGGACAGGAGGTTCGAGGTTGATGGGGCCATTGCCGCCCGTGAATTCATCCGGACTCATGCTCATAGCTATGGGAATGGGAGTGGAAGGGGAGGGAGGGGGAGGCGGTGGGATGAGCGCCGGGTGCAGTTAGTTTGGGATGCCATTGCTCTCCACAGCGAACAGCGGATTGCGCTGTTCAAGGAGGACGAGGTGGTGTTGCTTAGTCACGGGGTGGTTATGGACTTTACGGGGCCAAATCCTGCGCTGGGGGTGGAGCAGGGGGAGTATGATGCTGTGCTGGAGGAGTTTCCGAAGGTGAATCTCACTGGGGGGTGGGTTGAGACGATGCAATGGCTGTGTCGGACTAAGCCTGCTACTACTTACGGTGAGTTGGTTTGAACTTTGTTTCTTGTCTCGCTGGAACTCAGTGGTCGTTTGTGCAATGCTGACGAAGGAGACAGAGACGTTTATGCAAGGATACGGAGACGAGTATGTTCCGGGGTATAGTGCCGTCGGTCATAGAATGGTTGATAGGATTGTGTTGGGGTGAGGCCACAACCGAGGGTGAGACCGTGAGTAATCATATATAAAAGGGGCTCTGCAAGGGCATTGTGTGAGACGACTGTGTTGCCTCACGGTATTTGCGCCTCTGCATGCAGCCATAGCATACATCATGAACATAGGGCCAGTAGGACTCGATCAGATCAAGACCAACCCCAGAACATTCCCATTTCAAAGCCCATTGCCATCCATAGCATGAGCAAGCCCGATATCAGAGTCACCGGTGGGAGGATGATCGTGCTGTCTGATGTATCCGGGCTGCTTGAGACACTGGTCGTCGGTGTCGAAGTGGCCTCGGTCGACTTGGGTCCTGATGACGGCGTCGGCGGACTCGACGGCGTCAAAGTGATGAGCTCGGTTCCGTGTGTGATGACAATGTCTGTCGTGATTGGCGCGTCTCTGTCCGGAGTGAGTTGCCTTGGTGTTAGTCATTGAACGCTGATCGTCTCAGGGGTAAGTTGGAGGAGAGAAGTACAATGCTGCGCAGAGCGTCTGCAAGCTCCCGCCAAGACCTGGTATCAGATATTAGTACACGGTGAACTTAAAGGAGTTAAGAGGGAACGACATACTCGTGAGGTCGGGCGGTGGACAATACGACAGCACACAACTCCCCACGGTGGTCCAGATGCCGGTAGCTTCGCATGCGCATTTGACGACGCTTTGGACATTGGGTGTGTAGGACGCGCAGTGCGAAAGCAGAGAATGGCTGACAAGAGTCTCGCAGGGCGACTTGTGATACTTGGGTGTTAGGTAGCCTGTGCAAGTGGAAAAGGGGCACTCTACTCTCAACTTACCGCACAGGGCTGGATCCCTGGGACAATCCACTGGCTCAATGCCGGAGAAAAAAGGAACAGAAGAACAAGCAAGGCCAACATGGTCATTCGGGTTGTGAGAGTTTTCCAAGAGACAGAAAAGATGGGTGGTACTACGAGAACCTGTCTGTCAGTAGCTGTGTGAAAGTGGTGTTGGCCAAAATGGCACTACATCTCCCAGAGATAGAGGTTAAGGGCATCTCATAAGATGATTCAGGAGACCTGACCTGGATGCAGAAGAGCCCAATTGACCAGATCAACGATGAGCGGCTGCGGGCGACAACTTGCATGTACATGTAAGCCACCGGGCTCATCACCCCTCACAGGGCGTCTACCGTACACGCTGTCCCTCCACAACTGCATTTCTCACCCATACCCGGACGACCTCTAGTCCAGCTCAAAGTCCCAACGCCAATCAATCGGGTTCTTGACTTCAGATCAGACTTTACCAGACTCTACCGCCGGCATGGTGGCGCCCACACCGCCGCCGATACAAGACTGGCAGCTGAGAGCCTTGCCAGCGGTCCGTTTCCCGGGGCGCCTATCGATTCGTATTATCAGTCCACCTTTAAGTGGGAGCTGATTGATAACCTGAGACTCCAACCCAGACTTGGACGCAGACACCGCGAGCTATACTAGTTCTCTCTGCAACGTAGCTCCCACTCTTGTGCCTGAAGTGTTCCCATCACACACCCTAGGCCATCACTACTATTCCCAATCTCGTCCCATGGGCTGGACCAAGTGCTTCACAGAGCGGTTTGGGCACTCACAGCCGCTTGTGCCATGGGTTGCTCTCGTGCTCCACTTCAGCATCTACTTCTCCCTTGCCTGGATCATGTTGATCAAGTTGCAAGGATACAAAGCCAACGACGATGCGTTCCCCTCGGCGTTCCGATCGCTCGGCCGCCAGAAGCTGCGGGCCAGCGACATCATCTCGCTCATCTCGATAGCCACCAAGCTCGCCGACATCATCGCTGGCTTCTGGTCCTCCATGCTGGCCATCCGCTTCGCCCACGTTGTATGGAAGAAGATCCGCAGCGTCCGGCCATACGACACCGACAAGGTAGACAAGGTCATCCGCTGGACCACCCAGTACTACTTCCCGCCGACTACCATGGGCGGCCGCCTCTTCTCACCGCAGGCTGTCATGATACGCCTGTGTCTGCTGCTCTTTGGGTTGAGTTTTATCGGCGCCCCGCTGATCGAGGGTGCGCTGGACTGGAGCTCCTCTTCACAGCTCGGCGAGCCAGGGGCAGCGAGGGTCGCCACGGGCAACCCCACGGCGCAGTTCTTCCGCTGGAACTGGCCGTCGTCCGGCAACATGCTTGACAGACAAGAAATTGCCGAAGCCGCCTCCCTGGCCAGCATCGCCTGGGAGCGCCAGACGGCATCCAACGCATCCGACACCACTACCGCCGGCACGGGCCTAGAAAACCGCCGGCCATGTCGACATGTAACCAACGACACCCCCTTCCCGGTCGGCTCCGAAATCCACAACGTCACGATCCCCTGCATCGTCGTGCACAACATCACCTGGCCGACAGGCGAGACACCCTCATATATCAAGACCATCCTCGACAACAGCACCGCCGTCAGCGCATCCAACTACGACCCCTTTTCCGCCGGTGTCGATCACCCCGGAATCGGCGTACTCTTCGACCCAACCAACACAACCCTCCCCCTCCCCGTCAAATTCGGCACCAAAAAGATCAACATCGCCGTCATCGACCAACCCTCCTACCCAGCCCCCTTCCGCTGGTCAGGCACCATGGCCACCATCATATTCCTCTCGCGCGCCTACCCCTACGCGCCCTTCCTCGTCGACCCCTTCGGCTACCAAGCCCTCAACAACTCCATCCCCAACCGCGAGGAAAGGGGGCACATCATCTCCGTCCGCCCGGGCGAGGCCGGGGTGAAGCCCGACAGGACTTACACGTACCTGACGGTAAACTTCACCGCGGGCGTGCGCTTCTCGGCGCGGGGGAGGTATATCAAGCCCAATGTCATCGAGACCGACACTGAAGATGACTCGGATGATGATATTGTCCCCGACCCGTGGGTGCGCGAGGCGCTGTACATGATGTCGGACGTGATGGCGACGGTGGCGGTGACCAACAGTTCCGAGATGGCGACGTGGCAGAATCTGCAAGGGTATGCCGAGGCTTTGATCAGGTATTCGTATTTGGGTGCATGGGACGTGCTGCAGCGCCAGTTTGACCCCAACAGTACCGAGCTGGCTGTGACGCTGCTTGAGCCAAGGCTGCAGGCTAATGTTAATGTGGCGCGGGTGCTGGGTTGGTTTGTGTTGAATTTGGGGTTTACGTGTACGGCGCTGTCGCTGCCGGTTTTGTGGAGGGATGAGGTTGAGAGGGATGATCATGATCAAAGTGAGGGGGGTGAGAGTGAGAGTAGGCGGGAAGGGAAGAAGACTGGGACTGGAACCAAGGATAAGATGCAAGACATTGCGGAATTGATGCGCACGGTCACGGCGTACGAGGCTAAGCTGGAGCCTGGTGCCGTGGTTCGGAAAGGAGAAGTGAAAGGAAAAGTGAAAGAAAAGGAGCCCGATAGCGAGGACGACGAGTTGTTACCAGGGCGGTAGGTGTTTGAAAGTATTTCGAGCGAATCCGAATCTGAATATCTGTTAGTTTCCACCCCTGATCAAAGGTTGCTCGAGGGATCAATAATGTATTTTGGTTGTTCAGTGCAAAGGGAAATGCTGTAAAAACTTGCCCTGTTTTTTGTCTGTTCATCATGGCAGTCAAAACTGCTCCGAGTCAGGAGTCAGGAGCGTCGTTGCCTAGCCAACATAGGGGAAATGCTTGCTTTGTTCAGGGGTAAAAGGATCATACTGAACTACCAAAGGTACCAGTGCCCCAATGACTGCAGAACAGACCTTGAAGCCAACCCGAGAAGCATTGGAAGAATGTGATGGCATCATGATCTTGTGTGGTTGGGGGGTGGGTTGAAGGTTCAAGTTCAGTGCCCAGCCCGAACCACAATATATAGGTACACTACAGGATTTGATGCAGTGGCTCCTGCCACACTTACAAACCAGAATGGACTGAACGCGATCATCGGGGCTAGCTTGGAGGTACGTACAGCACAACACGAACCTAACCACAGCTGGGAATTCAGGAGAAGCGGACAGACTTGGAAGATTCAAAACAAATAATCCAGAGGAAGGACTAGGGTATTGTACTGTACCTACCTAAACAGTCAGTCGGATCTTCAGGATAAAGATGATCAGTAGAACCTCAACCCCTGGATTCCTGCCAGTGACAGGATGACCAAAGTTCTAGCCCCAAGTCAAGGTAGGTGGGCTCCAACCTGGACCGGAACGCATGGATATCTGATCTCTAGAAACAACCCCAAGGCGCACAATGCTCAATGTAGCCGAACATGAGCATCACTACAAGGGCTTCTGGCCCCACACGATATAGCTCTCAAAGAATCCGCCGACGCTGGCCATCTCACTCTCAAATCTCTCACCAAGGTTCTCTGTCACAGACGCGGGCAAGGAAGCGCCCAAACCTGTCCCGGTGTCAGTAGAGTTTCAAAGAACAGAAGATGAAGCGCCCGAACTTACTCTCAACCGACTCCACCATAGTCGGAACAGTAAGCTTAAACGGCAGTATCGAATTCCCACTGTCCTCTTCATTCCCCGCGCTCTTACCAACAGGGTACCTAACCTTCTTGCACTCCACATTCTCCAAGCCCGCCTCCTTAAACACCTCAGCCAACTCAGCCGCAAACCCAACATCCATCCCAATCTTTTCAAGAAGGGTCCGAAACACAACCTTAAAGTCCTTCATGGCGGGCGTATCCCCCGGGGCGTCGTCTGCAACGAAAAGCTCCTGGATCTGTAGCCAGCCATCCGGAGCCAGCGAGGTAACAAGATTCTTGACCGCCGCGGGGATGCCGACTGAAGCGGTGCCGATAAGCACATACCGGACGTGGGTGAGATCAAAGGCGCTGACGAGATCCGGGGTGAATGGTTTGCAGATGTCTTGAAGCGCGTACCGGATGTTGTTGCCGGACTCGGATGGGCTCGTTTCCGGCGTGGGGAAAAATGATGGCATGATGTCGACGCCGACGAGCTGGGCTGAGGGGTGGACTTGTTTCTGCAGGTCACGGAGCAAGATTCCTATGGCATGGCAGAGAGCGTCAGCAGTTTCCCTTTCCTTTCCTTTTTTTTTTTTTTTTTTTTTTCCTGCCCAAAGGAACCTTGGCCCGATTCATCCCTTACCGTCGGCGCAACCGACATCGAGCACCCTCAGCCCCGGCCGCTGTAAGTCGACCGGGGCAAAGACAATGCGGCCGTCGAGACTCTTTTGGATCCACGCATGCTGCATCGAAAGCCGCTCAACCTCGCGTCCCGTATGCGCGAGCAGGTATTCGGCATCTTCAAGTTGTTGCTGATCGGCCATTGTGCAGATGACTTTGTTTGGGTATATAAGTTTGATGGTGCCTTGTAAGGAGGTACAGTACTACTACTGGTAGTTTGCAGAGTCTGATTTAAGCTTTGTCGAGGGTTCTGTTGGCAATGGTCATGCTAAATAACTTATACTTAGTTGAAATTGAAGCCAGACCGGAGACTTTCCGGAGCCTTTGGTGTCGCATGATGCACGTGTGCTGTACGAGTTATGTTGTCGTCGCAAATCGGCCTGAGTCCGAAGATGCGAATGAAGTTCTACCCCCTATGGTAGTACTGTAAGTGCTTAGGTACAGTACACACTTGGCAGGTTTACTGGGCAAATCTTCCATGAACTTACAGGATAATTTGGAGAGGCCATTGGCAGCTGAGGCAGTTAGGCTCACTTAGCTGTATAATCTACGAGGTTCTCAGTAGGTATGTCATGTACTTGTACCTTAGTTTATACTCGTCTTACTTCGCTTCTCGTTATTGTACCTACTATACATTAGGAGGTATCAAATCAAAGGGATAATGACGGACAGGACTAGGATACAAGCTAGCTGGATCCCCAGGACTCAGGTTAAAGTTAAACAGACGATAAGCTCAACTAGGACAGGAGGTCGGTACCAGGTTGGCGTCAACATGAACACATAGAGTGCTAGCAGAGGCGCTTGGCTCGACCGCTAGGGTTCAATCTTGCAGCAAAACCGCAGGCAGATAGATACTGAGCTTGGTATCAACCTTGAAAGTTGTTCTCAAGCGTTTGTTGTACTGCCAGAAGTAATATCATCTTTTACTTGCGCACAAGTCAGTTCGCTAAAGGGGGTGGTAGTCGGCTGGACGCACGTGTTTACAAAGACGTAGCGTAAGACCTCCGGCCATATAGGTAAAGCCTCTCTATCTTCCAAAGATTCATCTATAGTTTTATGTGTTTGGATTCCTTTGGGTTTTAATCACTGACCTGGAACAATGTTGAACTACACTAGTTCTGACTCTGACCAAACCATCGGGAGCATCGGACTGAGTCTTTGGGCTGCCCTGAGGATGTAATTGGCCCGCCAGCTGATCGACACTGGCGTGCCACTCCAACCCCATCACTGATTGGTCAATTGCGTGTAAGTTCTCGTCATCGAGTTCACAAGTCAAACCACCAGCCGAGTTATGTGCGTATGGATTTCGTCATTGACTCGATAATTGCTTCCAGACGGCGAGCTTGGTTATTCTCGCCATCTAAAAAGCCAGAGCTCCTCACAGCCTTCAGCTGCTTATAAATCCACCATCTCAGAGTTCCAGGAAACATGAGCCTCTCTCTCACTACCCGTCTAGCCACCAAAGCTCGTCTCGCAACCGCCACCAGAGCACTTAGTATCCTACCCAAGACTCTCGAACCAGCACCAGTACCAGTCAAAGCAGCAGCCCTTCGAATTTCACCCGCATACCCTACACCCTACCAGCTCCGACCCAACTCAACCAAAATGTCCCAAAGCGTCGCCGCCGCCAGTCACTCCGACTTCAACCGCAACTCCCTCTTCAACCTCAAAGGCCGCGTAGCCCTCGTAACCGGCGGGGGCTCTGGCATCGGGCTGATGATCACGCAAGCCCTCGCCGTGAACGGCGCCAAGGTATACATCGTCGGCCGCTCCGCCGAAAAACTCAACACAGTCGTCAAAACCTACAACAAAGACATCGAAGGCGAAATCATCGCCCTGCCCGGGGACGTAACCTCCAAAGACGACGTCACCCGCCTCGCGAACGAAATCCAGTCCCGTGAGAAATGCCTCTGCATCCTCGTCAACAACGCCGGCGTCTCCTCCGCCACGGTCCAACCCGAATCCCAATCGGCCTCTGAAATGCGCCAAAACATCTTCGACACCGACAAGGCCACCGCCGACGACTGGACCGACACCTACCGGACCAACGTGGTATCCATGTACTTCATGACGGCCGCTTTCCTCCCCCTGCTGCAAGCCAGTTCAGAGCGGCACCCGCACTGGTCCGGCACCGTGATCAACATCACCAGCATCAGCGGTTTAGTGAAAGGCGCGCAGCACCATTTCAGCTACAACGCGAGCAAAGCCGCGGCCAGCCATCTCACGCGCCTGCTGGCGGCTGAGATTGCGGCGAATGGGCATAAGATCCGGGTTAATGCGATCGCGCCGGGGGTTTTCCCCAGTGAGATGACTGCGGATGAGAGTGATGAGTTTCAGAAGAGTCATCTGGACAAGGAGAAGTATGAGGGCAAGGTTCCTGCCGGCAGGCCGGGGAGGGATATTGACATGGCCCAGGCGGTGCTGGGGTTGGCGTGTAATCAGTATATTGATGGGCAGACGGTGGTGGTGGATGGGGGGTATACGCTGTCTCTTGGTCAGTGATGAGGGGGTGACTGGAAAAGCTGGTGATTGCGTGCAGTAGCGGAATGAACTGAATGAATCCCTTTATTCAAGCTACTTCATACCCCCGTACTTGTACCATTGATGACTCCTCAGTAGAAGTGAGATCGAAAACATGCAACTCTATAGGTGAGTGTATTTTCACACTTGAAAAGCCTTAATAGAAGCTTGGATATGCGGTCTGTTACGCGTTATGAGTTTTTCAGAATTTAGGAATTCAAATCCATAGAGTGTGAATGTTGAACCAAGTTTGCGATATGCGGGTTGAATAGTCGTCAATAGTGACACCTGCCCTAAAAGATCTGCCGCGAAGTCCTCGATAAAAGTGTTCTTTCCTGTACAGTACATAGTGTCTCTAGCCCCGAGGTAAATGCCCGGGTTCCGTTTCCAAACAACCGTACACCTGCACATGTGCGTACCTTATGTATGCACGCCTGATCATGACATCACTATGCAGTAGCTAACCACCCTGCGGCACCGGGACGGGGCCCATACCCCTGAGGCGGGATGCGGAATCCTGGACCTGAACCGACTACGTCGTCGAAGCTGCAGCACAAGAGTCTGGACACATGCGCATTGTTTGGGCCAATCTCGCAGCCAGGCACAGCCAGAAGAATGCCATTATCATCTACCTCATCCGGTCCATGACAATCGCTTCCTCCTGCTATACCAGACTGAGCAAGCGGTGTTATTCTACCTACATGTATGACGCTGAACCTCTCTTCAAGAGGCTGTTGTCCGCTAGATCAAGTCCCTCTCCACCGACAAATTGAAGAGTCTCAGGGCGTTGCTGAGACTGTAGCAAAGCTCCCAGAACCAACTGAAGGGAAGGAGAGTGGCAGGGTATAGTATTCCCAATCTGACATACCATGTCCCAGACGACCTCTGTGCTATACCGGGTCTGAACGCCATCAGATATGCAAGGACAAAGACAAACAACCCCCATCCGCTGGTGTGGAAATCAAACTACCTGCCATAGGTGCCGCATACGGTGACCTGAAATCTGTATCGCTAGAGGGAGGAAATAGACCCAACCGACCAAATGCAATGCTACTTATGAGAACCGGGGGAAAAGACCAAGCAAACTACAGGAGAAATGTGGTAGGAAGGTTGAAGGACCCGTAACCTAGGTGCTCGAGGGGTATCATAGTGATGCGGTGTAGAAATCGCAGTATGTGTGCTGTGATGTGACGCCGTTATGAA